AGGAAAATTATTGGCTGTTTTAATCACATTTGTTTATTTTAATTTGGCAAGAAAACTAAACCCATTATCTCGAAGGAGTCACATTTTTATGCTTAGAGATTCATCAGTGGGCTTTTGGATGCACATGATTCAAGGCTGTGATGTCACTTTGCCTTTTTCATCGATCCACATGAATCTAGGATGAGTAATGAATGTATCTGAATCAACTTTGTTCATATGAACGATAAGAAAGAGAAGTCTTGAAGATATAAATGAGTAATATATTGATTTTATTGAGTAGGAAGCAGCAAAATGCTGCCTACAAAGATTACTACGTGCTCTAATTATGGATCTCATCACCATGACAGAGAACTTGTAATCCAGCCCTCCACCATTCAAAGAATGAGGTTGATGTAGTTCTGTCTTCACTCTTTCTTACCCCTGTTGGGGTCGGTATCCTCTGAAATACAGGGGTACCCCGGCAGCAAGGGGCCTCTGTTCTTTTTTTGTAGTATGCTCTACTATTACACATTCTTTACACCTATGAATGCAATGTAAGTGTGGGAAAAGGCAAAAAAAAAAAAGAGGGAAGCAAAAAGCATCTCTATGCCTGGTATATCTTTCCTCAGTTTGAAAGAACTTCTTGTTATTTGCACAAAGTTCGAGCTCCATAAAGCATTCTTGTCCTCACCACAACGTTCATGAACTTCCATTATCCTCTCCACAGACCTGCAAATCCCACTGCACCTCCAGTCAAATGAAGCAACACAGATATTACCAGCTCGAGCTTTCCATTCGCAATCTGAAAGAAAAAGTTAAGTCAGTTCTATAATACTAGATGAACAAGACAACACAACTTAAATGTGCACAAACGAAACAATACACACAAAACCAATGTTAGCCCAATACCAAAAACTGGCCTCTGATAGGTTCCCTGCCCAAACTTAATATTGATAATTAACAAAGACTCCCCACCCTGGATGCTGGAATATTGACATCATAGATCAAATTTACATGTTCAGTCATCAGACTTTTCATTTATGACATGTATTGGGCCAAAACTACATTTTGTAAACTAAAACTCTTATCCTAGAAAAGTGCCCCATACCCTGCCCTTGCAGAAAAACGGAAATACATTTATTATGATGCATAATGTTATAAGAGTTACCAGAGTCTCCTATCATCCACATGCTCCACATCTAAACCGCTAAACCAAGATCCCAATGAAACATCTTCATTAGCATATTTATGCAGCACATTCCTGAGATAGAGCATAATTATTATCACTAGAGGCAATAACAAAGTTTTGACACTTCTTGAAGCATCTTAGATTAAAACTTTGGAATTGAACATGTGGAAGCCCATGATTCTACAGCTGGCCACATGCAACTGGAACTAGAGCTTCTTTGTTCTAGTTGCTAGTTCAGTAATGGGATAGACCACCTTCCTCTTAGTTGAAGTGCACACATCAAATGATCAATATAACAGGGTTGAAATCATACCGAAGAGAAAAGAAAGGTATGAACTCATTGATTTATTGATATGTAAGTGGCCAAATCCTTTGATATAGCATACAGCTGCCCTGTAGCATGTCGAAAAATATTTGTTTCCAACCTCACCAAATTTCCAGTACTCAGGTTCATGGTATTGCACTTCCCTATTAGATAAAGAGCATATATGTAAGAACAACAAAATATTGCCGATATCTTAATATAAGCTAATTTAGAAAGCACATCACTCTGCTTACTTTCGAGCAAGAACAGGGCTAAAGTCATATCAAGTGTTGTGCAGTGTATTTAAAGCATATAAACTCAATAAGGAGTGAATTAATTTTATTAAAGTAGTAGCTAAGCAATTTATCATAGATCTAATAACTTTGATTCAAAAAAATTGTCTTAACCTTCTAAACAGCACGCAAGCTCTTGCCTTTTAATTGAAATCTGATAACTAAAATGTTTATCAACTAAATCCAGTGACAATGAATCACTAAAACATTGTAAATGCGTTTTTCTTATGGCACAAACCAACAGTGTTTACAGGAATTTAGCAACTTGATAACATTAGTCATTATTCTGTTCCAGCTAGTTAATGTACACTTGCCAGTTGCCACAAATTTATCCCATATTCATCTTTGGAACCACATTCCCTTCTTTCAACTTCAGTTTCTGAGCATCTTTATATTAACATAATTACTTTCAGTTTTCTCGTGAACAGATACAAACAAAAGGCTTTTAGTTCTTTTAAAACTATTATCATCATCATCGTCATATTCCTACAAAAAAGTTTGTAGATACTCATCGTAAAGCTTGAATGATAAATTTATCTCATTCTAAAAAAGAAATCAAGGCATAATCACAAAGGAATTATGTTATGTACAAAGATTTCTACACACATGAAAGAACAAAGTTTTGTTTACCCAGATTTACATGAACATCATCATCAACTTTGACATAAAATTCCGCATCCTACAAGGAAACAGCACTGGCAAAATAAGTTGTTGTCTTGGCTGACAACTCCAGGTGGCCCTCAATGTGTTGCTGCTTTTATTATGAACAAGGCCCGTTACGTATTTTTCTATGGTTTATTCACACTTACAAATATGTTAAGACTACTGGATAAAGTAAGCACTAATAACAAGCAGAATTTAAATAACAATTGCGATTATGTTTTCGATCATGTCGTATTTATTGCATTTTCGAATATAAAAAAAATTATTGCGATCATCACAATCGAGAATTTTTTTTTTTGCACAATTTATTATAAAATATAATAATTATAATTATAATTATAAATACTCTTATTTAATGTTTTTTTAAAATAGTCTATGTTTCTTATTTTCTAAAAAAATTATTTAAAATTTTATTTAGATTATAATAAAACATTTATATTTGGTTTAGTAACAAAATTTTTACTTGAGCCAAGTTCATATTAAAAATTAATTCTAGACAAATTAAAATATTAACTAAATATAATATATTAAATATCAAGCATCTATATTTAATAAAATTATAAACTTAAAATTATAATAATTTTAAATTCCATCAACTATAATTATAAATTAATAAGAATTAATTTAATAACAAAAGAATTGACAACAATACTAAAATAATAAAAAAATTATTAAATTTCAAATACAAAATCATAAATTACTAAATAACAAAATCAAATTATAATATTTAATTTTAATTATTTTTTATCTAACTTATACAAAAAAATTTATTAAAAATTTTCATCTAAAATTCATATATATATATATATATATAATTTCAAAACTTATAAATTTTCAAATTTATATTTTAATAAAACTAATTACAAAATTAAATAAATAAAACTCAACCTAACCTACCCTCCCCCACTCACCACCCACTCGTCCCCTTCAGTGCAGCTCTCTCCCCAAAAATTTCCCCCAAATTTTGATGGCCAGAAAGGCAAAAACCCTCATCCTCATCTCTTCTTCGTGTTTTCTTCTTCTCCCCATTTTTCTCTCTCACGTACCCTCATTAATGTCATTGTCTACAAAGTATCTAAATATCATCTCTCTCAAATTATCACAAAATCATCATTATTTTACAAAAATTTTGCCAAAAGAAAGATAATTTAATTTTTTCTTATTTTTTTTTATTTTGATTATTAATTCAAGACTTGAGATTAATTTAAATTTGAGTAATACGTGAATTGAATTATGATTATTATCAATTGAAGTTTTTTTCTGTTTAATTTGAATAAGTGATTAAGAAAACAAAAATAATGACAATAATGATATGTTATTATTGTTATTTCTCGTTACATTATCTTTTAGCCGTCGATATACATCATTTTAAATGTTATTCAATTTTTCAACAGTATTTTTTTTAATAACGATAACGAATGATGATATTATTGCAATTTAATGATATTATTGTAATTTTGCGGCCGTTATTCCATTATACAATCGCTATTTGAAACACTGATAACAACAGAAAGAATGGGACATAACAGAAATATTACCGATCTCAGAAAATCTCCATGCACCTTTTCCTCGGCTCCAATGGCTTTATCAAGAATTCCACCCGATGTTGAACTGGAGATAAGGCCAACCAAATAACTAAGTTTTCTACTTCCTAGTTTAAGCTCAAATACACATGAGACTTCTTCACTAAAGAACCATTGGAACTTGCAATTTTTCTGAAGATAAAACAACCCGACTCAAGTTAATTGGCAATGTTAAGCAAGAAGCTTTTACATGCAGCTGCTGGAGAAAGTATAGCAAAAAGCAAAAGTATTTTAGAAGGATCAGACAGTACGGGCACAAAGGGTGGAAATTACCTGTGACCTATAACGAAGCGTATAATGACACCTTTCTCTTCCTCCAATTGTTTTCGCTTCTCAGCTGGGACATTTATAGTAAGATTCCATTTATCATACATCAAGAGGAAGATAAAAGAAAAAAAAAAAAACCATTAAACTAAAAAATTCCATGAAAACAGTTAATTCACCTTGAGGCATCCAAGTTGCACGCACTGAATCTCTCCGCTTACGACTACTAAAAGCAGTGTTGATTCCTATAACCATAAAATATTTCCTTTTTAAAGTTGATTCAACATTCTTCAAGTCCTCAGATATCAGAAGGACTTTCATAATTGTCTCGCGTTCTACCCTAGCGGCCACTAATTGCATCTCCAAATCTGAAATGGCTTTTATCCACAGTCCTGCATTCCATGTACAGCAATAAGTTACGCATTTAAGGCCACATTAGAGTCAATACCTCAAATCCCGATGTAACAAACATCAGCTTGGCTTACTGAATAGAATGTTGGGACCCTGAAATGCCTCTAGAGCTATTTGCTTCATTCTTTAAAACCTTCCAAGTTTGAGAAAAGAATGAATATTACAAACAATCAGTTAGCAGTTAATAAAATCCAGACAGCAAAGTTTAGCACTAAACTGAAGAGAAAAGTTAAGGCGATACAAGCCATTAGAGTAAAAATTGCTACTCTACTAAAACCTATGGCTAATCCTTGATGTATGATAAATGGCACAGGAATGCAGGCTTTTAATGCCAACAAGCAGGCTCTTCAAAGCTCAAGCATATAGATAAGTAAGACGTGGGACAAAAAACACTCACAATTTTCAGATCACAGTCCACAAATTGTTCATCCCCAATTCTAGATTTCCTCGGAATGCCTTTGGCATCAGGCAGCATCCACATCCTGATTCAGTATTTTGCATAATTAAAATGATCAGCATATGTTATAAGTAAGCCATGGCAAAATTAAATATTGAACAAACTGTAACTTTAGAAGTCTCACTTTTCTGGAACATGACACAGAAAGTTATACAGTATGGTAACAAATTCTTTTTAGTAGAGATATAAATATTAACCAGCACCTGTATCAATCTAGATAACTTTGTTTAGGCAAAGGTTTTGAGTTTTTCATTTTTAACATGACACAGAAAATGTAGAGTTTGTTCCCCTGCTATAATCTCCTAGAAATTATCAAGTAAAAAGACAAAATGAGGTAAATACTAATCTTTAGATTTTAGACAATTAAGACTTTATTGTAGCACTATTCAAAGCTCTCCGAGCAGTTCAACCGATAAAGTCACAGCTACTAACTTCAGCACTTGATCTTGACTATAGCTTTCCCCTTTCAAAAGGGTGGTTAAAGGAATTGAAATAGCCCAAACTAAGTTCTATCCTACCCAGATTAAGAAAAGCAGAGAGAGAAACATGTACATAGTTATAGCCCACTAAAGCCACGATTCCTGGAAGTGTACAATGCAAATAATTAGTTAACAGTAGTTTGCTTTGCTCCATGATCATTTATAGTAAACAATTAGAGAAAGAAAGTCCTAGTACTAAACTTATTTATTTTTTGTTAATTTAACATTCATACACAATAATTATCACAAATTACAAGCATGCTTATTGAAGTACTTCCTAGAACTCCTTTCACAAGATCTACCAAATTCTCAAAATTCATTAAAACCAAATGGACCAAAATGCATCATTTAATTAGGCAACCACCAAAAAAAAAAAAAAAAGCAAATAAAAACTGCAAATTGAGGGCTAAAAACAGAATCCCAGAAAGCCAAAATACCTATTGGTGAAGAACATTCCTGCACAGAAGCTAGCAAAACAAAGCAAGAGAGCCGAGTTCCATGTTAAAACATGCTTTGAAGCAAACTCTCCTCTACTCTTCAAAGCAGATATTGTGGTCTTATCTAAGTCAGTATTTTCTCCCACCGAAAAAAAAATGCAAATTTATATACAACGGTGGAAATTTGGAAGAAAAAAGAAAACGCAGAAACAGATTTAGAAAGGACAAGACATCAATGGTTTAAAGGCCTAGTTTTTTATGACACACTGTATTTCTCCCTCTCTCTCTCTCCCACCTCAAAGAGACAAGAGAGAGAGAGAGAGAGAGAGAGAGAGAGTGGAAAAATATACACACTAACTACCCTCTTAATGCTTCCAAATTACAAAACCGTCCACTTTAACAAACGGTAGTCACTATCAAGGTCCCATTTTTTATGTTTCTACTTTCTCCTCTTAGTAACCGTCTTACAGTTTCTTTTCACTTTTGAGCTTGAACAGATTGTTTCGTCTTGTTTTTTTTCAGTGAGATATATAGCAATTCAATGTGTATTTTGACCAAAATATTTGCATTAGGGCCAAGGCCCACAGGAACCTATGAGCTGAAATTGAACTAGATGTCGGTGGTGGGTTTAGTTGGAACAAGAAACTAGGGATTTATTGATTTAAGATAGAAAATACATTGTACCTTTCTCACTGAGTTTTATCATGGCTTTTTAGTGATGGAAAGTTCTGATTTAGTTAGAGGGTTGAGTGAGAGTTGCTGCAAGGTATGGAAATGAAAAAAGCTCTGCTCCTAATCTAGTTATAACATGCTTACATTAGGTTACCTAGTCAATGTAACAAAACTGGAAATTCCTTTTCCTTGTATATAAAAAGTTTAATTCACATCATCCTCCAATGTTGTGCAGATTTTTTTTTTTTTAAAGTATATGTATGGCCAGGCCTTCCATTAGAGGACTCCCCATTTTACACTATCAATGACCTAATGATCTCAGTTAGAGTCACTGTGAAAAAGCAAAAGAGAATTAATTCCTAATATACACTTACAGAGTCAAATCAACACAAAGAAGCAGCATCCTCTATTTTTCATCAATGGATTGATTTGAAAGCCATGGCACATTTCTAAGTGATCGAACATCCATTTGATAAAATTAAGGGTTTTAAGTTTAAGTAGAGAAAGTGGTGGAAGATTTTTTGAGGGAAAAAATTGCAGGATTCGCTGTTGGCAAAAGGGTAGAATAAGAACCAAGTTGCGGAGATGCAAGAGTACAATGTTTGAATCAAAATGTAGCTTGTGTTTTAGATATAGATACTAGCTAGTTATATGAATATGATCAAGATCTGTCCAACCAGGAGCAACAAGACGATTCTCTTCGAACTTTTTCGTGTAGTGATGGCCCCTGATCCTGATGGAAATAGAACTGTGATGTGGATGTGTCTGAATAGTTTTATACCATTGCATTGCATATATAACTCTAGAATTTTTTTTTCTTGTTTGAGGAAACATAGCTTTAATTGGAGTTGAAGCTTCAAGAACAAGGTAGTTATCAGCTGACAGCTAGAACATAAATAAAGAATAGATTCATGGAGAATCACGATATTTGTCTTTCTCAGGAGGGGTTGACCTGTTAAAATTTGGAAGCAACATTGCTACTGAAGAAATTTTGATGAATTAGAAACATCTGCTACAGTTAAGAATTATTTCGAAAATCATGATTAATTATCTGAAAACAAGCCTACCCTGCTTTTATTTTTGGCTGTAAGCACTACCAAATCAATGGTCATACAAATTTTGCTTTAAAATTTGAAGATAAATACATAAAGCAGTAATGCAGCAGTAAAAGACTAGGGAGAAAGGAAAGTACAGCACCAAGCACCTAACGTGCGGTGGCTAATATAGAAACAGCTCAAATTTTGACAGGGTGAGAGTTTAGATTCCTTACTCCTGACTTCTTTGTCTTACCTTTGCACCAGCAAAAACAAATGAAACAATAGAAAATGGAAGAAAAAATAAAGCATAAAAAATGTATATAAGAACCAAGAGAGGAAAAGCAACAGTCATGACAGGAATAGAATTACAAACTACTAAAAATGGCTAAATCATAGGAAAAGAACAACTATAAACATCTAAATTTTGATGATAAATGCAAAAGCAGCCGAAAGAAGACTTGAAAGATGATTAATTAATTCTCTTTCTGTTAAAGGTGCACTCCAACTATACCAAAACACAAACCCCATTCCATTACCAGACAAAATCTCAGAGGCTGCCAACTATTTTTTTTTTCTTTTTTTTCCTTTTTCCCTTTCTTCTTCAAAAAATGACACCAAAAAGGCAGCTCCGACTTGTTTTACGACGAGTTCAATATTACATGCCTACAACATAATCCGTGCAAAAGTTGATAAAAGCAAAAAGGATAAATAGAATCGAAAGAACAATGAAGATGAACATGATGATGATCATGGTGGTGATGGCATTATATGATTGTTGTAATATGCAATGAACATGATGATTTGGTGTTGAACTGTGGATGGTGGTGTGACATTACTGCTCCAGGAAACCTGTTTTTGTCAAAACTGCATTCCTCACTTTGCTGAGATCTCTGCCTTTAAGCGTCCTTCCCATCCCTTCACAAACGGAGAAAGAAGAAATCTGACTCCTTGCAAGCTTCCTAGCTAGCCATTCATGTGGAGGGACTATATCCTCGTCTTCATCCTCTCCACAACCACCATAGTCTTCATCATCATAAACCATACCATCCCTATTGTCAACCCATGAACCGTTTCTTGATGATTCCATATTTGCATGCTTGCCATATATCTTGGACCAATCAGGGATGTTCATTGGAGCTGATGATTGCTGAGCCAACTTGGTTTCATGGCTTGCTGATGAGTTGGTAACTCTCCCTATCATTCTTGGTGTGCTTGGAAGGCGCCATGCAGAGGAAGAAGTTGAGGACTCCCTAGATTTCCTTAGCGTGGGACTTGAATCTTCCTTCTTCTCGTAAGACCAAACTTCTTCTTCATCAAAATCTTCATCTCTCATTGATCTCCTACTGCAACCACCACTGTTGTTGGCCATGATTCCATGCCAATCTGCCATGACTTTGCTCTAAGCAAAATGAAAGAGAAAAGATAAAAAAATTTGAGTGTAAAATGTCAACAGAAACTTGAGCAAGAATATAGTGGCTCCTGTCCATATGCATACGAGGGGAAAAGGTTTATTTTCTTACATTTATTTATTTAGTTCATGATGTTTTGTGTTGCTTGCAATCAGATAAATCTGAATTTATTTCTTGGGAATAAAAAAGGAGAAAGATGTAAGAGAACAATATCAGGAATCTACTTGCCTTTGTTTCAATACCCTCCAAAAGAACCAGAACCTTTCAAAGATATCACAAATGGGTACTTTGCTTAATCTCAAAAGCAATCAGCTGAACCCCAAAAACCAACTAGGAGAACAGAAGAGGAGAAGTGAAAAACACCCTTTTTCCCATGTGTCTGCCTAAGAAGATCACATATTTCAAGACCCTCAAAATAATACCCTGCAATAACGGGGGAGGAACAAGATAACAAAAATAGATGTAAATGAGATCATTTCTTATTTCCCCAACTTTTATGCCTTATTGTGGTCCAATCATCTTCAAATTCGAAAATTAAAAATAAAATATATTAGGTGATGAGAAAAATACTACTGCTACATCTATCTTATTGCTACTATTCTATAAACTTATCTCCAAATGGTTTCTGCAAAGGTAGGTTTAGATTTGGCAGTTGGCACCCACAGAAAAGAGGCTAGAAGAGGAGGGTATTGATGCATTGAACATATCCAGGAAGCTAGTTTTATCAGAGCATATCTACCACCTATAGAAACTAGTCAGTTTTCAGAGTCGATAGATTTCTTCATATGGGGTATTATTGTTTTATGCAAACTGAGTGTCAATTGATGAGATTTATTTACATAGGAGTAATATTTTTATACTAACTTTTTGAATATAAGTATGACTATATTCTTGCAATCACTGAAAAGACTGGCCTCTAATTGGGAAAGGTGAAAGAGAAGGATTGGACTGACCAACTTCACTGATTTCTGTAACCTTATCCACAACAAGCAGCAGCAACTCAGCTCATTTGGCGTTAGCAGAGGGGAAAAAAAGGCTTCGGTCACCGAGTGAAATGTGAAGGTAAGGAAATTTGAGGCAAACTTTTTCGAGGGCCTAGGAGAAGGTGCTTAAGGAGTAAAAGATTTGGTTGGGGGATAGTTGCATTGATATATGTGGTGGGGTGACTTTGTTTTTGTTGATCTTAGTATGTGATGGATGAATGATATATGATGACATAAATTTAACTGTGACTGAACTTTCCATCTGTTATTATTATTATTATGACTGCTTCATTCTTCAATGCTTCCTGGGGTTTGGGGAATTTTGCAGATGGTAAAATGGAGAGTGAGAGGGTTGGGGTGTAAAGGGAGGGGTCTTCGGTCTTCTGAACTCAAATCAGGAGCTTTGTTGGACAATGACCAAAGAGAAGGGGTTTTATCATCACTTAACAAGTGAGCATATATATGAAACTTTCAGAAGTTGGATTATTAATGTAGTAATAGTAACTAAACCCACATTAGAAACCTTCAAAACGTAGAGAAATTTTAATCCCTTTAAAAATTGGCTGTCAAAGATTTTGCATAACAAAAAATCACTTATTAAAGAGATTTGTAATGGCCAAAGAACCCATCGCTACCATTGATAAAGGACCAAATTTGATATAAGATTGACAAGCACCTGCAATAGCAAAAGCACATCTCTCTTTACATCTTTTAGCCCTTTTTTTCTTTTTCCTTTTTAGGCGATTAGTAGAACTCTCCAATGAATTGCAATGTAAAATCCTAGTCCTTGGGCCACCACCATTTATATTTAGGTGTTGGTGAGTTGATCCCTTCAATGCCAGCCAAAGCTGAGGCAACTTTGGTGGAGTAAGGGAAGGAAGATACACATCTCAATCACCAACCTTTTTCTTTCTTGAAATCCCCCCACAATTTTAATCATCGACATTATCTTACACATAAGAAATCATTAGTTTTTTTTTTTTCTTAAGTCAAAGGAGTGAATAATCAATTTGGACCTTACGATATTCCACATTCCAAAGTATATGTCATATGAAAAATCAAGCAAATTCAATTTGCAATGTGAAAGCCAATTGGCTAGCGTTAATGTTTCAAACATAGAATAAATTCTAGTGGATTTTATTGTCTTACCAACTTCTAAAGACTAAATACAACCATTTTTATGGTTTATTCTTTTCACATTATTTTATCATTTCAAATACATGAATCAACAACAGTAAAAGAAATTGTTGCTCTCGAGAAGGATACACATTTTCTTATTTTGAAGATAGCCTATTGCTTTTATGCTACACAAAAATGGATGATGGGTTTTAAGATCTAAAACTATGGCGGGCAATTTGAGCTTTTGAAAGGGAAGAACCAGTAAAAGATAGGTATCACTAAACTTTGTACAAGCTATGAGATGGTAATGATTTGCATCATTGCTTTATCAGCTTTTTTTCTTTTAGTATTTCCTTGCCGCATGGTAAAGCTCCAAATAATCAAGCGCAGGACGGTTCCAAGACCAGTCTTGCTCCATCACCCTCTTGCACAATGAGTAAAACCAATCTCGGCCGTGATATCAAGCAGAGATTGCCCTAGAATATCAATGAGTAATATATACAACTCAATATGTAGGACGGAGAAAGAGCAAGAACAAGAGGAAGAGAGTATAAATTCGGCAAAAGCTATGTCTTCCTATTACTCTAATGCATGAAGCTGAGAATATGGAAAACTCCGAAACTAATTGGTAGTGAAGGAAGAAATGCATTTACTAACTTCAGTGCTGAGAAATCAACTCACCTATTGAGGGCATAATCAACTCCAGCATTATCAGCTCTATCGAAATTAAATCCGTTCGGTTCAAGACCTTGTGCTTCTGCTCTAGCTTTATCATTGTCAACGTCAAAGACAGTGTCGTAAAGTCCTTAAATAAGAAGTAATGGAAACACAGTGTCAGTACACTTTGAGAGGTTCTAAGAACAGAAGCTCAATAAAATTGATATAAATAGAATCTCCATCTATGAAAAACAATAAATTTAATGAAAATCAGATGCAAGTTGTAAACACAAGAGAGTCTAGATGTCGTTAATAATGCCTGTGCACTTCCATGCATTGCAACAAGAGATCATTCACATATAAAGAAATCTCATTAATTAAGACAGAATAATATTGTTCAGAGATATCAAAATTGCACACTTAACGTGAGTATGCACCCCCTGTTTTACGGACAACTGGTATGGAACCATATCTCATTGCTGTCAGTTGTGTCAGTCCACAAGGCTCAAAAATTGAGGGGACAAGAATGAAATCAGCACCAGCATATATTTGTAAAAATAAATAAACAAAAAAAAAAGATGAATAATATTACGATTATACTGCAGAAGCAAAATACAAGTATGCTCCTTCAGACTAATAATAACTAAAAAAATAAAAAAACTTTGAGAGTATACACCGAGTGAGAAAGAGGCTCATCATAAGTCAAACAAAGGCGAGCATGATCCCCATGAGATGAATGAAGCTCGTTGGCCAAATTCCTGAAATCATTTTGGATGCAAGGATCGGGAGCTGAGCCAAGCAATACAACCTGGCACCAAAAATTCCATCATTTGCTTATTAAGATGCATTAAGTAGAAATACACAATCAAGTAGGCCTACAAGAGACACTAAACTTCCTTATTTACACATTCATTCCAAACATATGACACAACATGATTTGTGATTTATGAACTGTTTTATGCAAGCATACTCATGTCAAGAATGCAAGAAAACAAATGGTCAAGTGAAAGTCCTATAGTGTCGTAAGATTGCCAGAAGTCTTGAGAAATATCACATCAATAACACTATTGAGAAGTCCAGACTGATATAGACCTCATAGTGTGCGATTCTATATAAGGTCATACAGAGGATGGTGAAAGGGGGAGGGTGAGGAACCTGTCCATTGCGTTCTAAGGTGCGCCAAATTGCATGCTTGATGAGATGAGTTCCTTTCTGATGAGTTAAGCAAGTAATAATTCCAACCAAAGGAAGGTCAGATTTTGTCAAACCAAGCCTTTGCTTCAAGGCTTCCTTGGCAGCTCGCTTGCCTTCAACAACATTTTCTGAGGTGTAAGATATCTGGAATGACAAGCATAACACATCAAGAACAATAATAGTAAAAACAAGACAAAAGCATCAAATTAAATGTTCTAGAGGCCAATTGACCCTTTTTTTTCTTAAAGAACATTAATTGCTAAAGTTGATTTAGAATATTGTATCAACAAAATTATCAAGTCTTTTAAACAGCTGATCAGCACATTTCTCAAAATACAACTTTTAACAGTAGTTATAGCTTGATATATGATCAAGGCAGCTGATCAGCACATTCCTCAAAATACAACTTTAAACAGCATCTCCTAGATTTAAAAGCAATTAAAGTATAAGAGGCAAAGAAGGTCTCTTTAATTTAAATATGAATCAATAAAAAAAATCTACAGATGCATAACAGTTCATTTTTTTCATTTAAGGGTTGAGGAAAAGCTCATAGATAGAACATTTACTAAATAAAGGTATATCTACTTACAGGAATGAACTTATCATTATAGGGATCCCAAATATCTAAGTCAATTCCATTTAATACCATGGAACTTGTGAAGATGAGGTGCGACTGCAGGATTTCCAGCAACCTCCTTTGAGTAGGTGTGCGATACCTGCATAATATGAATAAGCTTACTCAGACATTATCACAGTAACTACGAAGGAGAAAAGACCACGAAATATCTTGTTTTTCATACAATAGCATGACATCATGATTAAGTCAAATAGGAAATTATAATTTGACTGGATTGAATCATCAGAAAGGGATGTATCACTTGCTCAGAATATTCTGAGTCTAGTAAATTATACTCAAGCATCTAGGCAGTTGTCTTTAAGGGTAGTAAATACTATGAACTCTTTTTTTCAAAAGAATAAATTTCTGAACCACTTAGCAGTTAATTATATCTCTTCAAATGAAAATGGAAAAAGCTAATGCCTACTGGTACGGTGGTACCCGAAGGATATGGGTCCTAAATTAAGCACATTATATATCTTTAAAACATTTCCTTTGTATAAAGAGCAAGTAAGACCACCAAAAGAACCAAATATAATGAAAAAGCAAGAGAGATTGATCATAAATACACGATATTGAAGAAAATGTTTTTACATGTATAGAGCTGGAAAACATAGCTATTCAAGAAGTAAATGTTATTAGCAAAGATCATGAAAAGAAAAAATTCTTAACATTTTGATTAGAAAATACCACAAGTAAAGAATAGAACACACTTTTATAGAAGTTGAAAAATTAAAACAAAGATACTATATTAACTAAACTACATTAACTACTAGGAATCTTTAAGTACATACAGTTGTAGCCTTGTCAGTGTTTGCCATAGCTTTCACAATGAAGTGTGCTTGAAATTCAAGGTTATGTATGGTGAAGACAACCCGAGCTTTGCCAAGACCATAATGCATGTAATGGTCCTTAACCAGCCATGCAACTGGGGCACTAGATCAATCATGGCAATGGATGATATCCTGACAAGAGTTAAGCACATTTAAAATGGTTATTCTTCAATATTTTTTTCCCACGAATGCAAGAAAGACAATCTTTGAAGATAGTGGTGCACCATTAGTATTCTTCCACAAATAAATTGTAAGGCCTGTGAGCTGAACAGCAAAACAAGATGGGTTTGACAATGGCTAGGGACACAAGTACCACGATGCATGTAGGTGATTTACTCAAATACTGCCAAGCATGTACATTTAAATATTTAAGACAACTGTAAGTTGAATCATAAACTTACAGGGTGAAATCCACCTTGGTGTAGAAATTCGAGAGCAGCATGACAAAAGAAACCAAACCTCTCTGCATCATTTCTGCAACCATAAACATGACCCATCCAAAAGAATCTGCAAGCAACAACACACCAAAGGATTCTTATGATCATAATTTGTTTAACAAAGTGAAAATTTTAATTCTTAAAGATGCATCAGGATTATCAAAATTACCCGTTTTGTGGCTCCAGAAAATAAACTGAAAGGTCTTCCACTTTCGCAAACCAAACTTTAATTTCAGTGTCACCCCAAGAATAGCTTCTTTGGTAATGTAAGTCCTTCACCTATATCATAAATTTGACAGATCTGAAATTATTAAAAAGACAAGTTTGATAAAATGAAATGAGATGAATGAATTTTTTTTTTTTTTGTTTTTTGAATATTAAGATATGAATGAATGACAGTTAGAAGCAGATTATGTGATAATAAATAATTTTTAAGTAGCATCCACGAAATTTTTCATCACGAATAGCCCAAAGAAGGACGTGCACAGGTAAGCCATGTATGAAACTTTTGTTTTCAAGAAAACCCAATAAGAAAGGTGTATACAACAATTTTGCACTGATATCCTATTAAAAGGAAAATGTACTTCAGCCAACTCATGCAGAGATAGCTAACATCAGATGCAAGCTTACAGACAGGATGCCTAGTAAGCAAGAATACAAACCAGAAAATTCCACAATTTAAGGAAATTGAGGCAATATCTCCAGAGAAAACAATCAAGATGAAAATCTGGCTAAAGGGACAGCGATGAAGCTTACATGGCTAAGGTTCAAGCAGTCATACTTTGGAAGAATGATGTCTACATTGTGGTTTAAGTCTTGAACAGCACGAGAGAGACTAGTAACGACATCACCAAGGCCTCCAACCTACAAAGTTATAAAAGGAAGCAACTGAGAAAAAGATGGAAAATGGAAAATCTTTTGGGTTTTTACTACATATATGACCACAAACTAGACAAAATTCAGTTATATGATATACTCTACAAAGTCAGTTATATGAAATACTCTACAAATTTCAGTTATATGACTTATATCAGGTGAAGAGCCCAGATGTTTGCGCTGTCCCATTTCTGTGAGTGGTGCAACATCCTGTCCCCCCAACTGTCTCATTTCCAATACACTTTTCATTAGGAGAAGACATGTCTGTCTGGCCTTCTTTCAGCTTAAAAAATTTTCTCTTCATTAAGAGAGAGAACTTAAATGGACTCATAAGCAAATAAAAACTAGAAAAACCTTAATATAAATCAGTGGAATGAAAAAGTTTTTAGGAGTGTCAACTCCTTTAATGTCCAAAAGTTACCTTTGCAATGGGGGCCATCTCAACAGCAATATGCACAATGTTTATTGGTGGCTCTTTCACAATTCCACCAAAAATAGGTATATGGTAATCCATGCCACCTTTGTTGTAAAAAATTCCACCATCTTCCTTCTCAGAGAATACAAAGTCCATCATATATGCATCCAATGGAACCTTGACTGCAAAGACACATAAAGTAAGTCTTAGCTTCCAGAAGTAGAAAAAAACCTATGAAGTGCAGGCACATCAAGAATGCAACAGTAATACAAAGATCTGATACAGCAAAAGCCAAAAATATAAAGAACACCATATTTCACCTAAAGAGATGATACAAAGCAACAATTGATCAGTCATATATACCTGAAACTTAGGCATATATTTAATTCCAAATAAGTTATTAGCTATGAGATATCTGGATCTGTATTTCACATTTATACTCTTGGACTGAAATAGTGAACACAAATAGCAGATGATCCAAGAAGCAGGACAGTTTTCTATTTACTAAAACAGACTATAAAGGATACCGACAGAAGAAAATGTCATAACCGGAAAACATACAAAAACCGAGTAGTTTAACTTCACTCATGACAAGAACAAAAAGCTTTAGTCTCCACTTTAAAGAGAAAAAGCTATATTCAAAATGCAAACAGATACCATACAACTCAAAATCCCAAGAAGGTTGACTGAATTTACCAGTGGCTTTTACATGAGAACCATTATCTGCAGGTAACATTCTCTGAGGTGGTAATGAACCCAGAAGGTGAGTCCAACGATTAAATGAACATCTGAACCATACTTCAGGTTTTCCATTCAGAGCTGTGTTAGCAGGATTGTAAAAAACTGTCACTGTGCTTCCTGCGTGAAGATCAAGAGGCTCAGTAAAAACTATATGCCTTTGAGAAAAAAGAAATCTCTTCAAAGTTCTTTTCTTCATTTCAGCTTTCATACATGCCGTTTTTTCAGCCTATAACAAAAGAAGAATAAGAAAAAGAAATCAGTCAATGTATATGCAGAAAATGCTTTTCTAGTAGCAGGCTTTGGCATTCTAATAATGGTTTAAATCACATTCTTGCCACAGGAAGAAAAGGCATGATAAGAAGCCAGCCGTAAACAACCCAAGCAACCACATCTCTGTCTTTGCCATCATAGTCAGTGAACAACAACCTAATCTTTCATAGCAATGTTCTTAAATGTAACTAACCTAAACTTTCTATAAGATTTCCTTAGGTGTGCATGTCATGAAAATTACATCTTTAATAGATTCAAAAGGAGAAGGCAGGATGAAATTTGAATCTTCAATATGTTCTATCATGCAGAAACTGACAGTAATTATTCAGAATATAGTTTCATGGAAACTGACCTGCACGTATGGCCTCCTCTCTTAGTTTTCTCTCCTCTTGAAGCTTCCTAAATATCTGGTGTTCTTCCTCAACCCAGTAAAAGTCTTCAGGAATGCCTTTTGGGACAATAGCATGGAAATCTTGATAATTATTGTTATCATACATAGTGGCAACCTTAGGTGGTCCATCAGCAAAGACCCAATCCAACACAAGGGCTCGATCAGGTATAACAACTGTTGAAAATTCCATCTCAGTCGTATGATAACACACCACAGAAAAGTCCCTCTAATTACAAAGTATCATCTCAATCAACTATGCGAGCAAGCACAATCAGATGACCACAAAACAACTACATTTCAAAAGGAATAAAACGGTTCTCTGCCCAACCAAATCAAACACATTAAAGAACTCCAAGATAGAGGCAACAAGCATTATGTGATTCCTGCATGTAATTCAATGTAAACATAAGTTCCCGTGTGATCAAGCAAGCATGTTTATGGCCATAACAATCATTTTATTCACCAAGATTTAAATATCCAATATCTTGTATATCAAGCAACATTTTCATGGCATATTGACAAGTGTCTGGAAAGGGGATCCAGAATAAACTATAGCAAATGGTGGGGATCAAATTTGGCAGATTTCAAGTTTTAGACTCACAGGATATCACCTTTAATATCATCCACATTGTACCAATAACAAATTAAACAGAAGATAAATGGTCAAACATACCTTCTGCATACCACCAGTCACCACCCTCTCTCTCTGATCTGACAAGCTTTTCAACAATAGTTAACCCATCATTCCAATTATTATGTCCCCCATGAATGCAAAGCTCATTGGCATGAGTAAGAGAGCCTGAACTTTTGTTATAATGTAACTTAACCTTCTCTGCCCCAGTGAATTCATTAGGCTCTATGAACCAAATGTTATCAATAGATCTGGCAGCCTTTTTCATCAATTGTTGCAACATTTCCTGCCTCCTTTCAGTCTCCACCCTTGCTTGTGCCCTTTCTGCTTCGCTTGCAGCCTTCTCTGCTTCCATTCTTCTTTGCTCTTCTTCTCGCCTTTCCTTTTCAGCCCGCTCTTTTGCAAGTTTCTCCAGTTCCCTTTGTTTCTCCTCAAGCAAGAAATCTTCAAATGCAAACACATCTATTCCACCCTCCACAGGTATGCAAAAATCCTTTTTATCATTATTGTCATATACATTCTGCCCATTAAAGAACACAAAATCCATCTTGTAAGCTTCCTTTGGAACATGAATCTGGCAAGACCACCAATCCCCTTTGAGATGGGTCTTATTCAATTTTACAGTGAACAATCTCCATCGCCAGTCATTGAAGGCTCCCATGATCAGAACATCAGGCTCATCATTCAAAATGGAGAAACCCTTATTAAAGAACACTTCTATGTCTTCATCAGGTTTTACAATCTGAGGATAAACAAAAACTTTGTTCCCCCTCAAGAAGTTTTCCTCAGCAAGGCCCTCAATTTCCTGTTTACACAATTTTACTTCCATCTTCAAATTCAATTTTAGAGAAGCATCGTCAATTGTTTTTTCATCAGACTCGACGCTTTCATCCTTGACAGTAACAGTGTCGTCAGTTTCTGTACCATCTAAATACTTTCCTTCAGAGGCTACATCTCTTGATGTACTCACAATATCATTTTTCAAAATTGTGTCTTTCTTCTGTAACCCCGCAACATCTTCGAGAATCTTCCTTATACTTCCATCTTCCACATTCTGGTTGCTTTTGCCAACAGCTAACTCTTTGCCCATTGATGGTATATCCTCTTTTGGCTGTTCCTTTTCACCCTCATCTACCTTATTCTTCTGATAGAGCTCAACAGTCGATACATCCTCAAGTGCAATGTTTGATTCCATTTCAGTCTCGTTAGGCTCGGCAGACTCACTTGACATGGGAATGCTTGAATCCTGTTTCTCATAATTATTCTTTTGATCCCTCTTCTGGGTGCTCGTTCCTACTTGTGTTTTTGGGGAGAAACCCTTTGGAGCTGGACCTTTGGAGGTGGGGTTAGACAATCCTCTTTGTCTCCTCTTTGAAAAATCTACAGAAAGCCTCAATTTTTTAAAAAACACATTAAAGATTGGTTATCAAAAACGTTAACTTAAAACCATAGCACATTAGTTTGCAACAACTAACCAGCTGTACTGGCATTAACTCTATGTGGAAGCCTGCCTGCAGGGCACTCGCTGCGCCATGGAGTAAACTGAAATCAAAAATCAAAATTAGAACAATCATACGAGGTAAAAGCGATCCTAATACAATTCCACTCGAAATTATTTACTCAAAGAGTAATGCTACAAAAAGACATAACACTGCCAGAGCAAGTAGTACTATGAAAAAGATTGAAAATAAAATACTCAACTATAAACAATGGAGAGACGTGGCTTTTATATGAAACAAATGCCATTATGCCATTAATAACCCGACACAGTGAACACAAACGCAGAAGACAAATAATTAGTGCCATCTATCATTTCAATTAAGGAAAGAAAACCCATGAATCTTTCAATCCAGATACACCTAAAAAACCAAACTTTGTGGTCAAAATCAAACAAGAACAAGAATACGGAACACCTAACAAACAAAAGAGGAAAAACATAGTAAGTTTACCAGTGTAGCTCTCGTAAAAGGGAATGAGCCCAGACAAGGTTTGATCTTGAAGCAGTTAGTCGCGTGGTTAAACACAGCTTCGTCACTCAATGGTCTCTGTACTTGAAAAGACACCTCCATGGCTAAGTTGTCAGAATATAAGACAAAATGTTTCTAGATCAAATTCATTCACGAACTTGATCCCTCTAGAAATGCGCACATCTTGAATTTAATATTATTCCAAAAATAATTATAAAAAGCCAAAATTTTAAATTTTATACAAAAACAGGAAGTCCTGGCTGATGACAATAGAATCTCAGCCATAAAACACTTGCAATTTTAGAATGTTATGCCATTTAAGAAATCAAAAACTTTTACCAGTGTAATGACCGTTGGTCTAGGATTGATGGTTGATCCTACGGTGAAACATGAGTTGAAATGGGTGTCCTCCAGAGTAGAGTAGCCTTTAACATACAATAATATAAAGATCTTTGCACCGAAGTTCAGAAGCTGTCAGTTCGTCTAAGGGCCAGATGGAGAATAACCGTAGAATGGAATCAACCAGGATATTGACATGTCAAATTGCAAGTTGCCATGTGGACACATCTCTGGGGACACAGTTTCTTAGCACAAGTCACCATTTTTGTTGTCGTTGGTTAGTTTGTCCTCCAGTGCTATGGTGGTTACCTTCATCTTTTCAGACATGACAGTTGTAAAACATATCATTTACTATAAAAAAAAATTCTACCAAATTTCAACCTGCTTAAGGGTTTCATACTCAAGTCTCAAATAAAAACAGCTATACAAAATTAAAAATTATATAAAGCTATTAGCTAGCTTTCATAGTGATATTATACAAGTTTTTTTTTTATTATTTTCTTCGACATATTCAAAACTATATAGTAATTTGTTTGCCATGGAAGAAAATGAAATGTAGTGAAAAAATTTTTAAAATCTTTAACTACCACGCTTATCTCATATGGACTATAAGGCAAATGTTTTTGAAGAATAAAAGGGCACTAATCAGGGACGGATGAAGCACGTGGGGGCAGTTGCCCTCACTGAGTTCATAAAATCTTTTGGGTTTACTATAAAAAATACCAAAAGTTTTGAAAATTTAAAATTTGACCCTTATAGAAAATCTTTGTAATCACGTTTGCCCCCCACTAAATTAAGGTTCATACATGAAAATTTTAGTTATTTATCTAATAATTGAACATTAACACTTTGAGTGCTAAGCAATATCATTATAATATATATACACATATATATTTTTGAGTTTGTAAAAAAATAAAATAAATTATTTTTAGAGAGTTTGAAATTACTAAACTTTTAATTTCTCATAATAACTTGTTTAGATTGATGCAAACTGATATTATAGAGATAATGAGATATAGAGCTTGCATAAAATAAATAATCATCTTCATTCTTCTTTTCATTATATGTGAGAAAATAATAATTTTTAATTTTTCAAATCATAATGAATAAAAATCAAATATATTTGTTTAGTAAAAGTAAATGATAAAACTAAAAATATTAAAAGTAAATAATAAAATTAGACATGTTAATTTTTATTTCATTTTTTCACATATTATATTTATTTTTAAGAATTTAGTAAGTAACATTTTATTAAATTAATATACATGTGTGTGTGTGTCTATTATGATAAATAATTTATCTAAATAGTGTTTGGACTATATTCATCAAAAATCATATAATTAATTATGCAAATATTATTTATATTGCAAAACAATTTTTTTTCATTTACAAAAAATATTATAGTGCTAATTTTATTTGTAATTTTTAAAATTAATTTGTATTTTAGTGAAAAAAAAATTTAAATTAACGTAAAATATGCACCTCCACTTATCATAAATTCTGGTTCCGTCACTAGCACTAATATTAACCCAAAGTATTAAAACTTATTTGACCGTTAAGAATTTTTACATATCTTCAGAGTTAAAACAAGACTGTTGCTATAATTTTGCAACTCGGAAGATTTTCCAATTTTAACCCAAGAATTAATTAAGTCTCCATTCAATATATGGTACGTTAGTCCTAAACTCAAACTCCCAAAAGGCTAAAGTATATAAAAAAAATCAAAATAAAAAATAAGAAACCCAAATGCTATATTTTTCTAACTCTGTTAAGCATAGAGTTATTGTTTGAGCCTCCTCTCCAGTCACAAACCCACTGAAGGATTATCTCACAAGGATTTACATTGTTCATAAATCATAACATGCTTAGTTTCTGTTAACCATTAAATATTAAACATTCCAAAACCATAAATTTCTGTTAACCATTGAACAAAATAAGATGCTTTATGGAGCAACTAAACAGGTAACCCAGGTTAATTTAGGTCCAATTCATAACCAAATATGAAAATTAAAATATTTGAGATCATGTTGCTTAATCATAAGATAAGAAGGCAGGGCAGGTACAGGAAAAGTGAAGGATGAGATTTATCATATTTAATTTAATTATTGAATCAAAAAATAGAACAAAACTCAAACAACTATTAATAAGCAGATATGTTCATCTTCTATTTGCTCAAGATTGTTCACATACCTTTATGGGACTTTCTGGGGCTTTAGATGAGCAGCGATTTTTTTGCCTAACAAAAAATCTGAAACAAGTAAATGCGTTAAATGAAATAGGAACTTAGTGCTTAGTCACGAATAATTGTTAGATAGCATTGCAACTAAAGATGATTATATAAGTTACCTGATGCTTAGATTTGCAAGGAAGAAAACGTTGCTGAATTGCTTTCCAATCCGTATTATATTCCATTAAGCCCAAAGCTAGTAATCTGTATCAAAATCCCAAATATGAAAATGATGAACCTTCACAAGCTTTGTTTTTCTTCTTGTTTAACTAAATGAACCTTCACAGGAGCATAGACGCATAATGACAAATCAAGACAATCAACTAACAAGAGAACAGGGAAGCATGTAACTCACTCGTCCTCTGCATCAGTAAAAAGAACCCGATTTGCAACTGCCACAGGAGGTGGCTTATGTGGAAATAATGCTGGATTGAACAATGGAAAAAATCTCTCTGCTAATTTGGCAATTTCCTTGGGGACTACAGCAACTGACTGCTTTTTGGTTTTCTCAACAAGTGTAGCAGCCAATGTCTTCTTAGGTGGTGGCTGACAGACTAATGATGGCACTGAACAGCCAGCCGATACGGTACTGCCTCTTAATGCTTCATTATTAGCTTCCACCATAGATGGAAAACAAGGAAGAGGGAACATAGGCTCCTTTTCATATTGAGTAGCACGACTATTCTCCAAGTGACGTTGTCGATGCTCCTGGACAGCTGTCATAATAATTGTAAATTGTCAAATCCCATGGCCAAGCATAGCAAGCAAAACAAGAAACAGAAAACAAATTATTCAGTTTAAAAACAGAGCATACCAGAATAAACATCATCCAAGTATCTTCCAACTAAATTAAGCGGAGCAACATCAAGAATGGATAATAATGGGCAGCTTAAAGAGGGCACCCACGAAGAACACAACTGCCCATTATTTTGAGTATCAGGCATCTGAGTATTTGGGGAAAAGGAAACTTCATTAGCATTAAATATAGATTTTTTAGAGGCGCTGTGCGTGGGGCACAAAAGGGGGACCTCATTTGGAACTGATGAAGAGACATATGGAGGCTTGAAGCAAGTGTCAGGATATGGCTGACTTTTACATGCTATTGCTTCATCTCGTTTGAGAAGCATCTCAAGAATCAATCCCTGAATTTGAAATGCAATGTGCTGCCGAGAATGATCAAGCACACAGAGAGAAATATTTGAATAAGAAGTTGCACATGCTCATGTATCAAGCAATGCAACTGGCCTATTTGTTGCAGAGTGAATCCATTGATGACAGCATCTACTGCTGCAGGGGGCACACAACTCCGGTAAATCTCAGGCATCCAAGTTTTCCCATTAAGAGCAGGTATGGGTGCAATTGGCCCATTAGGAAAGATTGGTAAGAGGGGACGCAATGGCCTCTTATTTCTGCTCAAAAACATTTCTTTCATGTTGGGCAGAGGTTTTTTGCCTTCTATTCTGCCTTGTCTCTGGCCGCCGTTCAGCTCTTTGATTTTCCTCTGCCTGTGCCTTTTCCAATGTTGCTTCAGCATAATCACTTTCAAGTAACTCTTCAAGTTCTATTTCAAAATCCGCATCATTGTCCTCATCTTCATCATCAACATTTTCATTTCCCTGAGTTGACTGGTGATCAGCATCCCCACCTTGCAAAACAGCTGCAAGAAATTTCCTATACTCCCCTTCATCATCAACATTTTGAATGTCATCCTCATCATCTGTTTCCTGAAGAAATGCCTCAAGTTCATCAAGCGTGAAACTGGCAAGTGAATAACGAGCCCCAGTACGCCTGCAGATAGCATCATCCAAAAGCATTAGAGGCTTCTCAGAATGTGTAGCATTACCCAAATCTCCCACCATACTTTTCTTTACACTGCTCAAATGACCTTCCTTTTCTCTTTCTGATTCAGAACTAAGTCTAGCTTTCCTCTTGTTATGTTTCCAGGGAACAGTATTTTGTAATTCAGGGGAGGCAGTACTTTGCATCACAGTTTCCTCCTCACAATTCTCAAAATCTCCAACATCAAAGTTTGGCACCATAGTATTTGCATCAAAGTTTGATGAATTGACATCTGTAGTAACATTAGTATTTGCTCTACCATTAACAACATCACCATCTAAAACCTCAATTTCTGAGCCCAAACTAGAAGAAGCTTCCGGAGAAGGTGTTTCCTTCAAAAAGGAATTGAAATCTACATCTTCCTCCTCGTCGTCCTCATCCTCCGCTTCTTCCTCCGCCTCCTCCTCCACACCAAAATCAGGTTTTGAACGACCATCACTTACAATAGCAAGAGCAGTTTGATCACCTTGGCTCCCTGGTTGAATATTCTCACACAACAACATTTTGAATAAAGGATTTAATACCAACAACCAATCCTAATGAACAATTCCTCTATAAACAGCAATTACCAAAAGCATCCATGAGATTTAAAAAGCGACACACCTATCACTACACTGAAGCAGAACAGAACTGCAATGAATAATTACCGCAAACCACGACTAAAAAAGACATGTGCTTCAATCATCATCAACATCAATCTGGAAACAAGACAATTCTCTTATATATAACAGTTAAACTAAGATCAGATTTTGAATCAGCGCGTGGAAGAAGAAACAACTAATTTAAACTGTTGCAAATATAATTCATCAAATTAGATGATCGCACGTAGGGAAATCAACAAAGCGAAAGCATTAGCCTAGTAATTCATTGGCTGCAATTGAATAATATCAATTTTAAATCCTAGTTTAACTGCATTGTACATAAATCATCAAGAACCCTCGCTCCCGAGAGAATTTAATAAAAACTAATGAGTTTAGCAGATTAAAAACCGGGAAATTTTCGCTGAAACATTTTAAAACATGAAAAACAAGAACAAATTATTCAAAAGAACAAAAATGAAAGAGGAGAATCAAGCTGGTACCAGCAAATTAAATTGGGTTTGTGGGGGAGTTTGGGGAATTTTGGGCGCGGAAGAGCATCTTGAATTGGGCCTAATTTAAGATAATTTAAAATTGGGGCTCAAAGGGCCAATTATTTGGGCCTAAAGTCCTTAAGTGTTTTAAGTTTGAATTAATTCATATGAAATTAGTTGTACTTGGGCCTTACAAATTCAACATAACATAAGACAATTTAAAAGTCGGCCTCAAAGGGCCTAGTATTTGGGCCAAGAGATTCGGGATTAAGCATTTTGCAATAAGGAGTGTCAGTGGCCCATCAATCACCATTGGCTTCCGTCATCATGAGATGAATGTTGAAATGTGCTAAGTTGCTTCCAAAAAGAGGCAAAAGTTAAAAAAAAAAAAAAAGATTTGTTATCACTCATCGCAAGAAGGGGCATGCATGCATGCATTCTTACGTTTACTATCAATTATCAAATGCATATATACATGTAAAAATAGACGTAACATGGCAAGATCACCGTATCGTCTCGAGTTTGTTCGTGATTTATTAGGATCCGTACATTTTTCTTTTTTTAAAATTTTTTAATATCATCAAAAAATATTAATTTTGGTTCTCGTGAGGCAAGTTTGCCATTTTCTGTTGATTACTCTTGCAGGTATAGCCAACTTTCTTCACAATCGAGACTAGAAAAGAGTGACTCTCTTTAGCAGTAAACGCCGGAGAGTATTACTTGCAAGTGTTAAAAAAGCGTAAAATGATCGCAACTGTGCTTATTTTATTACCAAATGTGTGTCTCTCTCTATTATTAATTAAGCAGCAGTGCAGCAGTGATCCAAAGCAAGGTCAGTTACTTTTGTTGATAATAGTTAGGAAATGGGTGCCAAAGTTCTGTTCTTCTTTGCTTTCCTTTGCTTTTCAGCTCCGTCTGCATTTGCTGAGAATGAGGAAGACCCAGGCCTTGTTATGAACTTTTACAAGGATACGTTGTCCTCTGGCTGAAGACAATATCAGAGAGCAAGTTAAGCTTCTGTACAAGAGCCACAAGAACATTTTCCATGATTGTGCTGTTCAGGTAAATTTATATGCAATCTTTTTCACTATTTGTTGTTCTATATTCTTTAGTTACAACTTCCAAGTTACATGCATATGTTTTATTTTGCTTCTTTTTTTAGTAGTCATATGATGCTTCACTGCTGCTTGACTCAACAAGAAGGACCTTGTCTGGGAAGGAGACAGACAGGATCTTTGGCCTCAGGAATTTCAGGTACATTGAAACCATCAAAGAAGCTGTAGAGAGGAAGTGTCCTGGTGTTGTTTCTTGCGCAGATATCTTTGTGTTGTCTGCTAGAGATGACATTGTTTCGGCAATTTCTTTTGACCCTCTTTAGATTACTCGTCTTCTTTAAAAAGTACACTTCTGTCTATGGGAGTCTCTTAACTGTTTTTTTTTCACTCGAAACACTCCTTGCTCCAGATCTGCAAGATCGGTAGTAGGGGTTTCTTTTGATTAACCTACTAGCCTTTGCTTTCCCACTCCTTTGAAGTTTCAATTTATAGTTCTTCTCTTATCTATATAGACTGTGTTGAGATGTTTCATTTCCTAACATGTATTTTCTTTTTCTGATCCGAAAATAAGTACTTAAAATTCATTCTGGTTGTTGCAGGTATTTCACCTCTTTTCTATAAAGATGCTTGTGCCTTTTAATTTTGTGAACTACTAAATTTTAGCTTGTCAGGCAGGTAAAATTATCCTGAATTTACTTGTTTCAGCCGGGAGGCCCTTTCATCCCTCTCAAAACTGGAAGAATGATAGCAGCAGTGAAGCATGATGCATCGTGGGGGCCCTTAATTACATCCCTTCATACATAATCAATGAAGAAGAGACGGCAGCAGTGAAGCATGATGCATGGATTTCAATGATTTAGTACTTTTGATGATTCATGCATGAGCCTTCTCTATTACGATGTCATGATGATGAGTGCATATTAATGAATTTGGATCAATTTGATGAAAAAGACCCCATCCGAAGAACAAGAAAGAAATAAAAGAGACTGTGGCCCCCAAGTGTCGACCAAGTTGGATAAAAGACACCAGCGAAAAAATAATTAAACAAAATGCAAACATTGGGATATTTAAACAGGTTGGATCTTTGATGATAAAAAAAAGATTTACATAGGAAGGATAAGATTCCATTATGTCAAGAAATATATGTTTTATGCCCTAAAAATTTACTACCCTGATATATAAAAATGTAGTGCAGACAGAGATGAATGAAGAATGAAGAATGAAGGTGTGGGCCTGAGTCTCACTCAATGAAAGATATAATATATATGAATTATCAACCTTGAGCGCAAAAGCTCCGAGTATGGAACAGACATTGATAGCGATGGCTATGATATCATTGAATTTGTTTATCTACAATATAAATATTTAAAGCTGTGATTTCCGGTAATGAGTTATTAATAACTTGAAGCCTGCGGGTCAAAAACGTAATGGGGTTAATGATTTGTAACTAATTATGAATCAAGTTCATGAGAGATGATTGACAGATGATTTAGCCTTGATAGGCAGAATGTTCATCAAATTATGATAAATTATCTTGCATGTTTGAGGCAAATTGGTGATTTATTCATTATATAAAAGGTGCAATGTCAGGACTACAAGACTCCTGACCATGATTTAGGCAGTGGAAAAAACATGAGCGTTTACCTTTTGAGTCATACACATGATGTGTAGAAAAGGCTCAAAATGCATTATATCACTACCTGCATATTCGTTCCTTTTCTTGTGTGATAATTTACAAGAAATATTGTAAATGCACAGACATTCCACTATCTGCAGCTTGCTAATGCCTCTTTTGGTTCCTCCATACTGCTTGAACTGCTATCTGAGTCACTATCAGGTTCCAAGGATGCCAAAACATTCTTCCCATTGCCTTCTATTATTTTAGGGAAAAAAGAACTGGACGAAGGCTGATTATAATAAGGCTGTGGATGGATGGAGATGTAATTTGCATTAGTTGGAAAAGATCGATAACCATATGTAGTTGGATAAGGACAGGGAGGAAGGACGATGGGAGGAGGCCAATTTACCATAGGCGTGAAATTATTTGCTGGTTGTAGTGGGAACAAGTGATATGGGGTTTGATTATGGTAGGAAACATTATTACCATGACTGTTCATCATTGTGTTTGAGACTTGTGTAGTATCAGCTTGAGCCTGGGATGCTGCGGACTGAAATGCTGCCATTGCATGAGTTTGAATTGAGGTGTAGCCCATGAGCCCAAATTGGGTAGCATGTGTTGAACTTGAAGGTGTTGATTGTTGAAATGAGACTTTTGGCAAATTATGAGAATTTTTATTGGAGTTTGTCTGCCTTCTTCCCTTAGTTTTTGTTGAGGTAGTCTTCCCAGTTAATCGCTGAGAACTAGGACTAGCCTGCCGAAAAAGCAAGATATATAGAAAATTGGCAATGGATTCAAGATGAGATCATATCACCAATAGAGCAGTCTCCGCTTTTATGCATCACTAGATAACAAATGCATTGTATCCTTTCCATCAGAATGATGTATACCTCACGTTATCCAGTTAATTTTCTAAAGTCAGCTTCCATTGTATAATTAAGGACAGCATACAAATTCCTCTCCTAAGCAATGGTTTTTATAGTAGTCAAATGACTCGGATCATAAATGGTTTTTATGGGAATGTGATGTGGTTCCGACATTAAGAAATAACTCATAGGTCATAGCCAATTTTCCTACCACGCACTCATGTTATCTTTCTCCTTGATAGCATGGCACTTGCAGTCCTGTGCATTAAATTTGTCACACCAGCAACGGAAACTAAAATCCTCAATAACTATAAATGAAATATCGTACAATGTGATCCAGGAATTAAGATCTTACAGTGTCGAAAGCTATCGAATGTGAAAGAAACAACTCTTCACCTTCAGCATCCTCATCTGTCCTGCAATATGAAGGTTGAATGTTAAGTGAACTGCTCTATAAGATGAAGCTGTAAAAGCGTCTGCGGATATTCAGAAAAGACCATGCGAAAAGCGAAAAAGGCAGTGCGAAGGTCAAGCACTATCAGACAGATTAAACAATGCAATCTGTGTGGTTATTTGTTACTTTACTGAACCAGATACATCATAGCGCGCAGTGGCAAAGTGCAACCGGCCAACCTAATCCAGTATTCTATAGGGATAATTTGACTCAAAGATGATGGTGATTTATAATGACTTGTCCTCTTCTTCCGTTCTATATGTGAGTGTTTGTCCTACAAGTCTGTCACGTTTCTGGAACTCCTTACCTATAATACTTTTGCAGCAAGTCTAAGTTCTTGTATTTTGTTTCTCTTTGAACAAAGTCACCAGGAAAACCTGCCATGAACAGAAGTGTGACACCCAAGCCCTTGAAGAAGAAGCTCCCACTGCGAATATGGACTAGCATTGCCATTCGGCACATGACAGGTCCAAAAGACTTCAGTTTATTTCTTCCCATTCGCTGCCTGACATATCTGGGAAAATTTCAGCCCAAAAAATGTGCCTAGGTTAGGCTGATGAGGTTCAAGCTAAAGTATTTTAGGTGAAGAACAATTGAACAATGGTGTTTATGAAAAACATCAAAAAGTCAGTTTTTTCTAATAACAATGAAGATAGACAGGGTTTTTACAGGTAACCACATAAGCAAGAAATGAATTGCGGTTCTTATGGGTGTAGAAAAACTAACCATAATATGTTAATCAATTATCAAAGCAGTACTTACTCATTTTGAGGAAGATTTCTTGTCCTTCCACCATATTTGATGCACAAAAATAGGTGTGATGGACAGCCGGGATCAGAAGGGCGCATAAACTTCTCTTCCTCAAGTATTTGAACCGGACATAGTGTTGGATTCTGTCGATTTGGGTAGAAAACCTTCCTCTGGACACCAGGATTCTCATATAAGACATGCTCCTGTAATTAATGAATTCAATTTCTTTCTTTTTAGTCAGCATTTCAAATGGAAACATCAGAGGCGACAATCCACTTGATCTGCTTTACATCAAAAGATTACAGTGAACCAAACAATGATAATAGTTTGTTGAAGGCTCCGTTGGCATCTGATAGTAATTAGAGCTGTGCTTGCCTTTTGATATAAAGGCTTAAAACATAGAAACACCATCTATGGAAGAAATATCCATGTTAATGCCTCTTGATAACAAAGCGTTTTGAAAAATATATGATTATTTTATCGAAAGATAATTTACGCTCTAGATAACTTGTATAAAAGCTATAAGTTCTAATAGCAGCAACAATAGATTAGAACAGTGAAAGAAACCATTAAACCATTAGTTCTATTCATTGTTACAACTTATAAATTTGAAGCAACTATATCAGTAGCAGAGAAAGCAGAAGTTACTAACATTATAAAATCAGGTTGCTTACCCCTGGATTCTTTGGTGACACATACGGATCCCCCTTCCTTAAAATGCTGAAGTGATTGAAGTCTAACTCATACATATCTTCACATCCATGCCTTATGCCAAGAGATGCAAAAACAATGACCTTTCTTATGGTGTGTGACTGAGCATTTTTCAATAAAAGGGCATCTGATTCAAGTATTTTCTTTATTTCTTTTGGACAAAAAGGAACTTTTGGGGGTTTCTTATTCCATAATGTCTTTCCGGATACCATATGACAAGGCTCTCGCCCGGAAGGTGGCATATCTGCTGAAGACTTGTGTCCTCCATCTTTTTCTGTTCCCTTCAGATTGCTTCTGTTATAAGATAATTGTATATCCTGAAGTGTGTATTCCTTATCTCTATTCTCTTTCATTAACTGGTTTGTTCTTGTAAATTTCAGCTCACTCCGACCACTGGAACAACTTTGCAGACAGGATATATGCATTCCCTGGCCAATACCTTCCACATGAGGTTGTTCTTCACAAGCACTTAGATTCTCTTCACTTTCTTTATCTTTAGAGCCAGTGTTAGAATCATCCTCTTCACAATATTCATCTCCATCATCACTGTCATCTGTGTCCTCTGTGTCCTCACGATCTGCAGCAATGTCACCGTCTTTAAATTTATCAAAATGTGAAAAAAGGATCTCATCTATGCTCATCCAGTTAACTAAGCGTTCTTCTTGATTTTCATCTATGTGAGGCAAGTGAGGTGTGTCATTTTCTTCCGTACAGGCCATTTCAGTGTTTCCATCTTCAATTCTATGACTATTTGTTTCTATCTTCTGTCTTTTGAAGCTTCTATCTGTGCTATTAGGACAGCTAACCTGCGAGATAACATAAGAGGCAGGACCATTAAGCAATGACAACAGAGTTTTGTTTGGATTGATCAGCTAATAGGCGCAAGGAGAGCTAAGTTCATCCTTATCATCATCATCTTAATTTAGATTTTTCTTTTTCCATCACTATGTTTCGTTCAGCTATCTAATGACTCCTATAGCAAAATTAACTGTCCAATTCTATTACAAATATACAAACTATTATTTGGCTTGAGAATGGGAAATTAGAACAGCTTGGCAAGGCATTAGAAAAATGCATAATAGCCAGTGCAAACCAGAGATAAAATGAAAGGTACATTTGATCATGTATTTTTGCAGGAAAATGATGCATATTATAGAGTTCAAAATCACTAGGTTACAGCTTTTAAACCACAAATGATTTATCAAAGAGATTGGAAGGACAATAAAAACAGACTAAACCAAAACACAAAATATGGAGTGGGAAGCCATACTTGTTCATTTGTTAGAAGAGATTCCTTATCCCTTTCTTGTATTTGGGCTTCAAGTGATGATATTCTCTCTATAAGCTCTGCATTTTTTTCTCTCTCTCTTTGCAATTCAGCTGCAATCTCTGCAATGGCATTTACAGTACTCTCACCCTTCATTTCTTGCTCTATTGCATACATTTCAGAAGCATTGACCAAGCTAGCGCGGGATTGAAGTTCCACCATTAATGGAAATGATGAGCTACTCTGGAAATGAATAATCTAAAGCTTCGAAAACCAAATATAGAAAAACTAACAAAACGTCTAAAAACAAAAAAGTAAAAATATTTTCTGGCATCCAAAAGCAAATTATAAAACTCGAGTAACCATGAAATAAGAAAGGAATGAACTGATCTTTATACGGAAAGAGAGAGAGGTTAGTGATAAAAAAGATGAGTCTTTGGCGTTTGGTTTTCGTTTCAATTTTGTAAAAGAAAAAGAAAATGGCGAGCAGTGAGGCATGCAACCCCACGAGCATCTCTTTCTATTTGTCCATTTTCTTCTCCTTTTATTCTCTTCAATCTCAAACTACAATGATCAGAAATAATCTGAGGAGAAAAAAAAAAAGAAAATTTTGGCATTTATGTTTCTACCTTAGAATATGTAAAGTCACCAAGTTTATTAGATTATCATTTGTTTGATCTTGTGACAGCAATTTTCTATTTAACAAAAGTTGCATGCATTGTCTTGTTATATAGTGGTGAGGCTGTGCCCCATGTTTAAGCATCCGAGGCACTGGTTATGCAACTATAAATATATAGAACAAACAAAAAATAGAAATGTAAATTATACAGCTAGAATGGATATGAGCATTTACCTACATCCAGAATAGGACACAGTCACACAGATCAAAAGGCAGTGGGAGAATGTCAATGGATACCCTGTTACCTGACCCACTACTCTTGGAAACCATCAGGTCTCTGCAACTTTTCTTCCTGGTTTATGTATATCAAGAATCTAACCATACATCACCCGTCTCTCCAATGTGGTGATCCAATTTCTATGCCATTTTCCATTTACGGAGTTTGAGAAGTAGATTGAAACTGTTTATTTTTATGAGCATGCAAAAATCAACAGATTTGCTTATTGAATGCTGCAATATAACTCAGTGACTGTCACAGCAAGTTGGTAAAACTCAATATACATTTTCAAGCTTGAAAATATAGCTCGGTGACTGTCTCAGCTTTTGCCAAAAATGCATGAAAACTTCATTCATAATCATCTAAACTTATCTATGTGTTCCACTTTGCTCAAAAGGATTATTTGCATAATCTTAGATACATAAGCACCCTTTCAAAATAACTAGATTAATGTGGCTACTGTATGGAACTAGTGAAGGCTTATTTGAAGGTCATAAATTAAAAAATTTACCCCAATTATCAACACATAAATGAAAAATGACTGATCATGGGTTATTATGGTTATGATTAATGAAATAAAAAGATGGAAATTTGCTGTCTGTCTTAACTAGGGAGCAGCACTTCATTTCCCAGGTATAAAGAAAGCGTGTGCACACGTGCACGTAATTTGCTTAATGTGCAGTATAGAAAAACAACCTCACGTGGAAAGATAACCTAAAAGGTTGTCTCTAATGCTGTTTTTATCAGGGGAATATGAAGCTATAACCTTGGATACCATCCTTCTAATTTTAAACCAAAGGCCTACTCCTTAAACAAATGCTTCATAAACCAGATTAATTTAGTTCATGATGAAGGAGACGAATCAGCCCTTGTCTGATCTATACAAAACACACTCTGATATTCTTCTTAGGGTTCTGTGGAAAATGTGCTGGTGAAGAGGAAAGGGATTGTATAATAATGACTACACACACCTTTGATTCACTGGCTTTCTGGATAAAATGTCTAAAATATTAAGAACCGGATAGCTAAAGAATTGCTAGTGGCCTTGGAGTGATGTGAGATACAATTTGTTCTTTCTAGTGAAACGATATTCAATCCTCGGATACCTTGTTTACGTACTGCTAGAACAAAATTGAACAGTTTTCCATCAATGTCTGTCATGTTCTTGAAGTGGTGAACATCAAACTGCTTCAGCAATCTCTGAGTCATACTTTGTTATGCTGCTTCCTCAATCAGGCCCAAGAACCATCCGTTTCACCCTTTACATTTTGCTATGGTCCAATGGAGATCTAATAGCCCATTGTTTTAGTGATATGGGAAAAAGGGCCATGATCCTTGACCAGCTGGGCATGAGTGAGCCCAGATTCTTGCATTTGCTTTTTGAGAACTCAACTTCACAAATAAAACAAAAGCTTTGTTTCCAAATATAGAGAAATCTTAATCGCCAATCAAGATGGCACTGAAAAAGAATACCATTTGGAATGAACTTGTGATGATAGAAGAAGATATTGTTCATTCTTTTTGAAGTCATATCAACAGCATGGATCACAAAATGAGAATCTGAAAGCAAAATGAACTTTAACCAATAACCAATGCCATCAACCAAAAACATCCAAAAACATTTATATCCGTTTATAAAATTAAAGGAAGATGAATGGAACAAATGGTTCTAAAAAAACCCTCAAGAGCCCGAGGGGACTTTTAAGTCATTTTTCTTGCCAAAAGGCAAATGCCATGAAGCATCCTACACCCTTTAAAGTTGTTTCATCTTAGGCTACAAATACAAACCTCTCTCTCTTAGGCTTTGTTGTCCCTAGTTGTGTTATCCTGAGTCCTGTCCCCGTTTTTCTCCACCCAAAGCAAATTTGAGTTCTACTTTCGACTTTCCTGAGATGGTCCCCCACCCCTTTTTTTCCCCATTTTTTACCTTCTTTTCATTCCGTCTATTTCACTTGGCTGCTTGGCACACACCAGATTTTCATAATTATGATAATTTAATACACGATATAATAAAATAATATAAAAACAATTTAAATAAATAATTTAAAATATTAATAAAAATAATATTAATTTAATAAAATAAAAACGTATATTTTATATTTTTATCAATAAAATATAATTTTAATATAATTAAATATATAACTTATTAATATTTTACATAATAAAAATTAACAAATTATTAAATCTAAATTTTAAAAATAACCACAAAAATAATAACAAAGGCTCACCCACTGGTTAATTTCTAAGTTAATGTAATATCAGTATGGCTATTTTAAAGTGGAAAAATTTGTCCAAAACCCTTGATTAAGAACTTTTTTTTTTTCTTTTCCGATCTTAATTTTGGATCAAAATTACTACTAAACAGAAATTGAACACACTCCTCAAATTCTAAATTCCAATCTAAAAACAGAATTTTTGGACCCCTAAATTCAAAATCCTGTTTGAGCTCACTCGGTACTAAGTTGACTCAACTGTGTCAACTCAGCCGAATTATTGCCCAAGTAACAAAAAAATAATGATGTAATCGCATTTTAATCAATCATAATTAAGCTGGTTTTGGATTTGTTTTCAAGTGGCCGACAAATTGGTTAACCATCGAACCCTGTTTGGCTCCATACTGCATCCCTGACGCGCCTCATGTCCCGGCCTTTGAGGGTACGACCCACGCCTTCAAAAACCGAAGCCCCGCCCGTTTTCTTACTCCTTGCGTACTCACGCGCCAAGTACTCGTGTGGGGGCACCATATCCGACTCATCATCATCCGACTCATGTATCGACTCAACTGAGTCGACCCTGTAAATCTTACTCCAGTCAGGCACGTTCAACGGTGCTGACGTGGCCATATGGTGCCCACGTGGCGAAGCTGCGGCCGCCACGCCATCATTGCCACGAAACTGATGCACGATCCCAGGCTTCGTCGAAGAAGAATCCTCGAAAGCCAAAGACAGCCCGCCCATGCGGTGGTCATTCCGGGGAATTCGGCTACGGCTCCCTCTCATGTCCAAGTTCTCATTCCCATTACTCTCAGGCTGAGTGCGTGGACGCCACTCGCTCTGAGAATTATTCACACTCTGGTCATCTCGGTTCGCGACGTTATCAACCATCGACCAGACATCTTCCTCGCCAAGTTCCGTTTCCTCCGTCACAGTGTTCCCTTGACTGTGTCCGTAACTGTAACTTCCCAGAAACCGTTCGCTTCTGCTGGTCGTCAACCGCCGACCTTTCGCCATGAAACAATCTAATACTATTCAATATAAAAAATCAAAAGAAAAAAAGAAAATTAAAAATCTGCTCTAAGAGAGAATCAAAAAAAGAGGGAGGGTGATGAATATTAATTGGAGTCCGTAGAAGAGACTCAAACATAAGGAGGCTTAGAAGGGGAAGCTATGAATATATAACCCTTAAGGAAAGGGACAATGGTAGCCATTTCATTTCATGTGAATTTGGATTCCATTTTGTCTTCATTTCATCTCTCCGCTCCCCCACTTCCAATCAGATTCATGGTGAGAATAGAAGTAAACAAATGTAATATGAAATTGAAGAAAAAAAAAAGTAAACAAGGGAGTGAACAAGTGTAAGCTCACGCGCTATTTTGAATGAGCGTGTAAAACACCCCACTAGGTGGTAATAAAAACAATTAAATATAATCTTTTTTAACAGAACAATTATAAATATAATCTTAATAAATTTACAAGGCGATGGACTGTGAATATTGGTTAAATAAAATAAGAGTGATGGGTAAATTAACGTATTTATTAGTGATTAAAAAAACAATACGGGAGTTTTTTAATGTTACTAAGGGTTTGTTAGGTACGCATTTTCGTACATAAAGATTCAAATGACGTTGATTAGATATATCCACGTCAGATTTCATTGTCTTGTTAAGTAGTGGAGCCCACCCCATTAACCCATCTATTTTACAACGTCAAATCCATCTCAAAGGGTCCCACACTCCACGTGGTTGATCACAATGCACCCTCTCTCCCCATTGGTCCTTTGATTGTCCAACATGTGTACCACAACTATGCGGGTCCCACCATTCAGGTCCCGATCACTCCACGTGGCTGAACACTTACGGAATAAAGTTTTTTACTACCACTGAAAACGTTAGCATTCCATAATTGATGGGTTAGGGGATGTAAACAAGTTTATTTAAATGTTTATTTTTTTTAATAATTTGGGTGGTTTAAGGGTTAAATCAATCCCACTTGTGGGTGAGGGTTAAGAAAAGCAAAGTCTATTGGTGATGATGGTAGATTGAACGATTGGGAATTACAATGGATGTGGGCCCTTTTTCTGTGGCCCCTACAATTTAATTGCCTTTTTTTTTTTGGTCAAATATAAAAATAAAAACCTTATCACCATTTCACCATCATCATAAACCTCACAAATCACAATCATGAAGGCCCAACAAAGAGCCTGTTTTCCCCAAACTTCCACAAGTACTTTAAGTTCCTAGTAACTGATTAACTTTTAACTGGTTATATTGAAGACTTGGTTTTGATACCGAAGACAGCTATGAGCTAACTCTTATTGTCAATGATTGTTGTGGTATGATATTATTCAGGAACCTCACATCACCTAGTCTCTCTCCTTTGTATTGGCTTTTTATAGTGAATAGTCAACAAGGATGGGACCTTGGTTTGCAGTGACTAGACCTGCCCTGGACCCAATCCCACTGCTTGGGTTTCGGCAGATTGTGCACCCTGACGCCAACTCTGGCTAGTCTTGGATCCATCATTGTTAATCAGCATCCTATGCTATGTCAGCTTTGTTAATCCACTCATTTTGTTCCCCTTTGTAATTTAAAAACTTTGGGTACATATAAGACCCAGTTATCGGCAAATTTCTTTTGGAATTGGATAATCATTACATAGGTTTAAAAAGAAAATTGCCCTTGGTGATTGTAATACTTGGTAATACTTCTGTCTTAACATTTGGTAATTGTAATAGTATTGTCAATAAAGAAAAAAAAATAACGAGGAAAATGGGTCGAGCATGAGGGTCGGATAGAAATGACTAAGAGGCAAAGCAAACAGATGAAATTTTGTTGTTTAGAGTTATTCCGTATCATAAAGAAAATCAATGCAAATGAGGTTAATGGAAGACATCCTGCGGTTGTGGCATCTAAATTCCAATCACGCCAAACCTGCTATAAAATATGGCCACAAATCAAAACAAAAACCTGCCAATGACATGGCAGCTGATTGAAATTTAAAAATTCAATAAGGCAACAAAGTGGAAGTTAGATGTATCCCCTCCTCCCGCTTTTCTTAAACTTCCCGCATGACCCACCATTCGTATCCTTGTACACCAAAACGTGACAGCCCAAAACACTTACCATAATCAGCAAAAGCAGATTATGTCATTGCATTTGGGATCTTTCTAATCGTGATGAATATAGAGTTCCATAGCCTCGGGCGCCATAGGCTTGATTTGGGTCATGTGTCATCTTACACTTGCCACAACTCACATTCACCAGCACCATCCCCCTTTCTGCAACAAAGCCAAAAGCCTTTGAAAATTGCAAGCATTTATGATTTCAATGAATGTGATATCATGGTTTACAAGTGTGCATTTTTATATTGGAGAGACAGACTGAAATGTATCAGAACTTTTAGTAATTCTCTTGATGATGGCTGTATACATTCTATAATGCATGCTCCAGTTAGATCCGTCGGATCAGAGCTTCTTTAGTAATGATTGTACGGGGAAGCGGTGAGGAATCAGAGGGATTATTTTTATGAGTTTAATAAGTGTAAAGACTGACAAAGTCCCGCAGACTGTGATTAGTTTAAGAAAGGGTTTCATGTACTAGGGAACAATGAGCAAAGTTTTGTCGGGGGCTCTGTCGGAAAGGCTTAGAGTTGTCAGGCCAGCCAATGAAACGAGATTCTTGCACGACCTACTCAATCAAATGTTGCAGGGTAGTGGGCTCCATTGTCTCTAGAAGAAAACTACAGAGCCACGTCTCAAACAGCGAGTGCAAGACAATTTTCATTGTAAAAACTTGCATGAAAAATAAAAGATCTTGTGGATGTTTAGCATTGGCCTGACTCTTCTGTTTTATCAAACAATGGATATTCCGATGAAGATTGAAGATCTAGAGAATTAAAATACCATCGCTTCAAACTTCTACTAATAAAATTTCCTCAGAGGTGGTGGGATCGAGTCCAAAAACAACTAAATACAAGTTGAGAACCGTTTCACTGTAGGTGGTGGGATATGGATTCTATCTGTAGGCATGACAGATAGAACAGAAATAATCACCTACTGGAGCTGATCCCTATTTGGAGTTGTTACTTTCAGTTTTGGCCCCTGCCTGTCGTTAACATATGCATGTGCCCACACGTCTTACCTTATCTCCTCGAGGATTGATGGCGCCATAACGAGGGCATGCTACACTTAAATCGTGCAGTGATATTACTAATCACACTCTTGCCATCAAATTCGTCAACTATCTTTTCTGAACACGGGTTTATTGATATTCAGTAGTGAATCTGATCGGAAGAATTATAATAACAAATGAAATTACATTATCTTGATATTATAATATGGATAGCTAGTAGATACTGAGAGTGGTTGACGTGATAGTGTACCTAATCCTTGAAAAACTGGGTAGGAGGGATCTAGCTGGACCAGCAATTTCCTAGGGCTGGATTTAAACCATTGTTCTATATATAGCCCACTGAGCGTTTACAGTTGTTCACTTGCTCTTATACTGACACCACCAGCTTTTGTTGTAGCCTCATATATCATCATGTGAAAATAGCGGTTGTTCTTGGAGGGATTGGAATTCTTAAATTTCCTAATATTTCTTTTTCTTCTGGGGTAGAAGTGGGGGAGAGAGGTGATCAAATCAATAACTGCAATATGAAAGTTAGACTTCGAAAGTTTCTTTCCCTTTTATTACAATCTTGACAAAATAAAATGAATTAGATATATACCTGGATAAACTGAAATTGCATTAACATGAATGGTTCAGATTCATTTCAAAATATAGGGCTTTACTTAATTCAGCAAGCTTTGTTTAGTCATTTGTTGACAGGTTAACCAATCTTTTACTCCTCTTTTTCTTGCCACATTCTGCTTTACCATACTGATCTTAATTGTCATTGTCGTTTCTCCTATGTTATTTCATTTTCATCATGCTGTTCTGTTACCTTACAACTTGGATTCTTAGTATGTGACATAGTACTGTTGAACATGCAGCCATCTAAATTACTTATATCCCAATATTTCTTCAGCAGCACAGCCAGTCAGTACCAGTTGCAATAGTTTTCCATTCATCTGTCACAGTAAAACCAATATTCTCTTCTTTTATGGAAAACATAAACAATCACAATATTTTAGATTTTTAGTATTTGAAATAGCATCTTTTTCTTCTGATACAAGGATTCCTATAGTTGTGTAATTTATTCAACAATGAACCAAATCTTAACCAATCTGCTCTTATATATAAAATTAGGTTATTACAACCCAAGTAGTTGTCTCAATTAACTGTTACTCCTTGGTATCAGTTGTAATGACAGTTAACAGAAAGTATATGATCTTTATGTGAGGTTATCGCTTACCAGAGAAGTGCTCCGCCTACTTGCACGGTGCGGAGCCTAGACCTTGTGGTTCTAGTGCTGGTTGCAAGTCCATTTCACATTGATGCGGGGTTTCATTTCCATCATGAAGCGATGCACTATGGTTCTTTTTTGGTCTAAAACATCGCTTGCTATCTCATCATTTTTTAAGTATCACTAGGTCCCAAGGCAGATCATCAAGGTCATGTTCTGCCTAAATTAAACTTGTTATCATTTATTTTGATTAAGGGTTTCATTTAAAGTATCTGATACACCAAATTTAGTTCCCTTATCACCTTTTCGCCTGATCCTCTTGGTTTTTATTGGCTTCATCTTGAAAGGCATGTGAACAATGAACTAAGAAAAACTTTACTGTTCTCTTCAAATGAATTTTAGCACTTGTACTCATAAATCATGATACATATATTTCAACTATATCTTCTTTGCAAAATGATCAGTTACTTTTGTTATCTGTGCCATGTAACAATGTTGGCAGGTGGTCATAGAACTCTCAATTCAAACGCCACAAATACCAACAACGTGGTGCAATTAGTGGTAATTGTCCTGATCATTTGGACTTTAATTCTCCAAAGGATCTTTGTTCCATCTTTATAATAAGCATAAGCTAACCAATTGCACCAGATGTAATGTTGGGTTTCATTCCATTGCTGGGATGTCCAAGTTGGTATAAACCATTCATAGGCTTCAGCCCGTGTAAATCGGCCCAAAGCAATCATTAAAGTGTAGCATAGGCTCTTAAATGCTCGCTAACCCATTCATTTTGGTTTTTTGGACGACATGTCGGCTGAGTCTGACTGCAAGATGTAAAGTCGGGGTTTCCACTAACTGCGCTGGATTTTTGAAATTTTTTTCACATATAAGTTGATAACGAAGCTTGTAAAAAGGCAGTTTTGCTATAAATGACATGATAGCACAAACAAAGTACTACTACTGATATATGGGGAGGATTAGGTCAATTATCAAGAGACAAGAGTCTTACTACTATAACCTTAACTTCTTATAGACAAGTGGCTTAACATGGGTCATGGGAGACAATATTTGACATCCATTGGCATATCTTTAAGCTGATGATGTATATCTAATACCAATGGCAACTTAAGTTATGTTTCTATGAGAGTCAATGCATGATTTGAAGACAAGTAATTGTAGACAAGAAAGTTTAAGGAGGTGGGTCTAAGGTGATGCGAACCAGAGGGACAATCATGTCTTGGCTTCTAAAATTTTCATTTTTCTGTAATAGGCATCCAAATCATTTATTTGGTTTTTCCTTTCTTGGAAATGAGCCCAAAGTTGTCAATAATTTCGCAAGCAATTCCACTCGCCTTGGTCTACAAGCACAATAAAAAGAGTGGTCTAGCACAGAGAAGAACTTGAACATGCGCTTTAGCATATATAATGGCATTTCTGATAGGCAGAAATGAGGCTGTAATTTCAGTTTTGCTTTTTAACCAACATTGCTGTTGCAAAATTGTCAATGCCATAAACAAATTACACGAAGCATTAATTGCCATCCCCAGTACTTGCATTCTCGAAACGGTTGGTCATTATATATATTATCTTCCCCTAATTCGCTTCTCCCGGGGTCTAATTTATCTGATCAAGCTAGCCAATCTTATTTAGAACCTAACCTTGGAAAGATATATGGGTCTGAAAATCTTTATATTCTTCGAAAATCTTAATATGAGAAAACTCGAAGAATTTTTTATTAATATATATGTTTATCATCCTTGATTTACATTTTCATATTTAATCAGTTAAATTTGATTTGTAGAAGTTGTTCAGGCAGGCTTTACTTCTTAATATAATCATAAAATAATAGTAAAGAGTAACCTTAAGATTGGAATATGAAAATGGAAGTTATGTGTAAATGGAATATTAAACATAGAGAAGGAAACAGATAACTATCTCAAGCAAGCATAGCAAAGACGCCTAATGAAGGAAACATGACAAAGATTCCAATAGCATATATATTGTTCATACTTGTTTTCTAATCCAAAGATGCATTTCTTAATCCATTTCACACTCCGAATTTCACCGTTGGGTATCTCAAGTTTTCAGTTCCCAATTCGGTTTGACTTTGTTGCAGTTGCTGGGGTTTCTCCTAACTTTGCCTGTTATAAAGCTAGCCATCGCTTAAACCTTAAGCTCCCTAGCCCCCTTCTTGGCCCCATCCTCACCGCCCAGACTAGCTCGAAGCTGTCTCAGCTTGGCTGATGTGAATTGGGATCACCGTCTCATCTGGGTCCCCTCTTGTACAGCCTGTTTATTTTAATTTGGTCAACCAACCAAGCTATTAGGTTTCCACGTAAGACCAGAGCTCAAGATCCTGTCATTCCAGGAACCTTAGTCACCTCTCTTCTTTTCTCCATAAATATTGTGACCCCTTCCATGTTTAAAATCTCTTCGCCTGGAAAACTGTTACTATTATAGTAGATACAAATTAAGAAAGTACTGCAAAAAATCAGACATGGGGAATTGTATTAAACACGAAAATTCATCTTGGGCTGATGAGCACGACTGGGGGTCTTTGGTGTCAACTCACAGGCAAGGAGATGGTGGTGAGATTACCATCATGGACAAGGAGAAGATGCTTGGTGCAAAGCGAGATGCAAATACCAGAGAGGTGAAGATAACTTCAAGGAAGGAGTTAGAGCAATTGGTACAGAAGGTGGACATGCAAAGTATGTCTCTTGAACTCGTCCTGGCCAGGATGATCAAGGGTGGAGATGTTTATGAGGTGGACCAACATCGGTCATGGAAGCCGGTCTTACAAAGTATTCCGGAGTGAGCTAGATAAGGAGTCGTAGATGGTGTCAATTCCATGAATTTCTTCATCCTCAGTTCTCTGGGTTTGATCATCTTTTCATGTTTTGAAAGATGAGAACTAGGCTAGAAATAATTCATCATGATTTTTTAGCAAAAAAGTAAAAACAAAAAGGATCCTATCAAACCCAACTTTAATTTTTTTAGTTATACTCTTATTATAATCTAGACAGTTATTTATTTACTTATATATATTATATAGCTTCGTATTTGCCTATAGTGAAATACTTTAAGATCTACATTTACTTAAACTTGTACTATCTTTAATGATATAAAAATTATTTTTCTAATTATAAATAAATCTACTATATGTTTAAATAAAAATAAAAGAAATTACTAAAAACCTTGTGGTCATAGATCTCTCCAAAAAATAATAAGATTGAATTTTAGTTGGTATATTTTAAAATGACCCTTCTATTTCAATCCTTTCACAAAATTCAAATTAAAAATATTGGTATTTCAAATAAGTTATTTAAAAGAATAATCCATCCATCCCATTTAAATAATCACTAATATTTTCTCTAATTTAAGTAGGCGGACATATTTTATTAAATTTTTATGTATTTTATAATATAATATTACGTATGATTAAAATCAAAATTTTAAATTTTTTAAAAGTAAGTTAAAATGTCACAAGTTAATAGAGAAAGAAGTTGTATAATTTTTTTTTTAAAAAATTAATATTGGAAAATTATGGGATTAAAAATAATTTTTAAAGAATTACAAAAAAAAAAATTGAATGATAAAAAATATATTTTTACAATCAAATATTTTATTTAATGATTGATATATAATTTTTTTATATATAAATAAAAAAATTCGAATCCCTTATTTTTTTACATAAAACAAGAATTTTTAAATAAATATATTCATATTTTACGTAATAAAATAATTTTAAAAAAATAAATGAAATAAAATCGATTAAGAAGGAATTCTGTATTTGATGGGAAGACACTTGCATTCGGTGGCAGGTTTTGAGTTTAGAAAGTGAGGTCACGTGGCTGCTTATGGCCTCAACTGTGAAGGGCGATGCTTAGCGCAACTGCCCCTAGAATAACGCTTATTAAAAATTCCCACGAACAGCACGTGACTGTTTCCATCTTACTCGCTCTAAATCCATCAAGGAAGTAGGGCGTGACTCTTCCTATTTCACTTTTGCTCTACAAGGAAAGTAGAAGGGACCATCAACAGGGTATTTGGAGCTTTTGTACAATGCCTAAAATCAAAGGCAATGGTGGTGGCAGACAAAAGAGGAAAGTAAAGGCTCCATGGAATCCATATCCGACCAGAAAGAGACAAAAACAAGGAAATGAAATTCCTCAAGAGCAAGTAAATATTTCAGAGCAGCAGTCATCAACTCTCTCAGCACAGTCCTCGACTAACATAGAAAGTAGGTTGAGTGATAGACTAGAAGCCAGATTTCAGTCCTTGGAAAGTAGGTTTCAGGCCATGGAAGATTGCCAAGACCAAGTGCAAGCCTTATCTAAGTTGGAGGTTGGTTAGTTTTATTTCTTGCAAGTAGTAAAATCCATTTTGGCAAACTTTAGAAGGTTTCTTTTGCAGGAGACGCACTCTTTTCAGAAGGAGCAAATAAGAATATTGGAACATAAACTTATTGAAGAAAAGAATTTGAGGAAAAAGCTGCACAATACTTTTTTGGTAGTGCTTCTTGATCGCCTTTGTCTGTTGCTTGTAATTCTATAATCATACTAAGTTATCTTCAATTGTAGGAACTAAAAGGGAATATTCGATTATTTTGTCGGGTGCGTCCTCTACTAACAGATGATGGTGGAGCAGAAGGTGCAGTGGTCTCATATCCTACATCAATGGAATCTCTTGGCCTTGGCATGGACTTGATACAAAGTGGTATGAACATTTGTGATCTTTCTTTGTTATTCAATTTCTATTTAATATTAAATGCAACAATGTTAATAATTTTCATCTTACTGTCAACAGGGCAAAAGCATCCTTTCACAACAAGGTTTTCAATTATAAGGCTTCACAGCAAGATGTTTTTGTGGAGATATCCGAGTTGGTACAGGGTGCCCTTGATGGATATAAGGTGATTTAGCTATTTTATGCTCTTGTTTTTGCAAATCTAAGCAAATCTTTTTAAGTTTAAAGCTCGTTGATTTCTTTTGCACATGACTTTTCCTCCTTGAAGCTGAATTCTCTAATGTCAATGGTGATAGTTGAGTCATAAAGTTACTAGTAATTGCTACTGTTGCAAACTGATCTGCATCATTTGCCTTTTGATACAAAGGAAATATGCAGTCATAATTGTTGGTGGTTTGTTTTGTTTGGCAGGTTTGTATATTTGCTTATGGACAGACAGGTTCAGGTAAGACTTACACCATGATCCGAAGGCCATAAGCCCCGGAGCAAAAGGGGTTGATACCACGTTCATTGGAGCAGATATTCCAAAGCATTCAATCGCTGCAAGCACAGGGATGGAAATACAAAATGCAGGTAATTTAATTTGATCCTGATTTCAAATTGTTACATTGGCTAATCATGGTCTTAACCATCTCTTTCTAAAAGTTATTAGGCTTCAATGTTGGAAATATACAATGAGACCATTTGCGATTTGTTATCAACCAATCGATCAATCGGTTCAGATCCAACACGCCCACAAAATGCAATTTCTGGAAAGTACACTATTAAACATGACCCAAATGGTAATGCATATGTTAGTGTCCTGACCATTGTTGATGTTAGTGGCATAACAGAGATTTCCTCGCTTTTACTACAGGCTGGTCAAAGCAGGTAAAATTGCTTAGAGTCTCAGTGATTTTTGCCATAATATTGTGTGGATTATGTCTTGCATTATGCATCTATCATAGTTTGAATAGTTTCTATAATTTTATGTTGGAATTATAAGTGTGCCATAAATTATTTCCTAATTGAATGATTTTTTGTGGAAAGAATAGTTCCTTTTAAATTACTTAATGTTATAAAGTATGAAATGTTTATGAATGATGAAACAGTTAGACAAATGGTCATGAATGATGACACAGATAGTTGCCCAGTGTGGGTACCAATATAACGGCACTTAAAGCAAAAAAAAAAAAAAGAAACGTTTGTCTCTGATATATAATATATAATGCCTCAGATGAGTTTTGTTCTCAATGGGGTCACACTTTTCTGCTTTGCAGGTCTGTGGGCAGGTCTTAGATGAATAAGCAATCGTCAAGAAGTAACATGGTTTTCACATTAAGGATACCAGGCATAAACAAGGTAAATTCCCTTCCTTTGACTGCTTTTGGTTTATGTTGAATCTCTTGATAACCCTCTTTCCCCTGAATACTGACATTTCTTTTCTTTGTTCTGTTAGTTCACTGAGCAACAAGTGCATGATGTCTTGAACTTCATTGATCTTGCGGGAAGTCAGCGACTGTCAAGGACTAATGCGACTGGAGATAGATTGAAGGAGACTCAGGTGTCTACCGTACCACTGGATTTGTCTATTCCGTAAATCGTTCTTTAAAGTTATTATGCTGACCTCTTTCCATGCAACCAGGCCATTAACAAGAGCTTATCATGTTTGAGTGATGTCATATTTGCATTGGAAAAGAAGCAGGATCATGTGCCTTTTAGGAATTCCAAGCTGACATATCCTCTCCAGGTAAAGTGCTCTTGAAGAGCTTATCATCATTGATTGATGCCTTATTTGATGATAAATCTGTGTTTTTCTGATATCATATTTGAGTGGATATTACCATGACGGTGCCTTTTGAACGTGGCAACATTTTGAAATTGACATAATGGGGGCCAAAATGAATGATAGTATTAGTTTTGTTGTTCTATATTTTAGAACCATTTTGTTTTCAATGAATCTCTGGATTTCCTTTTAAAATTATTTTCATCGATAAAGAGCCTTGTATTAGTGGAGATTAGGAAACTCTTATGTTTGTCAATGTATCACCGGATCCTTCTTCAGTGGGTGAGTCACTCTGCTCTCTCCAATTTGCAACTAGAGTGAATGCATGTGAAATTGGAATTCCCCACCGTCAGATGATCTTGTAGCCAGCTGGTTGAGCTTTGACTGAAGTTCAATCTCAAGGTAAAACTATTATTATAATTAGTTCTTTTTTATTATTTATAAATATTAACTTTGTAATTTATATATTTTTCCCATTGTTGCTGTTGGTGATTATTTGCTGTAGGCAAAATATGAGCACGCAGCTGAACAAGGCTTAAGCTTTTTGAATGGTTTCTTTTTGTGAAATGGTTTGGACAATGCGATGAGAATCATGCACTTGATAAAGAGAAGCTTAAGAATTTACTGGAATCTGCTGAGAAAATGCATTGATACTGAATCAAGTTGTGCTTCTGCATTTGCACTCAAGACCTTCTTCAGGTTCCCACGTGATGCCCTCAACCTAATAGACGCCTTTATATTTGTACAAACATCGATGTTATACTGCTACTTAAATTGGGATGCAAAGTAATTGAACTAAACTTCATCAAAGTCTCTTCCTCCCAAGCTCCTATCAAAAGCATGAGAGATCATTTTCATTTGTCCTGTCCTGTCTGAAATGATACAACACAGACCTGTGTGCCACAATGACCAATATCCACAAACACAGTATAAATTGGACCCGAGTCAGGGTAATCAGCCTTGTAAATTCCATATCCAAGGGCAGTGGCGATACAATCATGCAACAATCTCAGAGGCTTTAGTCCAGCAGTCGCTCTTGCATCCAAGTAAGCATACCTCTGTAAATCAGTGAAGTAAGATGGAATTCCAATCACAAAATCTGAAACAGACACTTCCAAACTATTCTCAGCAGTATTTTATGCTTCAAATGTGAAAGCAACATCCCAAAATCCGAACAGGAGTAAATTCATGAGCTTCTCCATGAACTGTAGTTGGACTTGAAATCAAACCCCAATTAAAACCAAACACATACCAACAACGTTTAAAACCACTAGGCTCATGTCCGTTCTATTTTAGGCTGAATTAAGAAACCATCCGCCAATTCGGTTTAATATCAGCTTGTAAAAGTGTTGTCCTTCGGTGGCTGGCAAGTGAACTTGATCCTTATCACGCAAAGGAAGTTCTCAGAGGACTAACCAATTGCAATGTTAACAAAGGTGAGTTTGGACTAAAGCATAGATGTAAAATCCCCCTTTATTAAATGTGTTTTATTCATAGATTAGGATTCATCTCTCAACCTTCTCTTCTTAGGTATTACCATCTGATTGACACATATAAGAGCATCCCATGTATATATAAGAATTTGACTATACCATGTAAATTTTGATTGGAAATTTATAAGAAAAATACTCTGTTCCTTGGGAGCCTGTGGAATATATTGCGGCAAAGCAGTGCATTTCTTCATTAAACCATGGCTTAAGCCTTTTAGAAGTTTCTTTTCTGCCAGTTCCCTGCACAAAATTTCTAAAATAAACCTTCCTCAAATAGACAGCAGAATCCAATTACCAAGCTGGGAATGTACTTATACAGTTAAGAAAAGGGAACATATGACATATTCAACAATTTAGGGTAGCCTGCGGAACCATTCGAGCTTTGGGTTCTATCCTTGGAGTGCCCAGTTGAGGTTGTGGGTCTATATTTGTTACAGAGACTTATGAATACTGTTAGGCCTATTTCAATGTTTCTGTAAACAGTCTACAGTTGCGAAATTAACCCTTACAAACTAACATTTTTGTGTTCAATAATGACAACTTTTTCAAAGAAAGAAATGAATAAACTTTGATCTGAATGCGACAATAGAATTAGAGGGAGTTTATCCCAAATAGGGTTTAGGGTTTATGAATTTTGGGTCAATTAAAGCCCGAAATCCGAAACCTAAACTTAAAAAAAAAATCTCTCGCAAACCCTCATTTCCTCTTATGATTTCTTTTATGAGAACACATTATTGGGCTCAATGGAACAGCATTATCAACTTGGTTTAATTGTTGGCAGTAATTTTCTAACAATGATCATCATCACTAATAAACTATAAATTTAGACAGTTTAGCTACAAAATATTTAAACAATCCTTTTGGTTTCATAATGCATTACCTATTGTGAGAATTCTAAATGTGATTGTAATCAAAAGTACCAGCTAGAGAAATACTAACACTTGAAATTGTTTGCTTTTCTAGTATATTTTCTTCTTTAAAAGAGAAAAAAAAAAAAAAGAGTTTCTATTTTATAAAAAATTATATAATTGCATAAAAAGTAAAAATAAAAATCGACAGATTCAAATATAAATCAAAGGTTACTTAATTTGTAACAAAAATGTAGTAATAAAGTCTCCTTTTTCTTTTAATTTAGAAAGTTTCTATATAATCAGTACTGTATATAACAACGTGGCTGGTGGAAGAAATGATTCGATTTCGAAAGACCCTCTTACACATGGAAACGGGCATCAAGCATCACTTTAACGCAAACAAAACGCTTAATAAGAATATAAAGAAAAAGAAAACAAAATCCCATTTCCTACAATTTCTTTCCTTAAAGCTCAATTAATATCCTCCAAACCAAATATCAGCATAGCTAAAACTGCTAGAAAAAACCATGGATTCTCAACAAGAGCTGATTCAGCCATTAATCCTGAATTACTCCATGCATGATCAGCTGCCATCCTCACCCGAGTCATCAGAAGCCAGTCATGGCCACGTCCATGAGGTGGACTCTAGACTCGAGAAAGTTTTGGCAGGGAGCCAGCTGTCATTTTTCAAGCGTCTCCTACTGGCCTCATGGATTGAACTGAGGCTCCTCTACTGCCTGGCAGCACCGGCTGTTTTTATTTACCCGATCAACAATGTCATGTCCGTATCCACACGCGCCTTCTGTGGCCACCTAGGCAATCTTGAGCTCGCCTCCGCTTCTCTTGCCTTCAGCGGCTTCCACGTCTTTTCTTTTGGCCTCATGGTACTATATATCTCTTCTTCTCTTACTTTATTTTACTAGGGTTTTGTTAGTTTCATTTTAATTTCATCTGTTAAACTAAGATTTTTGCAGCTAGGAATGGGAAGTGCTGTAGAAACTCTATGCGGACAAGCTTATGGGGCCCTTAGATATGATATGTTAGGCCTCTATCTTCAAAGATCAACCATTGTCCTTACTCTAACGGCGATCCCACTGACGGTGGCCTATGTCTTGTTCAAGCCAATCTTGATCTTACTAGGCGAACCGATGGAGGTTGCATCTGTGGCTGCTGTTTTTGTCTATGGTTTGATCCCACAAGTCTTTGCTTACGCTGTGAACTTCCCCATACAAAAATTCCTCCAATCTCAAAGCATTGTGACTCCGAGTGCGTTCATATCAGCGGCCACGCTTGGGGTGCACCTTCTGCTGAGTTGGCTGGCAGTGTACAAGCTGGGTTTGGGTTTGATAGGTGCATCTCTGGTGCTCAGCTTGTCATGGTGGATCATAGTGATGGCCCAAATCGTGTATATCTTGATGAGTGACAAGTGTAATCTTACATGGTCTGGGCTCAGTTTACAGGCCTTTTCCGGGCTATTGGATTTCTTTAAATTATCGGCTGCTTCGGCCGTGATGCTGTGCTTAGAGACGTGGTACTTCCAGTCACTGGTATTGGTTGCTGGTTTGCTGGAGAATCCTGAGCTTGCATTGGATTCTTTTTCTATCTGGTAAAGCATGCTTCTTGTTAATCTATATAACGTAGCAAATGAAGTCATGAATTTTAAAAACATATATCTGCTCAACGAAAAGGTGAAAGAGGGAATAAAACCTCCATTTCTTTTCTTGCAAAGTGCATATGAGCATTATTCCAATAATGTATAGAGATTGTGGATCATGAGTTTGGTATCTCTATTTTTATTGCCTAGGGTAAATGACAGGACTATATTCTCTGCCTACTAATTTCCATGAAATTGATCCTCATGAAACACACCCTAAAATTCTTTTGTTCCGTTAAAAGTTGCATTATTAGTACAGTGAGTCTTATCAGGTGCGTGCAGATAACGATCGATGCTTTCATGCCTAATGTTAATTTGATTAATATTCTTTTCTAGAAATTATATTTACTACCAAATTAACATACAGTTTTAACTATTAATTAACCATGTGAATGTTGGGATTTGCAAATGGTGCAGCATGGCTATATCTGGATTGTTTTTCAATGTTTCAGTTGGGTTCAATGCAGCTGCAAGGTTCGACACTTTCAGGACCACACTAGCTATTCTTCATCTGCTATCACTATTAGTATTCAACGAATCAATTTCACAAACAAAGAGACCAAAAAACAATGCTTCCAAAACGCCAAAACCTCATAAAAAAGACAAATAAAATTGCGCTGTCGAGTAAGAATATGATACATTTCTATTTCCATTAAAGCAGTGTTAGGGTCAGCAATGAGCTGGGAGCCGGGCATCCCAAGTCGGCGGCATTCGCAGTTGCCGTTGTGACTTTGGTTTCCTTCCTCGTTGCTGTACTGGAAGCTGTTGTTGTTTTAGCTCTACGGCATGTAATAAGCTATGCATTTACGGAAGGTGAGACCGTGGCAAATGAAGTGTCGGACCTATGCCCGTTCTTGGCTGTCACTCTTATTCTTAATGGGGTTCAACCTGTCTTGTCTGGTAAGAAAATTTTTGCCCACCTGCTTATGAACTCATTAATGATGTTACAGTCATACGGATACTGCCTGTGGTCGGAAATGAGTAATTTTGGTTTGAATTGACATGAACTTTGAACAATGAAAGTTTCTTATTGAGATTTGATTGATGAAGGGGTGGCTGTTGGATGTGGATGGCAAGCATTTGTAGCATATGTAAACGTAGGATGCTATTACGCGGTTGGGATCCCATTGGGCTGTGTTCTTGGCTTTAAGTATGACCTTGGTGCTAAGGTAAAGCCTCTCGTGAATTACGCATTCGTTTCCAGGTAAATATTTTGGTAATAAATCATTCATCTTTGAGCAGGGAATATGGTCCGGGATGATAGGAGGAACATTGATGCAAACCATTGTATTGTTGTGGGTGACATTTAGAACAGATTGGAACAAAGAGGCAAGTGCCTTTGAAACGATTGTTCATTTCTGTTTAATTTTCGCAATGCATTAAAAATGTACTCTGAATAGTCACTGATTCCAAGCTGAGATGAAGAAGCATCGATAACCCTACTGAAATTTCAGGTGGAGAAAGCAAGGAATAGATTGGACAGATGGGACGTACCTGCAATGCATCAAAATTAAAGAAATGGATGGGAAATTGATCGACTCGCCTCAATAAGCCATCAACAAATTGCTGATGATAACCATCAAGCCCTGACAACCCAGACGACCATTATCAAATGGTAGCTGACAACTTGCAGTTCTGAAAATTTTTCATGGGCCATATAAGTCTTGAAATAAGGTTGCTTACTGATTCCAATCATATAAATATGGTTGAAATAATACAAGGAGTAATGTCATGCCCAGTTGTCTTTCATACAAAAAGAAGCATGTACAACAGTTTAAGTGTGTGCTTCTGCTTTTGCACTCAAGACTATCTTCAGCTTCTCACATGATGCCCTCAACCTAATAGACGCCTTTATATTTGTACAAACATCGGTACTTTAAAAGTTTGGAAAGGGAACAACTTGAGATATTCCTCCAAATCAGGTTCATTAAACTTCCTATCAATCAATTTCTTAACCCACAAAATAGTGGATTTAGGATGCATGGTTGCAGAAGCGGCTCTAGCTGATCCCATGGACCTTTGTTTCACCGAATGAAACAACCGCAGGTGCCTCGCGCTTCGATTCATCATTCAACAACACATCAATATCACGTTGCTTCTACTACACTCATTTCTCTACCAAACACTAACACATAAATTTCCAACAATTACACCAGCATTTATCAAAATTTCCAAAATATTTTGTACCTAAACTACTTCTTCAACTTCTGTTTTGTCAAGCTCAAAAGTAACCAAAAGCTTCGAGTTGCACTAACGTTTCATGTTTTTCTCTTGTTTTACCATTTTGGAGTTCCAGTTTGGCCCTTGGAAAATCCATGTCATCAATCAGAGAGTGGACCCTACAAATAAAGCCCAGGCAAAACACTCCGGACCTGCTTTTATTGGTCCACCTTTTTCTCTTTGCTAACTTATAGTCTTCAGTCCAATCTTTTCTTTTTAGTTTTTACTAGCCTACAAACGATATCCTTCGGTACGAATTTTTGGCTCTGGAAAACATTTGAGATCGAAAATTTTAGAAAATTTTTGGTATATTTTTATCTGAAAATATGCTGTATTTTAAAAATATAAAAAATTATATACATTGAAATTTGAATTTTAGATTTATAAAATATATATTTCATCAGTAATACTTTAGACTTCATCAAACTGCTAACATGTAGACATTAAACGACCTAAAAAGAGGGACAGATAATATTTGATGAAAAATATATATATATGAAGAAAAAGAGTGTCACATGATCAAATAATCTCAGTGAATAACATGTGAAGCCCGAAGCCGAAATGAAATGTGAAGCGTAACTTTAAGCTTGTAAATGACATACGAAAGTTGAGGCCTAAAGTGGTCCCAAGCTTTTGATCGGTGTGCGGTGCATGAATATGACGAGAGACAAAAGATTTAAGTAATCACAGAATTGGAATATATATATCCAATGATCTATTCCGGAGCCCAAATAGGCAAAAAAATAATTATAGGAGTACTTAACTTGTAGAGAGCATTTGTTAGGCCGAGTTGTTCTTGCTGGGTTGACCAGAGGCCACTTGGCCACTGGCATCGAGCCAATCAATAATTAAGTATTTGATTCTATCTACACTATTTTAGGGGGAAGAGTACAGGCAGGACAATCCGGCATGATGGGATAGAAGGGAAAGTGTCTGGCTTGTAGATCTTTGAATTACTCTTCCCAATGGCTTTCAAACTTTGGATGTGCTTGCTTTGTCGCCGACATTTATGAGAAAAATGCTGGTGCAGTTGAACCCCATGGCCATGTGAGCTGCCTCAAACAAATCTCAGTTGGATCAATCATAAATTGAACTTGATCATACCATATCTGAGCACCTAGCCAGAATCAGGACCCCAATCCGACAAGGCTATATATTCTTTTGATTTGATCTAAAAATCAATGGAACAGGCTCTTCTCTTCTCCTACTCACCAGCAAATGACCTCAAGCTCCTACTCTTGTTTAGTAACTTCTCAGCCTTAAGTTCCATTGTTTCAAGTTAAAGATTGGTAGACTAGTAAAAGCCAAAATTTACTTATGCACAGCTGATGACCCATCGAAAATACTTTGGTGTGAGTTTCAATCCGTTGATAAAGAGAATACTCTGTGGACATCCCATTAATCCAGGCTTGAATCAATCAAACCTGTTATTCTTTTGTTTCATTCATGTCGTCCTTGATTCCAGGTCCTCTTTGCTTATCCAAATTTGAGTCTATTTCAATTAAAAATGGAAATTAAGTAGTTTTGCGAATTATCTATTTCAACCAAACAAATTAACCTGCAAGTTATAGCTGCTGGAAAGCTCTGATTTTGGACGATGCCAAGAAATGGTAGAAAAAAGCAAGAAAAACTTATTATTGCAAACAGATGAAACACAATCACTTTTGTATTTTAACGAACAAAAAAAAAGGGAAAATATATATGTATATAGCATATCTTTTAAGTGAACAAAGGATGAGAAAGGGTGGCAATGGTTCCACCATCACGGTTAAACAAGCGTCTCCAAGTTTTCAACTGATGAATAAGCTGCTTGTAAACACCAATTCTCTCAGCAGAAATACTAACCAACGCACTCTTCCTTAACTTCTTCAATCTTCTGCCAATCTTCACCTTTAGCCTACACAATCTGATTCGTAGAAACGATGGTTTTCTTCTAGTATCTGCTTGATACAGCGCTTTGTAGATCAAGAACTGAGCTCGTCGATGAATAATCTCTTCTGGGTCTTCCTTATCCACCTTTGAATAACCATATGATCTCCTCAGGATAGCCATATCTTTTACTAGGAAAACCAATAAAAGTTAAGATCAGAAAGAGCGGAACAAAACACAAATGTGACCTATGATTCAAGCAATATTTATAGGGTGGAACTAATCTCTTGAGGATGACATATCGTGATGAAGCTGTACATGTGCACTAATATTAAATTTGGTGGAAAAAAACAACAATAATGGAGGAGGCATCATGGTTTTTAATTAGCTGGCCAACCATCACCCGAAAACTCACCTGCTTTGCTCAGGAAACAGCATGCCACTGGATAATTACTAAGTTTTTTTTTTTTTTTTTCTCTTCTATAATGTATTAATAAATTAAATTTAGTTTTTTTAATATAATAAATAAAAGAATGCGGGCTAGCATGAAGTATGTCGAAGGTACCAACGTAAGTTAGGTACATCTCTATATTTAATCAGATTGACAAAAGAATCCAAAGAAGTAATTATCAATGAATCAATGCATTTTAGCTTATGCATTCATTGAACTTACATGTATTCATTTCGTTAATGTAATTATTATAACTGTATAAAATTTTAAGAATTACTATATCAATTACGACCAGATCATATTATAGAGAAGAATTATGATATATTTAATTTGATTTACTCATAAATTATACAAATAATTTACAATTTAAAATACAAAACGTGATTTTTTATAAGATAGAGAGAATCAAGCAATCATAATCTTTTTAATTTGATTGTAATAATGTGTTAATCCTTATAATTTATACGATTATAATAATTACATTAACATTTTTTGTCTTAATCTTAATTATATGTAATCTAGAAACTTAATAATGTTTAGGGAGGAGAAGAGAGGATATTAAATGAACCATGTGGTTGAATACCCGGTTTAAGTTGGATCACGAAAATTATATTGTTGGATTTTGAGATTTGTTTATACCATTTTTTTTTCTTTATTGTTCTTGTTTTATATTTAAAAAAAAAAATCATTATCCATCAATATAGCATATATCACTACTTATGATCCAGCTGTTTGAGAGCAAACCTTCGAATTAAAATTCAGGAGTGTGACAAGACAGCATTTGGTTTATTGGCTGGGCCAGAGGACAAAGTACTAAGAGCAAAGTTATAATCGATTGAATGCAAACAAATGAATGTACATTGTTCATTTGTTTTTAATGTTGTTCGTGATTATTTAAATAATAAAATATTTATATTTAATTTATGTTTAATTTAATTAAATTAAATAAATTCGATTGTAAATGTCAAATTAATATGTTAATAAATAATATAAACGAATATAATTTAAATAATAAATAAATTATAATAAATTGTAAATGAATATAAATAAATTTTAAAATAAAATTAAATAAAAGATAAAAATATAATTTGATTATATTATTATTAAACAATGAACAAACAAAAAATAAATTTTAAATGTATTTTAAACAAATTTTTGTTTATATTTTATTTATTTAATAAATAAATATAAAATTATTATTTAAAATCATTTATTAAATTTAATAAATCAACAAAAAACTAACTACTCACTGTGAATCGATTTGTTACACCTCTAGACGACAGCAACAGAAGTCAAAGGGGACATATATATATATATGTATGTATGTATATATAAAGGACCGAATTTCCACGGGCATGAAGCATCTTTGAAAAGGAAAAATTAGAAATTAAAACAAAACAACAAGGAGAAGGGACAAACTGCACAGGCAAATACCAAACGGCCATACCATCATACGTTAGCCCCCCTTTTTTTTTTTTTTTTGACATTTGAGAATCATATGTTTTCTTTCCAAGCTGGTAGCCAATTCCTTTCTGCAAGAGTCAGCCTATCCATGATGGAGGATATTTTGCTGATAAATCATTGACTCTTTGTATTTTATTGAGAAAAAAAAAACACAAAATCTTTCTAAACTTCTTGATAAACTGACAAAGTGACAAGCATGGGAAAGAAAAAGAAGCTTGCCGCTCTCTTTTGTCCATACTAGTAAGAGAGGCAGCTCCTTTTCCTGTGTTTGCCAAGAGTTTGTCCAGAATATTACCAGGGATAACCTTCATCAGCACACAGCACGCTTTATTAATTTTAATGTCATGGGAAATGTGATGAGATTTTAATATTGTGAAGTTTAAAAACTTATCCTGAGATACATAGAATACGAACTCTAAAGAAATATGGCTGTAATGGCAAGAGAAACTTTTGTCTCATTCCTCTTCACAGCAATACATAAGACTTCACGGCAAGCAAAATTTTGCTTGAAATGAACTCGTAAGATTTATATTACACGGTTGTTCTAGGTCTAAGAGAAAAGTACATACAGAGGTTAGGTTATTCATTTCCAGGAAATATGTAAATTTTACTGTTCCAAACAACATTCTAGGAACATCAGAGTACATTAAAGTTAACTAGTTATTTAGAAAAAGATCCGCAAGAACTTAAATACTATTGAACTCATTGACAAAATTATTTCATTATCCAACATGACCTCAATTGAGCTGACCTCCAACATGCTTAACCCACGGATCCCTCAAGCTTCAAACTCATGAGTTGGTTCACCTCAGCACCAAACTCATCAGGAAGCTCATTGAAAACATCTCGGCAAAACCCAGAAATCATGGCAGCCATGGCCTTCTCATAGTCAACTCCCCTCTGCTGAAAGTAAAATAACTGATCTTCACCGATTTTGGAGGTGCTAGCTTCATGTTCAACTCGAGCTGAGGAATTCTTAACCTGTTACATAACAGCAATCCAATCATAAACAACAAAATGGAGCTCCACGTTTCTTGATGCAACAAATAATCCACTGTAAATCAGACGTACTAATGTAATGGCACCGTAAAGCAATAATTATGACAGTACAAATATCAAGCAGATTTGTGTCAAAACAGGAATAAGAGTCAAATTCTAACCCAACCAGCATTCCAGTAGTATTTTCTTCATAGAAGGTTGAATAACGGAGCTCTTGCTAGTTATGGGAGTAAACACGGTCAGCATAGAGTAATATACACATATGAGGAGTCAGGATAGACAGGAAATGCACACACATGCATGTACCAAAATGTCAATCCCCCAAAGCTTGAGTTTTTCAGCAGTATATTACACGGGTAAACAAGACAACTAATTGGAAAGAAAGCGGAGGACCTACTTACCCAAATGATATAATCACAAAGACAAAGGTAATAACAACTAGTACAGGCATAGTATTTAACGCATTATAGGGAAAAAATGCCAAAAAAATCAAACATACCCACCTGGATGTAAGGATAGGTGTTTGAAGTAGCATTATCACCAATTAGCATTGAATCACATTGTGAGGAATTTCTAGCATTCTCGGCCTTTGATTGAACCTGAACAAGCCCCCTGTAACAGTTTCTTGAATTTCCAGCTGAAATACCCTTAGAGATAATCCTACTTCTTGTATTCTTCCCCTTGTGTATCATTTTTGTTCCCGTGTCTGCCTGCTGATAGTTATTTGTCAGTGCTACAGAGTAAAACTAACCCACAGTATCATCACCCTCCAAAACAACACTTGGGTACTTCCAAGTAATCCCAGACCCTGTCTCCCCTTGGGTCCAAGATATCTTCGAGCGATCTCCAGCACCAAGTCCACGCTTAGAAACAAAATTATAAATCCCACCTTTTCCTTCCTCATCACCAGCATACCAATTCTGCACAGTGGAGTATTTAATCTCTGCACCTTCAGCACAATACAACTCAACAACAGCAGCATGAAGCTGATTCCTATCATAAGAAGGTGCCGTACATCCTTCTAAATACTCAACTAAACTTCCCTCAGCAGCAACAATCAAAGTCCTCTCAAACTGCCCAGTTTCCAATGCATTGATCCGGAAATAAGTTGAGATCGGCATTGGGCATTTTGTATCCATAGGTATAAAACAAAACGACCCGTCACTAAAAACAGCCGAATTCAAAGCTGCATAATAGTTATCCTCACTAGGGACAACTCTGCCCAAATATTTCCTAACTAGATCAGGGTACTCCCTGATTGACTCGGATATGGAACAAAAAATCATCCCAGCCTTCTCTAAAGTCTTCCTGTGAGTAGTAGCAATTGAAACACTATCAAGAACCGCATCAACCGCCACATTAACCAATCGATACGCTCATTCAAAGGGACACCCAATCTGTCAAAGTACTTAAGAAGTTCAGGGTCAGCCTCATCTAAGCTGTTCAAAGTTGGCTTCTTTTTGGGCGCAGAGTAATAACAAATATCTTGGTAATTAATTGGCGAGTATCGATTATCAGACCATTTGGGTTCTTTTATTTTCAGAAATTTCTCATAAGCGTTTAATCTAAACTCCAACATCCAATCAGGTTCTTCCTTCAAAGAAGAAATTAAACGAATTGTTTCTTTGGAAAGCCCTTTGGGTATCGAAAACGAATCAATATCCATGGTAAAGCCAACTTTTTTATTGTAATCACGGTTTCGAAGAATTTCCTGGATCTTCTCATCGTAGGATATACCTGACGAAGAGCTGGGATCTGACGTTAGGGTCTGAGAATCGCAACCCACATCTGCTCTGACCTTGAAAGCCTTGAATTTTGGGGTTTTTGGGTTATGGGTTTGACAGAATCTATCTTTGGATAAAACCCTTTCAGGAACTTGGTTGAATCTGAGGTGAGGCTGTGGTGAGAAGCTAGAGATACCGTTGGCTAGCAACGAAACCATGGTTATATGGCTGTAGTTACTAGAAAGAAAGCACCAGAACACAAACAATATAAAAGGAAATCGAAATTAAAAGGAGTGAAAGGAATTTTTTTTTATTTCTATTGAGCCTATTGCTAAATTTTCGATTTTCATTTTTCTTGGCTATGAGATTGTTAGGAGTGTCTCGGTGATATTAGGTACTGCTTTGAGATTGCCATCTTCATAAATTTCTCCAATTTTCCTTTCGAAGTGGCGCTTGTGGCCTAATGGATAAGGCGTCTGACTTCTAAGCAGACGATTGTGGGTTCGAGTCTCACCAGGCGTGAAATTATAGTCTTGTTGGGATTCATTATTGTTTTTTATCCATTTCTGTTACTTCATTAATTTTTTATGATCTCTTGAAAAGCTGAGGCAGGCGAAGTCCAGGGCGATACTAGTTGGGATCCATTATTGTTCTTTCAGTAATTTTTGACGATCTCTTGAAAAGCTTATAAGATTGTGGGTTCAGGCGTGAAATTAAGACCCAGTTGAGGTCCATTTCTGATCCTTCATTAATTTTTGATGATCTCTTGAAAAGCTGAGGCAGGCGAAGTCCAGCGAGATACGCCCCATTAACGTCATGGTTTCTGTTTCCACAGGCCCAACAACAAGACAGATCCTGGTTCCCTCGCGTTTCCGTTATTACACTATCCCGCGAACCAAACAGCAGCTCCAAAGAAATCAAGAAAATAAAAAAAAAAAGAACTGAAAAAGAAAAAATTTATTATTACAACCAATAAATCAGCAAATCTTGGATTTTTTTAATGATTATCTCGCCACTCATTTTTCACTCGGATGATATGCAATCTCTCTAACACAGGTGCGTTTCTTTTCTTTTCCTGAATATAAAAAATGTAGTTTTTTATGCTGTCATTGCGTAACAGTTTTGCTTTAATAGTAAAAATTTTACTGGAAAAACGTGAAACAAACCACAACAACTGATTGGAGACTTGTTTTTCTATTCTTTTATTCTTGAAGATGGAATGAATAAGAGATTTTATTTGGGATAGTTCATAACCTAGTTGAGATTCATTTGCCTTTATAGATTGTGAAAAGATGGTATCCTTTTATTTGTACCCATTGTAACTTTTTCACTTTTAAAATCTATGAGATATTTGAAATGTGTGAAAAGGATGTTAGTATTTTCAATCTTTCCTGATTTGGGTTATGATTAAAGGCTCAAATTTTCTTTATATTTGGGGTATATTTTGATCCAAAATATATGTAGTTCTCTTGGAATGGATGGCTTGGTCCGCATTGTTTTGTAGAATGGTTTCGGGTTTTATGTTTGTTATGCAAAGATGTTAGGACTGTCTCTTTCATTCTGGGTTAGTGTTTGTGATCTTTCCCATATTCTTTTTCTCATAAATGTTTTAGCTCTGTTGAGTACCATTTCATGTTGGAACTATTTATATCAGAAAATGTTGTTCTCTCAAGTCTCAATGTTGAAATCATGCTTCACAATGGAGATTTGCTTAGCATTTCTGTGGCAGATAAGGCCAGCCAGTATATTGCTGTAGGCAAAATGCAAAAAATAGACAATCAAGCAAAACCTATGGACTGAACTTTGGCCCTTCATCGTGATATCAAATCTGTGTGAGAATTTGTTGATGCTGCTTACACATCCACCATCCTTAGCAGATCATATCTATATTTTGATTTTTTTTACCCCAAAAAGAAAAATAATCAGTTATTCTCATAGAGGTGGCAAGAAGGTCTTATAAGATCCTGATATCCATAGTTCTTATTTTGTGAACTTTTGTTCCAAAATGAATTATAGGTGAGAAACTGGCAAGCATTAAGGTTTGTCATTGCATTGATTAAAACCCAGCAACATCTATCATGAATGTATATTGTCTGCTTAGGTACCCAAATTTTGGGAAGCATCAATGTAAGATATCACAATGACAGATTTGTTGTAATTGAATGTATATCCATCTTGCTTGTTTTGAATCTACCTATTACATGGACGACCTTCTGAATATGCATATCTTAGTTCATCACCAATAGCTCTTTCATTGAGTAGTTGTTCAAATCTAACACATTAATAGCATCCATCACATAGAAAATTAAAACATTAATTTCTTTGTGGCATTGAGCACTTATCAATATCAAAATTTTAGATGAAAACCTAAGCCTACTCCACGAAGAACACTTGGCTATTGCACCAAGTCAAAATTTTACTCCAAAACTAGAACCTACTCCAAGAAAAACACTTAGTTGTCACACCCATAGGCAATCTTACGCTAATAATAACCAGAGGATTCCTGATATTATATAGTTTGGTATACTTTGATTCTTTTGAATTATGGTTTACTGGCATGGCAAAAGTAGTATTAGTGTATTGTTGATCAACTACAGCTTTGTACTATTTTCTTAATGGTCAGTGCTTGTGTGATCATATTGATGACAAAAGTTTTAAATTGTTTTTATGATTTGCAGGGAAACTCGGGAAGATTATCACAAAAGGAATTATAATAAGATAGTATAAAGGAGGTTTTGCTTCGATTTGTGCAGGATGAGCGGCCAGAATCAAGGGGCTAGCTTATCTTCTTCAGCAGACCCACCTATGAAGCGGAAACGTGGGCGTCCACGCAAGGATGAGAGTGTTCAAGGGGACAACACAACTGTTACACCTGCATCTGACAATCTGAGGAAAAACAAGCAGACTGTGGGAACAAGTGACCCTGCCGCTGATGACATGGTAGGTCAGATGGTCTCTGGTGTCATTGATGGTTCATTTGATGCTGGATATCTTCTTAATGTTAAGGTAGGTGATACAGACACGCATCTTAGAGGTGTTGTATTTCTACCAGGGCGATTCACTCCAATTACTGCTGCAAATGATGTGGCTCCACATGCTAAGATGTACGAAAGCAAAGAGATTCCTATCCCATTTGTAAACCCTCAAGGTCATCTCCATGCCGGGAGTCCTTCATCAGGGAAAAGTGAGAAGCCCGTTGAGCATAAAAATGATGCACCTAACCTTGTAGGCCAAGGCCTACATATTGGGCATCAATCTGGTGCCACGGCTGCTAGTGAGAGCCAATCTGCATCTACTCTAATTCCTCCAGCTAGTAACTTGCCAGTAAATGACACTGGTCTTCCCTTGGGACAAAAGGTCCTGCTAAAACAAATCTTGGATTCTGGATTGCAGAGTGATAAAGCTGTTGGACAGAATCAATCACTGCTAGGATTTGAAGCCTTCAAGCTGATGAAAGGACCAACTATTAACGTAGAGACATCTAAAGCATCTGATCAAGTGTCTGCAACATTTACTGCTACTTTGCCGGCTACTGAGATTGTAAATCTGATGCCTCAAGTTGAACACCAGGCTATGAGTTCCGAGGTTCATGATGATGTGAAAAGCCTCGACCTTGGTAACAACCAAACTCCCAAATTTTCTGAAACTGAACCTCAAGCCATTGCTTGTGAACCAACTGGAATCAACATGTTCGGAAAACAGGTTTCGTCAAGGCAAGATATTTCACAAGAAACGCACTTGGTGCTTGCTAAGAAGATTATGAGTGGAGCTGACAAGTCTCACATGGATGGATTGTCTGCAAGTGATGCTGCCACAACTACTTCGACAGTTCCATGCTCTGCATCAATGACCAACCTACCGATAATGATATTTGGGGCAGAAACTATTCCATCTGAACCCAAGCCTGCTGCTGAAGAATCTGTTCTTTCAAGAATGGTTGAACCCGAAGTTAGTAGTTCCTTAATGACTGCCAACACCAACAGTGTGGAATCTAATGCCAAAGATGCTTTTCCACCTGCACAGTCTTAGTTTTCGAGTTGTGAAACTAAAAGCAGGAATAGAACGAGCCTTACAAGTCGAGGGCTTGAAGGAGGACTAGCTTAGGTCATGACCGTGAATGGTTGAGACTTTGTCTCTGATTCGGATCATTTGTAATGGTAACTCTTTGCAATCAACCTTTACCTTCTAACTTCGTTTCTAGTGCATTATCATGCTTGTTAATTGTGCTGAATATCACTTGCAGCCTCTGACAGCATTGCCTGTGTTTTCAAGATTTACTACTTTTTACTTTTTCATTTTTATTGAAAGTTGTAAGTATGTTATCTGGCCAAAACAATTAAATAATTTAGCAATCAAGTAGAAGGAAAATCTCCCAAGGCATGTAATTTCATCTGTACTAACTATAGTACACCAAATGCTCCTATGTTTCCACCATTGCACTGATTTACTCATCAATAATGCAACCATGACCCGAATATAATTCCCAGATCCCAAAGGAACATAATCACCCCCTTCTCCAACCCAAAAAAAAATTCCTTTTCTTGAAACAAACCCCCTCCCTCCAGAAAAACGGCACATATTCATCATTACATGCGTCAGAAAAATAACACCATCCGATAAAAAGCTAAACACCCAGAATAGTACAAAATTTTGTGATAAAAGGAGGTTTATACAGTGCATATGATATTAGCAAGAGAATAACACAGCCTGACTTTATTCCCCCGAAAGAGAAACAAGGAGAGATCAAGTTGCATAAGTTCACCAAACTAGTAAAGATAAAAGCAGCCATAAAAAAAGCACTTTAGCTATATCCCACTTGTTGTTGCTGCTGCTGAGGCTGTTGATAATTTCCATACCCAGGATATCCTCCATAGTACATGTTGGGGTCTTGGGGAGCAGCAGCATAGCCATAATCATATCCTTGAGCATACCCATAATATCCACCATTCCACTGGTTTGGATCTCCTTGGGACTGCAATAGAAGACATGTCAAAGGCATGGATCAAACTCAAGGGTATACAGAATTACCGAATAAAAAAAAAAAGCAATAGCCACCAAAATATCTAATTCACCTGTTTGTTTGATGTGCTACGGCCCCATGAAAGCCGAATACTTTGTCCACCCAACTGAGTGCCATTTAGCATTCGCAGTGCTTCTTCCGCACAGCTCCTGATGCATTAAAGGTACAGAATAAAACAGTTACACGGATTATAACTCTCCTTAATAGATCTCTTCAGAAATATTGAGTAATGTATCTTTACCTATCAGCAAATTGAACAAATCCACATCGCTTGTTTTGTGGTATCTTCACATGCACCAACTGACCATATGGGCTGAAAAACTCTCTCAAATGGTCCTCCGTCACATTAGAATCCAAATTACCAACAAATATCTGCATGGAAATATGTAAAATCAAAAACATATGACAAGAAACTATGTTCCTCCTTGAAAGTGAACAAAATACCCACAGTTGTATTAGTTGGATCGTTCTCGTTCTGAGTCCCTTGAGATGAAGCTGCATATGAAAAATAAATGTGTAACAGAAGGACAATAAAAAGGGAATGGTATTTCCAAGAAACAATGAGAAAACACAACATTGCATAGTTGGGATCTGTTCCATGAATCTTGTACTTCACACCTCCAGGGGCTGTTACATAAATGTTAAGGAGAAAGAACATATAACCTGAAAATATGTCATCTATTTGAATAATATGTATAAGACCAAGGACCCTTGATTCACAAAAACATGATTGTAGAAAAAAAGAAAAGTATTGGATATACAATAATAGACTCCACCAAACGTACAGCACAATCCCTATGTATGGACACTAAAGTGGGACTTTCACTGCCAGGCTGCATATACTCGTAAAGTAAAACTATACACATGGATGATGAACCAGTAACAAAGAAAGGATTGTTGGGGGAGGGGGAAGTGAAGATAAAGTAATCATTTCCCAGAACGCAGTTCCTTACATTTGAGATAATGAATTATGCTAATGAAAACTTTAAATACATGTCAAGATATAACATGTTGAAATCAACAAAGATCAACAACTCCAATTTAGAGTCCAAGGGATAAAAAGGAGAATAAAGCATAAAACTGCTAGGAGGAAAAGTAAACTAAGTGCCTAGCAAGCACTAATCACAAAAATATAATAAATACTGACATTCATGCCTTTGACAGAGCTACAGCAGACAGTCTGAGCCTCACTAACTGAAATCTTAAAATACACGTGACCTAAAACTCTACAACAGTAACCAGAAATAGACATTGGGAGCAGCAGGACTTAGCAATAAGATCAAGCTAAAATGTAAAAGTACAAGGAAACAGTGCATAAGAAATCACAAGTGTCATTGTTTTTTAAAACTGGAGAAAGAGGATCTAACGGTAAACTGAAATGTAACTTGACTGAAATCTCTTACTAACCAGAGAAGTAAAAGTAGACTGACAGCTCAACCAATAGAACTGAAATGAACTTTGAAAACGTAGCATAACAGATGCCACAGAAATCTCAAATAAAGGACAAGACAAAACACAAAAACTGACCTAAGCGAGGGCACGGACTAAAGGGATAACCATTTCTGCTGAAATCAGTTCCAGGCCCCAAGATGATAGAGCCTCCCGACACCCTGCTCTGAGACAACAGGAGTTTATAAGCTTTTGCAAGTTTCAAGATTTCAATAGCATTATGGTGCCCAAATGTTTAAGGAAAGTACAGGAAGGAAATGACTTGTGGAAACTGCTGCTCAACTTCTAGAGAAGAACTGAAAGAAAGAGAACTTAAAATAATATTAAGTACACTTCACAGCAAGCAAAAGTTGGAAATTTATCCAACCAACCTTACCCTTTTAAACAGATAATTCATAAATATTAATATCAAATTTAAAAAACTGCACACTACATTCACTGAAACAAAAGAAAACTGACATAAAAGAAGCACCCACAGACCAGAAGATTCAAAAAGAATGTAGTGAAATTCAAATATCTATGCTATTCTTTTAATGCAGCTAAGATGAATCAGAATATCCCAAAAGGCTTGCACAAAACAAATAAGCATCAGCAAACATACCTTTTGGATATTGCTGCACGGTGACAGTCTTCTTGTTAGTAGCTGGTCCTATACGCATAGGCCTAGTTGAACAAAAAACGCCATTCATCTCTGTCATAGCACGATTATGTTCACTTTCATCTCCAAACCTAACAAACCCGTAACCTTTTGTGCGTCCAGTGACCCTATCAATCACAACCTTTGCACCCTTCACAGATGGAAAGTGTGCCCTGAAAGTTTCTTGAAGCATGTAATCAGTAACATCAGCAGCCAAGTCTCCAACAAAGATTGTAAAGTCAGGGGTTTCATCTCGCCTCTCGCCTGAACTAAAGGATGCCCAATTCAGCCTATAGTTGTTCTCACCATTCGGCATAGATGTACCATTGTATGTTTGTAAAACTCTCTCAGCAGCAGCTCGTGAAACAAATTCAATAAACCCATAACCCTCCACTTGACCTGTTTGCTTGTTACGGATAACTTTCACAGAAGCAACCTGCACCAGAATAAAGAAATAAGAACTCTGTCTTCAATTACTCACACATGAATCACAAAGTGAAAATATTTACACATCTTTTTAAAATAACTCGAGTACCAATGACATATACTAACTAAATAAATACCCACGTCTCATATCTAAAAGCTTGCTAGTCTAAGCAAAGAACAGCACCCTGGTTAAAGCCATTCAACGCAATAAAAAACAGAACATGGCATCAAAGATCATAAACATATCACATCTGCAACAAGGCTCCTAACCATAAAAGAAAGAACATTAAAAACCTTAAAAAAAACAACAAATCCACTACCAAAATCATATTTTTATGCATACAGACTGCGACCAGAGAAATTAAAAACACGAATCAACACAAAATTAGACAACCATCCGCGAAATCAGAACAACAACAGAAATCACTAATTGAAACATTGCATCAAAACAAACCCCACCAAACTAAACGACCCAGAAAACAAAATCGCAAGATGATAATAAGTAAAAGCCGTTGAATACCTCTCCAGTTTGGGAAAAACAGCTCAAGAGATAATTCTCATCCATATAATACTGCAAATCACCGATCCACAAAGTCCGAACCTCATCTGTGCTAGTGGGTTGACCGGCTTGACCGGCCTGTTGTTGCTGAGCTGGCAGCATAGCCGAACCTTGCTGAGGTGGCCACATGGGAGGCTGGCTCTGAGGCGCCATCATGTTCATCATCATGTAAGGTTGCTGTGGATGAGCAGGCGGTTGATGGTATTGGTACTGTTGTTGCGTCTGTGGAGCCGCCGCCATGGAAGGCGGTGGAGCCATTGCGGATGGGACTACGCCGGGTGCTGGTTGCTGCATCGTCTTAAATCTGGGGTTTTGTTATTCTGACAATAGAGAGACAGATGGAGTGAAATCCTAACCCTAGATAAGGGGTAAGGTTTGGAAGATGTGAAAGAGCTGAAGTAATTGGGAAAAGGCAAAGCCGCCAAAGGAGGGGCAAGTAAGCTGATGTTTGTCAAAATGACTGAAATAGGTTTGGTTCTTACCAGTTTAAATGGTTAAAGGCAGGGGATATTTTGATAATTTTAAATTTGTGGACCCCAATAGCTTTTTAATCGTTGATTTAGTCACTAATAATCACAGGTTTTTTTTACTTAAAATGTGGGTTAATTTTTATACTTGGCAGTGTTTGCTGTACTTGCAATAATTCTTCAGTATCTGAAAGGCAACGGATCTGGACAGCTCTTTCTTTCACTCATTTGAATCCGAATATTGCTGGAGAATTCTAAAGTTCAGCTGCAGCATGTTGTGAAGTTTTAACCTTTTATCTTTCAAGTTGAGGTAATTAACTGGTTTCCATTGTTATTTTTAACTCTTCCAATGACCTGGTAATCAGAATTCCCTTATTTCCAGTTTTTAAGCAGTTTTAGTATGCACAATTACTTTGCTGGAGTAACTGCTCTTTACTGAAGTTTAAAGTTTTTGTCTTGGAGAAAATTCTTGGCTAAAGTGATAATCTTGTGAGATCTTTTGACAGATTTTGATTGGATTCAATTTGTAATTGGAATTGTTGTCTTCTGTCTCGTTGTCTAAAAAAGAGTCATCAGGCTTTAATTAGATTTCATGCCAGGGGTTGGAATGGATTTACATTTGAAGAACCTGTTTGTTTAATAGATTCCAGGAGCAATTTGGTTCTGGTCCTGGATGCGGGACATGCCTTGTGAAGGTAGAAGGCATTGCTTCTAATTTTGTAAAGTCCCTATTTAAAGCTTCTGCAGCCCTATATAGAACTGAAACTTGGAGAAGATGGTGCCAAGGGCATTTCTTTGGTGTTCGAGTGGGGAAAGATTCAGATTGGTCCGGCAAAAAACAGCCTTTTTCATGTTCCCAGTTCATCGGCGAAGATGGTGGGGATATTGGGTTTTATATGTTTAGATCTCAAAATGATGCTAAGAAGATGGCAGGCTCAAGGTAGACAATTCGAGTTCCAAATGTTGAGCTTTTGAAGATCACATATGAGCTTGAGACATTAATGTTGCCTTCCAACGATTGTCATTGGAAGCATCAAGAAATGATAGGTTTCCTGTTATTGATGTTGCAAGCTGCACATCTTCAGGTGAGCTTCAGTTTAGGAATCCTACCCTGGAAGAGCTAAAGTTCGTGTATGCTTTCATGAGAGCCATTTCTCTGGTGCACCCATTGCTTAAGGTGGATAAAGAAGGTGGTCCAAACTGGCCAAGGTTGATATGTTTTTGACCTATTTATTGAGACAGTTGAGTGGCCTCCAGAAATGGCTAGAGGTCATGAAGTTGTTGCAGTTACAGTCTAACACCCACATGGGCAGGCATATGAGAAAAAGACAAGTTCAACAGCCAGCTCAACACCCAAGTATGCAGAGCCATCAGATGAAGCCAACTTGATGGATATAAGGGTAGACTTAAATTCCAGTTCAAGGCAATGGGCTATGTGCGAGAAAGAAGTTAATGGAAATCAATCTCTCTGCTGTGGGTGATGTCGAGCAGCGGTCTGCTGTGGTTCTCTCTGCCAAAAGCAGCACTGGAAGGAATCACATAAAAGCATGTGTGGTCTGTACAGAGCTATGATGGAAAGGGAAGAAAAGCCTCCAATGAAAATGTTGGGGTTCCCTTGCTCTGCTGGCCAACCTTGTAAATGGCTTGAATCATTGGGTATCCATCAAAAGGAATGTGGTCTACCCAGTTAAAGGTGGGCTATGGGATTCATGGGCTGGGCTGGATGATGAAGAGTACTTTCGTGATTGACCTTTTCCAAATCATTTAAGAGACTGAATCTCAAGCCCTATCCTTCTTTCTGGTTGGTCGGAGTACTATAACCTTCGATCACTGCCATTGTCAAGTCCTGTTGCTGATGGTCTTTCCCACCCTTTGATGGTTTATTATATGTTGACGGCTTTCAGTATCAGTTCAAAGAATCTTTTATTCAAAGGAAAGGAGGTGATTCCTCACTACCTGGGGCCTGAAGGGGAGATGGACTGGATGCCGACATTTGTTAAGATCAGTCACTTGTTGGGTAAAATACAAGTAGCTATGGTGGGACCCGAATTTGTCAGGAACAAATCAGGAATAAGTAGCAGAGTTAGGGTGAATCTTGTAAGGGGTGTTCATCAGGAAGAAGCCACCAACTTGCCTTCCCCCCATGTTATAGCTGCACTGAACTGCGTATTAGATAGGCATGCCAGTTGGGGTGGTGCACTTGATTTGATCAAAGCCATGGGCATTCCAGCCTTCTTCAACGAGCCGTCAGAAATTTGTGTGCAAATGCTAAACAGGTTTTACGTGGTGCTGGACTGCACATCACCTACCCCGTGACACCAAATCCCTTCCGTTCCCCAGTTAAAAATCATGATTCTTCCTGCAATCTTCCTTCTTACAGTAATGGATTTGTGCTGGGGATAAACACATAACTCTACATTCGGACATTACTGGACACTGAAACCTCAGCTTTTCACGATTTTATATTTACCAGCAGATAATTGTGTGCTGTGCTGGTGATGGCTTTACCTGCTAATAAGGTATTGGCTGAGAGACTACCTAGCAATGAAAATTTAAATGTAACATAACTTGTTTCTTTTATTGAGTTGAATAAAACCAGTTGATGTAAAACTTATGGTTATTCTGTTATTTCTGATTGATGAATACAAGGGCTTACAGCAAGCTTGATGCTCCTCATTTGACTGTCAAACTACTAGATGTGGATTCTGTTTAGTTTTTGCCTTAGTGGTACATTTCAATGCTCATGTCAGACTCAATTTTCTGTTTGCATTGACATTAACATTTTGTGTTTCTTTTTACTGCAATAATAAAATGGAAGCCTTGTTACTTTGTCAATTATTTCACAAGAAACCCCTTTCCAGTTTCAGTCATGGGATGGCTGATAAAGGAATTGAACCTAAGACCTCTCTTAAAATTCACTAAAATTTAAACAGCAAACTATTAACAATTCTCATTTTCATTTGTGTAAGTATGAATTTGCTCAATTATTTTTTAAAAGGGAAAATAAAAAATTTAGTCATGAAAGTGGGTAAAAATCACAAATATGGGTAAAATTGATTCTGTTGATAATATAATTGGTTAAATTCAATTAATTTCAATATTTGTTATTATCAAAAGAAATAAAAAAGAAGGCAATGTAAACATTATGGTTTACTAAATCAACCAAGAGCTATTTTAGTGCCAGGTAAAAGCAATCCTATTGGTTCGTGTCAAACACGCGCGTTCTGATTCGACTGGATTTGTCATTGAACTGAACGCAAAGAACAACGAAGCCAAACTATTGTGTTATATTTTGTACGCGATTTCACACTTACCTTCATTTCTTTCATTTTGGTTCTTCAAAAACGAAAATCTCTGTTTCGATCTTCGAAAGCCCCAAAACCCAGAAAATCAGATTAACAATTTTATCGAATTAGTGTGTGAAATATCTTGGTTCAATTTTGTTATTGTAGAAATTAAAAAGAGCTTTTTTTGTGAAAAAAATGGCTCAAGCTGTTGAAGAATGGTACAAGCAGATGCCCATCATCACCCGCTCTTATCTCACAGCTGCCGTAGTCACCACTATTGGTTGCTCTCTCGAAGTGTGGCTCTTTTCCTTTTCTTTTCTTTTCTTTTCTTTTTTTGGTATTTTTATGTAATTTTTTTCTCAATCTGGGCAATAGGATTGTGATTGCGTCTTCAATTTTCAATGATTAGTGCATGCTTTTTAATGTTCTATGAAAATGGGTATGATTATTTTAGGCTGATTCGAGCTGTGTTTATCTCAATTTTTTAAATTGGGCGTTTCCCATTGGATTTGCTCTATGGGTTTTCAGTTTATCATTCATATTTCGAAATTTTATTTCTTGAAAAAGTTTGTTGGGAATTTGGGCAGTCAAAGTTGACTGTTTGTTTGTTACTCCTTTTTTCAAAGGATGGTTTTTTTTTTTTGTATGATAAGCAATTGGATTTGATTGGTTTTTCCATCTTGGTTTTGAAAAGAATCAGTACTTGTTTGGGATTGTTATGCTAATCTGATTTAGTTTGTCTCTTTGCAGATAATATCACCTTATCATCTGTACTTGAACCCCAAGCTCGTGGTTAAGCAGTATCAATTCTGGCGCCTCATTACTAACTTCCTGTACTTCCGCAAGATGGGTAAATTTCATGTGTCTTTATGTCTGAGTGTAGTGAAATCTTTGGTTTGTTATGCCTTGGGAACGGTGCTGTGTAATATGTTGTGTATGTTATTGCTCAAAGTGTAGAATTTTCCTAATGAAACACAGAGAGCCGTCTTTGTCTCCCTTCAATTTTTAGTCTAAAGCATGGAAATGCAGTTGTGTATTTGAGTTGGTAAACTTCGATGGAGTGAATGTGGATAAAAATGAAGTGAGGTTAAAGAAAAAAAGCAAGTCCATACCTCCTGCGCCCTTTTCCTTTTTACTTTCTTCTGAGTATACTCCATCAATGGCATTAAATGTCTTTAAAAGTTGCTATTGCTTCTCCTGGCATGTGGATGTGATAAATTAGAATATGATTGAAGCTAGTACTCTCAAATATTTTAGCACCTTTAACACGGTATCCCTTGGTAATACCAGATTTGGATTTCATGTTTCACATGTTCTTTCTTGCTCGGTACTGCAAGCTTCTTGAAGAGAATTCTTTTAGGGGGAGGACTGCGGATTTTTTTTACATGCTCTTATTTGGAGCTTCCGTCTTAACTGGCATCGTTCTTATTGGAGGAATGATACCTTATCTGTCAGAGTCATTTGCCAAAATCATATTTCTAAGCAATTCATTGACATTCATGATGGTAAGTATATCTGCCTTTGCTTACATACAAAATACATTTTACTAGTAGCAGGCGTTCTCTGGTGGTCATTTTGGAAGCCATCTTGTTTTACTATACCTTGCAGGTTTATGTGTGGAGCAAGCAGAATCCTTTTATACACATGAGTTTTCTGGGTCTTTTTACCTTTACAGCAGCTTACTTGCCCTGGGTAAGTGCTTCTGTTCATTCCATCCTTTTTTTTATTGTTCTTGAGAATGTATCCTATCAAAGCATTTACAGGTTTTGACGAAGAAAGAACAAGTTGTTATGGTGGATTTTCCCATGGAGAAAAATTTTTATTCTTCTTATTTACATTTGTGGGTTTGATCCGACTTCTCTTAGTTGTAGAGCATAATTGCTTCTTTTCCTTGTTTATCTTTCAGGTGCTTTTGGGATTCTCTGTCCTTGTTGGTGCTAGTGCTTGGGTGGATCTCCTGGTGCGTTTCCATACCCAGAGCTTGCTTTTAACGTTGAAATTTGGGATAGTATTATTTGTATGAATTTTCTGCATATCTCCTAAATCCATTAGTATGTTCATCTGAGTGGACAGAAGCTATACTAGTGTAATTAAACTCTTTTCTTATCATTGTCTATCATTACTGCTGGAGAGGTCATGTTGTGATTCTTGGGGTGAATATAGTGGAAAAGGAAAGGGAAGGGATGTGGGGGGAGTAAGTCGTTTGGACTCAGCTATTGGGTAAGGACTGTGAGACCGCTTTATAATTATGCAGTGGTCCTATAAACTGCCCCCTTTTCTTGTCTCGCCTATGTTTAGATCCTCACTGTGGCCATGTTTAACTTTTGCATCTCGTTGTTTGTCATTGTTACATTTCTGGCTTTTTGTCAATCTAAGTATTTTGTTGATCCAGGGAATGATAGCTGGTCACGCATATTATTTTCTCGAAGACGTATATCCGCGAATGACTGGTCGCCGACCCCTAAAAACTCCATCCTTTATTAAAGCGCTGTTTGCAGATGAGGCTGTAGTGGTAGCACGGCCAGCAAATGTGAGATTTGCTCCACCACCCGCAGAGGAACTTCACAGAGATTAATCTGTCGTGCTGAAACTAGACCAATGGAGGGTACCTTCGGTTGAATTGACCATGCTTGGACATAGCAAAGGCCCAAAAAATTGTGGTTGGCCATTTCTTGAAAATGTTCAAGCTTACATGCTAATCATGAACTATATATCTTCGTTGCATTAGAGGTTAGCTGTGTACATCTGATGTTGCTGCTGCTACAGCTATTTGGGGATGGAATTTTATAACTTACCACCTAATTAAGTGCTTTTGGATGGAATTCTACCACTACGCTAGTCCTAGTTCTAAGCTTTTTTTTTTTTTGGGGAAAAATTACCCAGAATTCCTAAGGTGTTAAAATCTCCAACCCACGCATAATTAAGGATTTGCTTTTCACGGGTAGCTATCAGATATTCAGATGGTTGCTCCAAAATCCACAGCAAGGCAAACTATTATGTAACATTTACTCAACTCTTAGGATAAATGCTGAAAAAAACAGCTACAAAACACAAAACAAAACTCAATCTCTAAGAACAGACATGGAAGAACTACTACATCGACGATTGAACCTACAAGAAAAAAAAAAAATAATCTTCCAATTCTCAACCAATAATGCACAAGTGTCGATTAACAACCATTCGATCAAATAACCCATGAAGAAATCAATTGAATGATCTCCTTCTAAGAAAGCTGCAAATAGCTATGTATACACGTAAAAAGTTTTGCCAGCACCATCAGCCGTTCCAGTTCTACTTCTGGATTGTTCTCTGGCTCCATTTCCCTCGCTCGACTCCAACACTAACTAATCCTCCAAAGTCCAAACCATGCCAAAACCATTTTTCTAGGGGGAAATACAATCCTACGAACAAAGAAGCATTCAGGCTACCGGATGGGGTGATATTGGGCAGATATTCTCTTTGGAGGCAACTTTCGCAGGATGTACAAGACTAGAGCTGAAGGTAAGATCTCAACCAGCTGTAATTTGACCAATAGAAATTACATGTTTAAGAAAATACAAGTGAGAGAAATAGGTGGCCACAAATAAGGACTTGTAAAATACCATGTAATAGATCAAGTTTAAAACTGGATGGTCCAAAACATCAAGTGACGCATCTGAATCAAAAGCAGATAAAACCACCTGCACATAGAAAGCAGGAATATTTTAGCAACCAAATAAAGAAAAAAGCATTGTAACTGTTGAGTGATTTGAGTCATTGTAACTGTTGTCAAGCTCAAATTATCTGGGTCAAATACTGACCTCTAACATTGTTGATAACCCATTTTATGAGAGCCATAAAAATACTCATAACATTCAACTTCTTGACCAATTTCTCTTGCTAAGGCAATCTAAGACAACCTAGGAAGAGAACTCATGTGAAGCATGCACTAATGCCGCTCTCTATGGTCAAATTCCTAATTTTGACTTGCATTCAGCTATTCACTTATTACTGGGAGTATTTAGCCAGAGGCATACTATTTTGCATGCCTCTTCTAGTCATTATTAGCAAGAATGTTGAGAAAATGAAAACTCCAGGCAAGGTTCAAGCTTCCTTTTGATTCAAAAGGAAGAAAAAGTAAAAAGAATAAACTCATCAAGTATGGGGTTTTTTTGGAAAAGACTGTTTAAAGTCTTTTGCTTCATTTTAATCTAAAAAAAAAGAAAAAAACTATACAAACTAAATTTCCCAGAGGTTTTCTCTAATATGAAGGATGTAGCATGTCTAAGTCATACATATTTGAGCTTTCAGATTATTAATTTGCCTCAAGATATAATAATCAAATAGATTTCATCTATTGAGAACAGAGACACTGCTGTATGAGTCAAATACAAGAGACACGATGAATAAGTAGTAGTTAAACCTTCCAAGTGTAAATTATATAGTTTTAAACCTACCCAAAAGTTTGGCAAAAGAGAAAAACTTACCACAAAGCACCTAATAAGGAAGCAGGTGAAACAAATGGCTGTAACAGATCCAACCTACAGACAAAAAAAAAAAAAAAAGAGGAGATCAAGTAAACAATACTAATGCCGAGAAAGTCCTACAACAACAAAATAGCCCTTTTCACATCACATATGGTTGGCTATGTGGTGTTGCTGTACTCTATTCAAGAAAATATTCTCACTAAATTCATGAACATGCCCGAATTAATTTGAAGTAATTTCCCCAGAATGACGCCAAGTTAAAAACCAAACAATTAGCACATAGAGAAATGCACATTAAACTTATGCTACATTAGAATTACAATAGAGATGAATTGTTATTTACTAGGATTGGAAGGAAAATACCTCATGAAGCTTCTTCCTTCTTCCTTTTGATTCAATAGGGAAACGTCGTAGCATAAAAAATAATCTGGAAGGAGTTAAGTAAGCAGGATTAGCACATTTTTAGAAATATATACTCTAGTCATAATATCCATAAGTATTGTGTTAACAAACAACAATTACCTTCCACCATACAACAAGAATCCTAAAGCAGCTATAAATGACACCACTGGAGAAAACAATAAAGAAAATAAGTGGCACAGTTAAACAAAAGAAGATTTAACATGCATAAACCTTCTATTGAGAAAAAAGACTAATACCCAGAGATAAACCTTGTTAAACTTGTTTTGATGATTCACTATTACACTTACCAGCAATAAATATTTTTCCAATGAATTCCACCACGTTGTTGTCATCTATCCAGAGGTACACCCAAATGCAGACCTGAAGTTAAAACTTCAATTTGTTAACTTGACTTACACGCCAAGAATGTGTCAGAGCTATTAGTGGCAGCAAACTTTGAGATAAAAATTTGAGAGAGTAATAAATAAACAGATACAATAATATCCTTCTGAGATTAACCTACTTAATGATGGTAATAAACAAAGTAAATAGCACAAAAGGATGCAAGTTGGAGCACACCTGTATAAAGTATATAACAACATTGATTGATACAAAAAAAATTCTGAGTTTATCCGTTGGTAAACTTCTTGCCTGCTCATAATGTCAAATGTAAAATGTCATAGTTCCTCAAGTACAAGAAAGATCCAATTCCAAAAGTTCGTAGCTCAAGTCTATTGATCAAGGACCAGCCAAATTTGACACATCGTTTTACAAAAACAAATAAGAAAAGTAACTTGCCTGATGATAAATTTCTGCCCAAAACAGGACAAGTAATGCGTATGTGGAGAAAAATAGAAGGCCTGGTAGATCCAACAGTACGAATGTGAGTACCTAGTTCAAGAAGTAATGGCTAATGTCAGCATAAAAGCTTCGTGTCATTGGATCATAACAATTTGTTAGTTATATACTCCATTTTTCTCTCAAATTGCATTCTAATTATTTCCCTTATGCTACCCAAGAGGTCTTAATTTGTCCTAGAAAAAGTAAAACGAATTTGTCTATCATGCCCAAATAGAAAATGTAATCTTATTGAATTTGAAACCCAATGCAAGCTTTTTCTCAGACAATAAAAACTTTAGCAGATGAACGAATATCTCTTGATTCCATAGCAAACTAACCTTGGGATGCAATACAAATACTTGATTGTGAAATCCAAACACAATAGCACGCACTGCAATAACAAGAAAACTCACAATCAAAAAACCAAACTTACATCTTATAATCCTAATAACTATGTAATAGAAAACACTCCCATGTGTTTTGAAGACTTTGAAATGACCTCCATTAACAATGAAGTTCATAAGATGGAAAACCTTCTGCGTCGTCCAACCATATTCAGGCACTCTCAATTCTATCCTTATTAATTGTATCTGCACGGTAAAAACACCAATTATTACATGCAAACTTATCTAAGATCATTATACCATGAACAAACTTCTCCAAATCAAAATAATTAACAATGAAACTCACAGTAAAATTAACATTTAAAAGCTTTAATTCCACATCAGATGTTTACTCTAGACCTGGTGATTCATGTATTTATATTGTGTAAAATATTAAAATTCGTGTATTCGTGTCATGTTAATCCCATATATAATTATTGTATCACGATTGTTTCGTGTCACTGTGTTTTTTTAAATTGCCAAGTATAGTTTACTCCAATCATTTAACTAAAAAAAAAAAAAAAATTAATTAGGGGAAAAATGGCAGTTATTACAATGTCACTCTAAACAAAGTAATCACCTTTGACTCCTAAAATACTGGAAACTATTAAAATGAAAATAAAAATTATGAAAATAAAAATCAACTCTTGAAACAAATTGTCTACTCAGCACTGATCCAAGCAAAAAAAATCGAACAGTTCAATGAACCAAATAAAAACGTATAAAAACCTGAAAATTGAAAGGAAAGAAGAGAAAGCTGACCAAAGCAACGGAGGAAACTAGGGCATAAGTGGCGCAGAGAGTGTAGAAGATGCCATCCTGCCATTGAGTCGAGTCATTGATCTCGTCCCACCAATTGGACACCAGAGCTGGAAGCTCCATAGGCGTTAAGCTCAGTGGCATTTTCGTCATTCTAACCATTTTTTCTTATTTTCCCGAGGTTTCCCGGGAAAGTCAAAATCCCCTCACCCAAACAAAAAAGCAGAAAAAGAAAAGAAAATTTGAGAAGTCGAGACACGAAAGAACACTACCGTGTAAGAGAGATACGAAGAAACTAGAAAGAGAACAACTAAATTAAATGTTTCTACCGGTCGGTCCAAAAGGAGATGCTAATAACTAATTTCAGCAATGAAGCCTCTTTTGCTTTCCTCTATGGTCGCTCTCTCGAGTCTCACCTAAGATTCTACGAGTTCATCAACGAATGCGGTGGTTGCAATTTTAATTTTGTTTTTTTCAACTTTCCTTCTTTACTACTTTTTTTCTTGTCTTTTTCCCATGTGCCGTAAATTTTAGAGAAATAAAAGAAAGTTTCACTACACCAATTAGTTTTTCTTTATAAATAAATACACTTTCACAAAACACTATAACCGGATCCGTGGCGCAATGGTAGCGCGTCTGACTCCAGATCAGAAGGTTGCGTGTTCGATTCACGTCGGGTTCAAGACCCCGGTTCAACTAGGATCTGTACTTTTTGTTCCCACCACCTCCCTATTTTCGGCCCTGTAAAAGAATACTCCTTTGGGTCTAATCCAATCCCGGATCCGTACATCAACAACCACCGCATCTTTCCACCGCCGCCACTTCTCAATCCTGTCCCCAGACGGCTCCAACCCTCTCACCTCTCACAAAAATCACGCGCCGCCCTCTCCCTCCTAAAGTCAAAGCCAAACCCCGATCGCATCCTCGAAATCAGCCGCGCCTTCTACCACTAGGCAATGGCAATGAGACGAGGAATCTCGCATCCTCTTACGTGAATGATGTTTATCCCATTAGGTGATTTAATTTGTAAACTTTTGGGATAGTCATGTCTAGTGGAAGCTTTTACATGTTCGAATTCAGAACTGATCGATTCAGTTATTGAATCACCCCTACCAATAAGTGTTGCTCGAGTGAAGCGAAAATGGAAACGGATGCATTTAGAGACTGGGACATGGCAGAAATCACTATAATTTCTTAAAGAGAGGTTAAACATCAATGACAAAATTTTACAAGTTTTAAATTATTCTATGCTAAATAGCATGCTTTGCCAATGCTGTATTCATTGACAGTTGATTGTATCTGTTGCTTTTATTACAAGAAGGTATAGCCGTGTAGGCCATTTACAAGCAATCAATACGCTCCTTTGACTCTACATCCAGCTTGTACTCTATGCTCACAAATGGGCTGCCAGAACCATAGCAACTCATCAATTGTCTAAGAGTTGCACTAAAGTTCAAACTAGGACCTTCTTGTGATCAACCCAGGTCTCTTTCTCACGAGTTGTGCTCCATACCCAATGGTAGAACCAACTGTTGTTGCAGCCACTAGCCAACTGTTGGTATGTCATGAAAAATAAGTTTTTGTGCCTCGTAATCTAGTTAAGAGTACGATCTAATGAGCAGAGAGTCAATTAGTTTACCTTAAGTATGTGATACATGATTGAGTTTCTGGTGTTCCAAACTCTGGTTGAAGGAGAGCTGAGGTAACTAAAATCAGCTGGAAAACTGTGTTAACCTGCAAAAATTTGAAGTCTTTTCAGATATGGCATTAACCGTTTTCACCACCACCAGCATTCAGGTTTTTTGCATTCTCCATATGGCATTTGTCCCAGTATTGTCACCATTTTCTACTCTTGTTCTCAGTGTCTATTTGTTGTTAAAGTGCTAAAGACATGCAGACTCCACAGCTTACCCTCTATTCCACCCAATTAGGAAAACAAAAGATGATTCTTACCTTGCTTATAAAGAGAGGCTCAATCTTCTGTGGACCAGTCCCATCAAGATTGAAGAAATCTAGCCAATTTTTCCGCTGAATCAAAAAAGTCCAACGATAACAGCCAAGACTTAGATAAATAATTGCAAAGTTTGCCAAGCCATAAAACAATTGGAACAAAAACATATGCTCATTAATTTCAATTAAGCAACTTCACCTGCCAATCCAAGCTAATAGCTCTCTGGTACAATGCACCACTAACAAGGGCAACATCTCGCAAGACAACAAGCCCGACAAGTCCAGCTTTACAGCATAGAAAATTAATAAGATAGCCATAATCAAACATTTACAGATAATTTAGTGCCTCTGTGTGCAAAATATAAGTATCAAATAACATACATAGATTATTACTGTTAAAACAGCCGCAATTCCCTGTATTAATGGCCTCTTAAAGAGAAATCAAGATGAAGGACTCTGATGCAATTACTTGCAAAAACTGCAAAATTATGATGATTCCAAATTATCCTTGTTGCACAGCAGTGATCAATTACCAGAAACTAATGCATCTCTTAAACTTTTAGTCCAACTACGAATAATTTCAGCATTTGACATAGGAAACCTCATGCGTATTTGTATGATAGAACACTTTTTTGTGGATGCAAGGAAAGCGAGCCAATACTCCTTACAACATGTTATACTCAGTATCTCATCAAACGGTAATAACCAGAGAATTGCAGAAGATCCAAACAAATGCAGATTACTTACGGTGCAAAAGATGGTTATGTACCATGGACAGAGCAACACATCCGATAAGAACCTATACCAAGAAGACCGAAAATAAACTACCTGTCAAACGAAACGCAGAAGCAAGTGACAAAAACATATAAAGGAGTAAGTAGCATCAGTCATTTACCTTGTCAGCTAGAGGATCAAGATAAGAACCCACGACTGAATTAATCATCATCTTTCTAGCTATATATCCATCCAACTAGAAAAACCAACAGAAATGATAAAAGGAACTTAAATTCTCATGACATATACAAAATTTTTACTTGTTTCCATGGTATGAGAAATGTCAGAGAACCCATACCCAATCAGTTGCACCAGCCATAGCCAACCCCAGAAATGCAAAACCGTACATTTCGTTTACAATCATCCTGCATTTAACTTGTTAAATAATTTCAGCAAAATCAATTTTTTGAAACTAAAAGAAAAAAAAAATTATTTTAAAAGTTACCATCCAAGCAAAGGGCCAGAAACCAATCGACTCATTGAAAGTAAATTGGGCAAATTCAGAAAACTTTCCAACACAGCTTCCCACTCCTTAGTCCCTTCCTTGCTGGTTTCCACCCGAACCGAGACTCTCGGGTCTGATAGGACCGACCCGAATTGTAGCTTCACTGGAAACTTAGCTCCACTGCCTCTAATCAAGTCAAGATTTAAAGCTTGAACTTTTCTTAAAACGGCGACGTTTCCCCAAAGCGGAGTGGCGGATTGAGAGAGTTTCCAAGGAGGAGAAGAGAGGAAGAGAGGGCCATTCAAAGGAGCGATCCATTTGGAAATAGAGGGAGCAGAAGGTGAGACTCGACTGTGAAAGAGAGGAGAGGATAGAGGTGGGATTACATAAGTCGTTGAATTTGTTGATGCAACGGTAAAAAAAGTTCGGGTTTTTCTAGAGTTTTTTGTGATTAGAGTTTGCAGATATCTGTAAATCCCCATTAATAAAGCATTGCTTTTTTTTCTCGGTTTTGAATAAAACGACAAGACAAACAAAACACCTTCCTTTGGAATATGATGTTATGTTAAGGTTTTCCTAGGTTTTGCAAGGGTTTCGGGAAGATCGATGATAACGCCTTGCAACAGACACACGGCCCACCCACACAGACTCCCCATACCAAAGAAAATGCCTCTAGAAGGGCCCAAAACGAACTAGGTCCAAGTGTGGGGGCACCAAACCCTAACAGACCCAAAGTACCGAGGTTTCTAGAAGAATCTAGATACTCCAAAAGCTAAGGTAATCCCCTGTAAAATTTAAATTCTTTTATGTATGTTTCATATAATCTTTTTGTAATTTTAAACTTTGTAATAAACATTGGATTGAATCAATATCGATTCGCCTTTTCAAGCATTTCTCTTGCCTCAGAATGCCTCTCATTTTCAAGCATCTCTCGTGCTTTTATCTCTTGCTTTTATTAAGCATCTCTCTTGCTTTTGCTGTTATTTAACAGCCTTTCTCGTTTTAGAGTATTTTTCTTGCTTTAGAATGCCTTTCTTTCCCATTTTTTTGCTTGCATAATCACTTCGTAAATTAAGATAAATTATAAACTGAAAATTTACAAAGTCAAATAGATTATTTTTTTTCTTTATTAATAAAGAATTGATTTTTCTCTATTTTTTTTTCCCAATTCTAAATAGAAAGACAAAACAGATAAAATATTATTCCTTTGGAAAGTAATATTGTGTTTAGAAATTTTTAGGTTTTGCAAGTCATTTTTGTCGTGTATTTCTTTAATTTTAACTAGAGACGGCAATCAAATCCTTTTCCGACGGGTTTCAATCCGATCCAATCTTATGAGATTGATTTTTTTTTTTTTAATTTGAGTTTCGAGTCGGATTAGATAAGATTATAAAACAATCAGTGTCGGATCGAATTCGGATTTTATGCAAATCCGATCCGATATTATATAAAAAAAATATTTTTAATTAATTTTTAATTTATATATATTTATATAATGATATTTTTAAATATTTATATTTTAAAAATAATATTTTATATTTAAAAAATAATATTTTATTAATTTCGAATCGGATCGAGTACGGTTTATATAGTATCGGGTTAAGGTCGGATTTGGATATGAAAAAACAAAAAAATTTTCAAATAAAGTCGGATTCAAGTTTATTAAAGCATTAAGTCAAGTTGGGTTCGGAGCGAGCAAAACTCACTCCAAACTCGACCCGATACCAATCCTAATTTTAACTTATATTTCATCGTAGATTATATAATCAGTTAGTCTAAATATAGAATTATTAAATTATTACTGTTTCTTTGTTTTTTTTTCCGATTTTGAATAAAAAATAAATAAAAACACTGTTCCTTTAGAAAGTAATGTTATGTTTAGATTTTCACAGTAACTTCGTTTTATGTATAAAAAGTAATATTGTATTTAGATTTATCGCACAATCACATAGAAATTCAAATGAATTGTAGCCTGCAAATCTATAAATTATTTTTTTTCTTTTTCCGATTTCAATAGAAAGACAAGATAGATAAGAGACTTGTCCTTTAGAAAGACAGATAAAATACTGTTTCTTGAAAAGTAATGTTGCAGTGATTCAAGTTTTTTTTATCAAAGAATAATGAGGGATGCTGATTAGAGCTTAATTACGGATACTGATCACTCTTTGGTAAATATTCGTGAAGATAGTAACACATGGTACTAAATACTTGAAATTTGAAGGGACTGTTACATAACGTGATGTCAGTTAACATTTATAAAATAAAAAAATCAGTTTTAAATAGAAAGACAAGGCAAATAAAACAGTATTCCTCTAATCCATTGGAAAGTAATATTGCGTTTAGATTTTTCTAGGTTTTCCAAAGGTTTTAAGTAATATTGTGTTTAGATTTGTCTAGGTTTTGCAAGAGTTTATAGGATGATCCGAAGACGTTTTGTAAGGGCCACTTTGCCACTTGTAAGTTTTCCACAATTTTAACCATGCGAAAAAATGTAAAAAAAAAAAAAAAAATGGTAACAATTGTTTCGTCTAAACATAAAAATTAAGATGAATTGCAGCTTGGAAATTTACAAAATCAAATAAAGCGTTGCTTTTCCTTTTTACCTGATTTTGAATCGAATGACAAGTAAGATAAAACTCTGGAAAGTAATGTTGTATTTAAAATTTTTTTATTTGTTAGGTTTTGCAAGGGTTTAGAGGATGATGACAATACTTTGGCCACGTGTAAGTTTTTTTATCTCAAATTTAACCATGCAAAAAAATGTTAAAAAAAATAAAAATAAAAAGAAATATATGCTCCAATCCTTCAAGAGTAGCAGATTATATAATTGTAAAATCAAATTCCTAAGATTTGAAACAGAAGCAGAAAAATCCGACCAAAAATTATGAATATCTATAGAAGAAATTGGATGTCAAACAAATCTCAATTAGGGATGACAGTCTGATCCGAGTCTAATGTGTTTTAATTCAATTCAATTTCATAAGGTTAATTTAAAAAAAAAATTGAGTTTCGGATCGGATCGAATATTACTAAAAAAAAATCAAGATCGGGTCAAGTTCGAATTTTAGGTAAATTCAATCCGATTCGATCCGATATTATATTAAAAATTATTTTTTAATTATTTTTAAATTTTTTTTTATATATAATTATTTAAAAAATAAAATTTTTTATTATAAAAAATAATATTTTATTAAATTTGGATCAGATACTATTTATATAATATCATATCGAAATCAAATTTAAATATTAAAAATTAAAAAAAAATTCAAATCAAATATAAATACGAATTTTATGATTATAAAATTAAATCAAATTATAACTGAGTAAAAATTCAGCCTACCCGACCTACAAAAAGTTTTTAAGAAACAAGCGGAAATATAGTTTTCAGTACTTTTTAAGTTCCAACCAAACGGTCAAAGGAATTAGTGACTAGTGTGCACTGCAGCAATGGGCCCAAGAGACAAGAAACAGAAATTTATTGGGCTTCAACAGTCTTGAAATAAGGGTATCGGGCTAGAAGAACCCAACTTTGAGGGCCAAATTTCTTGATAGAAAAGACTGGCTCAATGCAATGAGTCCATAAAAATCAATCATTGGGCATTAATTGATGTTTGGCTGAAAGCCCAACACCACATTTCCCAGGTCGCAAGATCATTGGGCACCAAACCTTGCCCCAACTTTGTGTAAAATTTATGAATCTTTTTATTAGAAATAATTAAATAAAAATTAAAATCAAAAATTAAAATTTATAAATCGAAAATTTTTGTTACATAATAAAGTATGCAAAATTTGAAAAAAATAAAATTTGATATATTTTTAGTTATATATTTTTAATAAAAATATTGATAAAATTTTTATCGTTCAATAAATATTTATTAAATTTAAATAATAAATAATATTTTTAATTTTTTTTATATATTATTGATTTCATATTAAATTCGATCAATCTATTAATTTAATTTTTTTATTAAAGTTTTTATTAAATTATTTTTAAAAATTTTTTTTATAAATTTCATAGATATAATAAAGGCTCTCCCAATAACAGGCATAGAGATCAGACAGCCTTAAAGGAATTAAATGTTTAAACAAATAAAAGTTAGATAAATATGTTTACCTTGTCCTTTGCATATATATATATATATATATATATAAATATTCCTGACACTTTGTGACACCATCAATGGCAGAAGCATGTAGGAGATCAGAGAAGTTGAATATCCCCCCACAAGAGTGGGCGATGGCCTGATGATCTGTATCTCTACAAAAATATTATACATATAGCATTCAATCACAAAAACTCCGTGCCATTTCCAACGGATCCAACAAGCCAGAAATCATTATTACTATAGGAATCGTATCATTTGCTTTTTGACTCAGCTCCAACGCCCAAATTTACTTGCTTCACCTACTTTCTGTCTCAACTTTCAATTCTGCTTAAGACTGTTTTTAAGATTTGATTAGCATTTTACCTGTGCAAGTTAATTCGGATAGGTTCGCGGTTGCCATGGTCGATTGCCATCAATGGATGTTGAACTATACCATTAAAACTTTGGAAATTAACGATAATTAAGTAAAGGAAAAACAAATAGTCTCATCTATGGCACGTCAATTGATTCAATTAGTGAAGTTATTGAGCTACTTTATCTCAGTTGAGCAAGGGATTTGCCATATTCATAAACTCAAATATGGAGCGACAACCTGCCGATTACCCATAGTACATTTGATCCTTGTTGTGTTGTTTTTCCACAACACAATGAAAAACGAAATAAATGAAGGCAGCTGTAAAATAAAAGAAAACTTTATTGTGAAGACCTGACACCAGAGATTGGTCTACTTCAGTCATTGAATTAGTCTTTTCCTATTTGCCTGCCAAACAGCCAGATAGCTTCAATGCATGTATTGGAGATCACACACTGAATTCTTTACTTACGTATGCATATCTTCAAGTTTTTCTTCTTTTTCTTTGTTCAAAAATCCATTCTAATTTAAAATTTGTTAAACTTGATTATATGGCAATGATCACATAATAATCAACCCTAGTTATAGTCTAAACTTAATGTTCATGCACCAAGGCTTGGCCTTATGTCTATTCCAGAAATTATAAACATTACACAGGCAGATATATATATATATATATATATATATGTTGCCTGCTGCTTCGACCAACTTATAGTATATCTATTTTCTCAGTGTCCAGCTCCATTCCTGCAGAGCATGGGCATATACAAATGCAATGTACATTGGCTGGTTTTAGTGTTTATTTTTTTACAGAGCACGGGAACAGACCAGTTAGCGCAGATCATTAACAGCGTTGGCAGTTAGCAGTTGGCTGTGGGTTGACATCGAATGGCCTGCATTACTATGGCAAAATGGTGCCATTTTCTTTTGAATTTTGGGCCAAACATTTATTAGCTTGATCTACCCGTCAGCATTTCAAGATTTTCAATGGGGTTCGCTACTGCCACACCATATTTGAAATGACTGAATTACTCATATTTCTTGAGTTTGTTTTGATATATTTATGAGTAATATTTTGAGTTTTGATGTCGAAAAAATTACTTTACAAAAGATTTCAAGAACAATTGTCATCTTGACGCCAAGAGAACATAATATGATATATCACTTACAATATCATTACTCAAGTAAAATCGTTGTCAACCGTTTTGTCCAGCAAACACCCGCCATGATAGCTAGCTCTTGCCAGTTTGCCAATGCGAATGCAATTAATGTTTTTTTTTTTTTAAGAAAAACCTTCTGCTCGCATTTAATAGACTCAGGTGGCCGGTAATTTTATCATCTGCAACCAGCCAGGCTGTGTTTAATTTGTGATTCCAAATTTAAAGAATGAGACAAGACAACTTAGTATTATTTTCTTTTGTTTATTCTTTGTTTCTTACACCATGGGAGGAGAAACATGGCGGTATTGGTGTGGAGGTATAATCACAAATTTTCCATCAAAATGGTGCAATGAGCCAATGGGCAATGGGGAAAGGGGAATCCATGTTACTGTATGTAGTAGTATTATTGCATGTGCTAGGATCAACGGTTCATGCATTGATTAAGTTATAATTACTATTATAACAATTAAAATTTTTCTCATTTTTAGCCATTGATACGAAAAGCCATGATCATAAGTATCATTTTGAAGCAAACATACATATCGAGCAGGCACATATCTGTGAGTATATATACATATTTTATCAAATATTAATAAATGAAAATAGTCATGTCTCATTATTTTAAGCAATTCTAAAGCATCTTTAGGCATCTCCCAATTAGTCATTGATCAATTCCTAGCCACTGGAAGCAATAAAGTATAAAGCTTTTGGCTATTTACTGTCGATCACTTTCTTTTTTTTATAAAGATGTATCAATTTAAGAATCCAATAAAGAGTTATAAGTATTAAATTTCATATATGGCTCTTAAATATTAATTTCTCGTAGGGAGATTAATTTAAATCCACAAAAAATCATTTTCAAGACTACTCTACATCAAATCAATTGTCTGATTGGTAACTAATTCATTATTTTAGAACCATCAATTGGGCAATTAGCATTAATAATGTGAAGTGACTTCTTGTTTGCTTAGCAAGAATTAGAGAGCATTGGAAATGGCTTTCTAAAGTAAATGCTTGAAATACAGGATTAAACACGCAACAAACCATATCAAAAGTATTAAGATTAACTAAACCTAAGTAAATATTATCTAAGCTGCAACATTTTTCTTTTTTTCTTCTTTTTTTTTTGGCTGGTTCAAGCGCCAATTTCTTACCGGGGTAATATGACAGCCTTGAGAGGGTTCTTCATCACAACAGTGAAAGCATAAGTCTCAGTCAAGCTAGGTGGAGCATCTGGAACCGGCAGCCACTTAAATGCTTGAACCATATTTGCAAGCAACAATTTTATGTGCAAAATGCCTAGATTCCAAGCTGGGCAAATCCGTCTCCCTGCTCCAAATGGCAACATCTTCACCGCCCGAGTCCCCGTTACGTCCACACCAACCCCATCACCATGAAGGAACCTCTCGGGTCTGAACTCACTCGGATCCGACCAAAGATCCGGGTTCTCAGTGATCCATGCAGTGTAGAACTCGACATAAACTCCTGTTGGAATTGTATAGCCACCAAGCTCAGTGTCCTTTATAGCTGCATGAGATAAAAGAAAATGACCCGGAGGATGTCGCCTGAGAGTTTCTTTAACCACAGCTTCAAGATAAGGCATTTTCTCCACATCTTCTTCTTTAATATCCCCATCTTTGCCTACACAGTCAACAATTTCCTGGTACAACTTTTCCTGGATTTCTTGATTCATTACCAAGTGAAGCATTGCCCATTCTACAGTTGTTGCACTGGTATCATTACCGGCATTAATCACCTCCGAACATAAAGTTGCGTACTCTTCTTCACTCAATGGGCCTCGGGTTGCTGGCTCTAGTCCAAAGAGAGAGTCTATATAGGCTGCACCGATCGGACTTACCATTTCTTTGTTAGGGTTTTCACCCTTCTCCACAAAAGCTCTTCTATTCTTTATCAGTGGAACCAAACACTCCAGTTGCCTCTTCCTTAATGCTTTAGCTTCCTTCATTTGCCGGCGAAACAGTGGAGTAAGGATAGGCAAGAAATCTGGTAGCTGTGGTGATGTTATCAACATTACATCTTTAAGTATGCTTTCTATTTTCTTAATCCGGTCTTCGGAGATCTTTGCACCAAAACACAAGCAGATTAAGATGCTACATACAGTTAGCCTGCAGTTGCCCATTACCTCCACAAACCCATTCTCAAAAGCCTCGCTTTTGATTCTCTTCATATGGTTTTCTAGTGCCCATTTGCGGATCCAACTGCATTGCTTCACTCTCGCAGGGGTTATCAGCTCAGTGACAAAGTTCTTGCGCAGGGTTCGCCATAGAGGTCCATACTCCGCGGAGTTGATGGCACATTTCCCAACACTGAACAACAGCCGGATCGGTGAGTCCGGTGGCCGGGAGGCGAAAGTGGGGCCTCTCTGAACTAGGGCTTCATGGATGAGCCTGGAGTCTGTAACAATCACCATAGTCCGTTGCCCCATTTGCATGGTGAAAATTGGACCATATATTTTACGCAACTCACGCACTATAAAGATGAAATGTCGACGTTGGAGAATGATTTGGATAAGGTTTCCAACAAGCGGCCAGCCAGGCGGACCTGGAGGGAGGTTCTTCGGTCCGCCACCAGAAACTGACCAGTACCGCCACCATAGACGGAGGAAGATAAGTGCCAAACCAATAATGAAAAGGTCTATCAACTCCATTTCTTGAGATGAACAGCAAAGAAAAAAAAAAGAAGTGTCGGAAAGGGACTAGTAAACAAACAGGGTAGTGAAAAATTTATGGCAGGTTTTATAGAATGTGAAAGAGTGAATTAAATGAATTTGGTCTACCACCTATCCATATATATTAAATTCTTTTATTAGATGCATTTATTATATGTGTACAGCTACAAGTAGCAGTAGTAGCAATGTTTGGATCACACAAATTCAATTTTATATATTCAACTAAATTTTGATTTATTCTAATATATTTGTTCTAATTCTCCGACATAGTTAGTTATTAGCTTGTTTGATCGTAAATTGAAGTTAGCATCCAGGGGGCAAAAGTAAGGAGAAGAGAATTAATAAATTCTGGTGTGAGTCATTATCATGAAAAAGGAAAAAAATAATTTGGATCTCGATGAAATTAATAATTAAAATCGCATGGTAAAGTTATCCATGCATGAATATTTCAATATGTCGATTAATGGTGAGGCATTGCTGGCCGGTTTTGCATGTTTTATCCATAGCCTGTGGCTTTCAACATGGTAAGACGACCACCTTCGAAGATTTGGTTTCCATTTGGATTCTTTCATACTAGATTAACATGATACAATTAAACTCATCTCCATGACAATTTTAATGAAATTAAATCAATATAAACTTTTTATTAATTTTTTTTAACTATTATTATAATAATTTTTTATCAATTATAATTATAATTATTTTTAATTTTACCATAATCAATTTTACCACTCAAATGAAGCCTTAATGCGGTAATCAGGATTCAGGAGTTAATGCATGCACGAGTTGCTTACCGAAGTCCTAAAACTTTAATGAAGTGAAAGTGAACAAAAAAATTGTGAATATTGGACCAAAAGATAAAAACCCCATGGCTATTGGATATGTTAATTGGTGGTCATCGATCTGCCTTATTTATACCTTCTGGTTCTTTTCTCTAGCTAGCTAGTACAGTAGTACTTCAACATCTAGAATGGTTAACGAGTTGACTACTCTCTCTTTTTTTTTTTTTTTGGATTTTTCTTTTATTATTTTCTTTTTCCGAGATTGGGTTGGTAGGAAAATTTATGAGTTGGGTTCATATTCACGAGCTTCAGCGTCCACTTGTAATTATTTAGTTTGGCCAATATCGGTTTAAATTTTCCTACTCACAGTTAATGCCAGAGCTCTACACCATTTTTATTGAAAAATAGATATTTACTATGTAGTACGATGGATAAAATATAATAATAATTATTTTATATTATATTTGATTTACATTAAAAAATATAAAATTATAAAAAAATTAATTATTTTTTGGATAAAAAATAATTTAATTCTCTCAAAATAAAAAAATTTATTTTTAATTCATGATATTAAAATTTTATATCTTATTATATTTTTAAAAATTATATTAATAACTTAAATTATATAAATTTTAAAAAAATAATTTCGACCTATAATTTTATATAACAAAAACATCTTATATATAAAAAATATATACCAAAAGCAGTGGCGCGTGCTTTCTTTTTCTAGTTATGGTGATTGTTTCGCATTAAAATGGTAACCAAATGAGACTGAGAATTAGTGAATAAGTTCTTGTTCAAGGTTATTTTTAATGATCATTTGTTTGGATAAGAGGAAAATCGTAGACCATAGAATTTGAATAATATAAATTTATGATAAATAAATTTCAAATTCATGCATGCTTTTTCCATAATTTAAATGATTATCTAATCATGTAATTATAAGAAAAGCTCTCCCTTCTTTCCCAATGAGAAATCCTAGCAACTAAAGCTTTTCATTTTGATTTAAAATTCTCAAGTTCTAATATTTAGATAAAGGAGTTGGAATTTATGAAAAGAAACATCCTTTTTATAATTCAAAATCACTTTCCCTCAATGGAAGTTGCAGATTGAAGAAATTGATGTTGGGAGAGCAAGGCGTTCAATGAATAAGATAAATAGACCTTTGGGTTTTAATAATAAGTAAGGCTCATTAATTATGGGTTGAACCCAAAGTCAGAGTACGAATTGAGACCAAGGAATTTCCAGATTGGTTGCAACCCAATGGGCCCAAATGTTGGACGTCAACCCAAATCCTATCTAAATAATCTTAAAACCTCAAAAAGGGCAAAGCCACAACGTTGCAAGCTAAACCATGAAGATGGGTTCAGCGGGCTTAGCTTCAATCTTCAGCAATGGCTACTACCGTTGTCTCAGTGCTCCGGTGCCCCTCCTGCGCATGTTAGCCTCGACGAATGTTTCTGCCTTGCATAGGCATGACAAGAGCAACAACAAGAGTACTGTTTTGTCTTGTTTGAGTTCAAGCAAGAGAGAGCTCTCTTGTTTATCTTCCAAAGTGGATATTGCTCAGACAGCTACTACTTCTGTAAATAGGTACTTTAGCCTTTTTTTTTTCTTTTTTGTTGTCACAATTTGATGAGTTTTGTTGGCCTCTGTCAGTTCTTCTGTAATAAGTTGTGCTGTATTGAGGTTATCCTTCTTTTTCTTGATATTCAACCTCTTTGATGTGAGTTCTCTATTTTGTAATTGAGATTCCTTTCGTTTGCAGCTATCCCGAATATAATCGGTTGGTTCCATGCCCCTCACACAATGGCCCGCCAAGAGTTGAACACTTGGTTATTTCTGAAGGAGGGCCTGTTCTAGAGTACATCTGTAGAGCACTGGATCTTCCTCCTTCGTAAGTGATTTTTCTTTTTGTTTACTTTGTCTTAAACTATGTGATTTGTAGTGTTTTGCACTCAGCTTTAATTAATCAGAACAGAGTGATATAGAGAAAATTTCATTCTTTGAAGGTTTGTTGCAGATCTCATCCACTTTGGAGCAGTATATTATGCCCTTGTGTGTCCACAGCCTCCTCCAAGTGCCACCCCAGAGCAAATTAGGATATTTAAGGAAGTAACAGAACCATCAGTTTTGAGAAAAAGAGCATCCATTAAGGGAAAAACTGTACGAGAAGCACAGAAGACCTTCCGTATAACACATGCTGATCAGTTTGTTGAAGCTGGAACATACTTACGTGTGCATGTACACCCCAAACGTTTCCCAAGGTGAAACACTACTTTCTACACTTGTTACTTTATTTTTTCCAGTGTAATATTAGTGAGACTTGTATTTGGACCAGGTGTTATGAAATTGACTGGAAATCGAGAATTATAGCTGTGACTGACTCTTATGTGGTTTTGGACAAACCTGCTGGTACATCTGTATGTGACTGATTCTTTACTTTTTCAGTTGTAATTTGAACTCAGCAAAGCAGTCATTATGTTTAATACATGCCCTAATTCAATGTTTGTGAATGTGAGGCGTGGCATGATGTTCCTTTATCCTTCTGTAGGTGATTGCAAAGATTTGCAATGAGTTAATAGATGAATTATAACATCTATATTCTATGTCAACTTGACTAGGTTGGAGGAACTACAGATAATATTGAAGAAAGTTGTGTAACATTTGCCACTCGTGCCTTGGGATTTTCCACCCCATTGAAGACTACTCATCAGATAGATAATTGCACAGAAGGCTGGTATTGTATCTTATGGATATTACTTCGATTGTGGTTGATTATAGACTTTTTTTTTTGTTATTTCCATTATTTTTTGGTGTGATGAGTAATGGCTGGTGATTTACTTGCAGTGTTGTGTTAGCTAGGACTAAGGAGTATTGCTCAGTTTTTCATGGAAAAATCAGAGTAAGTTTCTAATAGGTTTATATAACTTGAGAAAGATAGTTCTACTTGGGAGCTTCAATTCATAATCGTAGCTGATATTTCTGTGAAACTTATGCTTTTTCAATATAAATAGATTAACTAATTAACTATCCATATGTGTATAAAATTTGATGTAGCAAATGAATATTTGTTTACTTTGTCTTTGTTTGTTCTTTTGTCTGCTTTGCACTTAAGCTTTCTGGTTTTTTTGCAACAGGAGAAAAAGGTGAAGAAACTTTATCTTGCTCTCACAGCTGCTCCTGTACCAATTGGATTAATAACACACTATATGCGTCCAATCAACATTGCTCCTAGACTTGTCTCAGAAGGTAAAGTAATACCGTATCCTAAACATTTTGTAGTTAGTTTCTCAATTCCACGTGAAAAGCATTAAGAATGAGGGAAAACATGGAGAATAAAGATGTGCGGACTCCATATTGCTCCAGTTTGTCCATGTGATTTCTCAACCTTTTTCCCTCTTTCCTCTTCATGAGTTGATACGAGTGCCCAGTTTCTGTTTTAAAAGCTAATTTATTGGAAGTAGGAAATATTGTCATTCCTGTTATAGGCTTTTCAGTGGATGTGAGAAACTACTATCAGTTGCCAATTGGGGTTCCGGTTAAAAATTTTCTTTTGCTCATTAGTCATTACATGATTTCTACAATTATGTGGAGATTATTTTTTCCTAATTTTCTTGATACATTTTGTTTGCAGATCTTTGCTTATTACCATTTTCTTGATACTTTTGTAATATGGGTTGAGCCTGGAATTTATGACTTGCAGACTTTATTAAAGGTTGGTACTTGTGTCAACTTGAGGTTATGGAATGCAAGGAGGTTCCCTGGCCAGATTCCTCCATTCAAGAAAATTACTGTATTGAAGACTCTGGGTGGCCTTCAAAAGATCATGCTTATGAGTGTAAAATAAACCTTTTGACTGGTCGGACTCATCAGGTTATTCAGTTATTTCTTTCTCTAGTCTTCTAAGTTGACTTGATATGCAGTTCATAAGCCTTGCATAGTGTTAGAGTATGATTATGCATTTCTCTAATAGTATCATTTTCCCCAGTCTATGGTGGCATTGAAAAGGTAATCATAGTCTTGTATTGCCATACTTCCTGTAACATGCTCTTTCTTTTAGAGATGAATTTTAAGAAAAGATTTTTCTAGATTAGGATGAGGTTTAGAATCTAGAAAGCCTAGAGTCTCAGGGAAATGAAATTCATTTATTCCATATAATTCATTTACAATTAGAAGGGTTTCTGAAATATTCAGTTCTTGTAGAAAAAGTCGTTGGTAGTAATATTGAAGTAGACAGTCCATCTATGCATCCCTCAACCCTCATTTAGATGTTATTTGTTTGTAGAGAAGAACAAACCTCAATGTAATGTTTCATAGTCAAGGCAAAAGGAGAATAGACTTTAATAACTAAACATTTGATGCAGGTTCGCGCACAACTGGCTGCCTGTGGGGCACCAATAGTGGGTGACTCAATGTACATGCCAGCTGCTATTGCAGAGGTGGCCAATCCTGGGCTTAACCCATTTGGTAAATGTAAGAAGTACACTAGTGACAATGATAAAGAAATGGCTATTACAGAGTGGATTGCCCAGTATGGAAAAGAGCCAAGTGTTGCCATTGGCCTTCAGGCATGTCAAATTTCATGGGATGATGGTGAGCACTTTTATGAAGCAAGATCTCCCTGGTGGAGATCCAGAAAGGCTTAGATTAAAGTACCTGATTCAGAAAGGAGAAATTTACAATTCACAGGGTGAGAAGGCATTATCCATCTTATTTTCTGACGACCTTGTAAATGAAGGGGACTGAAAATGATACAAGATCAGCTACATCCTTGGAGGAGATTTCTTAAGAATCTTTCATTGTTAGGATTTTACTTTCATTGTTAAGGCCAACACTAAGGACGATTCTGAGCATGTTCTGCTTTCTAGTCTTTTACTTTGCCATGCTTTGAGATGAATTTTTTGTACCAAGTTGCTGACAATTTTGGACTTCTCCTCAGCGTCTTATAGTCAACGTGGTGAAGTCCGAACTGAACGTATATCCAAAATTCCATTCAAAGTTGTCTAGAAAGACCAGGCAAAGTAACCCCTCACATCTGCTCCTTTCCTGATAGCATTAAGAGAACAAGATTAATCCCTTATCTTCAATGTCACAGTATACATAATATTTGCTCACTTTACCAGCTTTTCAGCATGGTAAGGCTATTCAATGGACCAGAGGAGGTCTCCTACGGTGTGGACTATGGAGCTAAACTTGAAAATTTGTGAACCGCAAGAATAGTAAGAAGCTTGCACAACGATGTAGGAGAAAGCCACTTACCCAATGTAATGGCAGGTTTGAATCAATATAACAGCACTATGATAAAGGTTTCTTCAGGTTTCTGTAATAAACCACAGATTTTTAATTTTATTCTCACCTGATTGCTGTTGACAGTGCATCCAAGAATCCAGCCATGTGCTTTATTCGTTTAATATCATGTAAAAATTCTTCAGTGATGGATTTTGCTTCGCTCATCTCACCGCACGATACTATGAGCAAATATGTAAGTTTTACATTTAAATTACACCTCATGTCTTTCCTACCATTTTTAGTAATGATCATGCGCATGTTGTGGTAGCTCTCTTTAAGATAGGTCACAATCTTCTCCATTCCTTGGGGATAAACATTCTGCCAACTCAGCTCAGTCTGCATAGGGGAGAGCTTCAGCTATTAGCTTACATTAGCAATGCAGCACAGTTGTGATAAATTAAGGTTACATGCAGGTTCCCTGATATGGGTCCCATTTTTCTGCGAACTTTCTACCCAAAATCCTTCTGTCTTTGAGGTTCCTGTTCCAGGTTCACACACAGAGAACATGCAATCTTGGATATAGCAACTTGAGTGGTTAATTCCAATAAAATCCAGTCCTTTATTCAGATTCTCCTTCTCAGTTGTTGAAAATTCAGGTAAAATAGATCCTTGAATGTTTTGCACGTCAGGAGGATATCTTCTGACTATGATTGGATCTAGGAACCTGCATTTAAGTTTAGTTAGGCGTCATTCAACATATAATATGAATGCAAATGAATATGCAAAAATTGATGAAGAGAATGGTGAAGAAACATACCAATTTATAGAGAAGGATTGAGCTCTTTCAGCTGCTAGCTTGTCAGCTATTGAGTTGCTGATGGGTTTCATACCATACGCAACTCAAGACGATTCCAATGCTACCCCCTTGCTTCGCCTAAACGTTCATCATTTATAACTTAGAAATGTCTTAACTTTATGTCCCTACAGCTGCTAAATCTGCATTACATCAATGGCATTTACATTTTCGATGTAATTAATACCTGGTATTTGGTTCTGTTAATATGAACAGCAGCTGCGTTTGATAGGATAATGCTATGTGCTGCTACAGAGGGCTCCGTCTCTGAATCCCCATTGGTACAATTTCCAAACGGCCAGGAACAATGAGATGGTGGGAATGTTCCTATACGATACCCAAACTTGACTTGGAAATTGGGCTCATTGAAGGTGATCCAATACTTCACCCCGTCTCCAAAGGAGTTAAAGCAAATATCCGCAAAATATGAAAAATCCTCCCTGATATTCAAACCAGAACAAAGTCTTCAGTGGCAATGTGGCATGCCATTTTCAGGCATGTGGTTAAACGTGAGATCATATGCCCATGACAGAACTAAAACTTGAACAAGATAGTTTACTGTGATTGGGGACAAAGCGAACCTCCATATCTGTCCTCAAGTTCTCGAGGAAAATCAAAGTGTCTCAGTGTTACAAATGGTTTAATGCCTGAAACGGAGGCTCGACAACCGTTGGGCTATGGTATTTATGCATGCTTGAGAAAAGTCATTGAAGAAATGAACAAAACCCTTTAAGTAGTAGAGCATCAATTAACTTGTTATAGAAGTTGATACCGGCTGCATTGACTTTTCCAAATCTCCCTTCTGTTTCAACTTTCAATTAACTACATCTTAAGCATCACAAATCATTCATGGTTCTGTCAAAGACTTACTAAGTAAAATTCTGCCCAAGAAATAGAGAATCTATAGCTGCTGACTCTAAGCGAATGCATCAGATCAATGTCTTCCTATATCAAAAACATAATAAATAATCATATGCTGTCAATCTTACAAAACAGAACTTTTTATCTTTAAGAATAAATTCTCCTTGCAAATGATTTCCCTCAATAGGCTGTGATCTATAACTAAATTTATCTTTTGAATTCATTAAATCATTACTTAACTGGTCCGAATCTAACATTGATGAAGGAAAAGGAAAAAGGGATTAAGGATTGCAAGAAAATGGGGCCTTTGGGAAAGGAAGAAGGGCTTTGGGGCCTATACAGTGGGATAAGTAGCTAGGCATACCAAATATTGATGATAATAGTCCACCGCAATGTCTCCATTGCTTCCATCAACAATTAAGTTTCCTGCAATATCAAACATATCATTTCTTTTTGTAGAATTAATGGAAATTACACCCTAATATAAAAAATATAGAATTCAGGGTCAATTTCTATTCAAAGAGTTTTTGCAAAAATGATAAAGATGGGAGAGGTGGAATTACCTGGTTTGTGGGAATAGACATCCCAATTGTTCAATCCTTTACCATCACTCAAGTAACCACCTTCATACTGCCGAAACTCAAAACTGAAAATAGAAAAAGAACAAGAAGCATATATTTCACCATTTTTTTTTTCTATTTTCTAACATTTTTAATTGACACAGTTGACGAGTATAACAGATTAAAGATGGTGAAGAAAACCTGGTAAGCAGAAGAGCCAGTTCCGAAGAGAAAGTTGGGAGGAAATGCAGACAGATCATATTTCATCTGCTTTGATTCAAACTTTCTGAGAAGAAAAAGAACAACTACCAAAAAGTAATAAGAAACAAAACTAATAAGTAAGAAAAAGAGGCTTGAAATCTTCAATGTATAGGATAATTAGTCAAATAGACATAAGCCCATGTCATAATTAAAATAAAGCTACCATATCTGCTTTACATGTCCGAAAACAGAGTTAAGATGATAAACCAAAAGCTTGAAATTGACTGCTCTAATTAAAAATTAACAGTAGAAAGCTATTTTGCAATTCATTAATCCTTCAGAATGAGCTGATAACAGGTCATAAATCCTCTTTCCCCCACTGGATTGAAGCCATAATTTCTCCAAGCCTGTTGCAGTTTCAAGCAGGCTCTTTACAACATGTAGCACTTCTTCAGATTCATCAAAGAAACAGATTTTGACAGTCTTCAGGTGGGTCAAGAAACATGCAGGCACTGGATCGAAAATCCTATCATGTTCCTCCGCATGCTTAGACAGGCAGATTCGCTACAAGGACAGCATGAACCACAATTTTCTTCTGTAATAACAATACAAGGATGCAACAACTTGGAAATCAAGATAAGATATATACCTCCAGAAAATGAAGAGATTCAAGATGAGGCGAGTTTTGGAGAATGTTCAGTAGCCCTCTGCAAGCAGAATCCATTGGCTCATCAAACACTTCTATATTATTCAAATTATGAAACAACGGCAGATGAGCAGCCAATTCTTCTGCATAGGTGAGAACCTACAACAGGAATACAGGATAATGAATTACACCACAAGTTTATAACCAAAAGCTTAAGGAAAGCCCCTTAATTCAAAAATGAATTTGATGAACATGACACGTAAAATTAGAAGGGGTGAAGAGGGCCACAACATACATGAAGGGTATCATGTGATACCCATAAATCTTTCAACGTATTTGCAAGCCCCCTGAGAAGCTTTTGTGCACGATAAGCAGCTTCTAAATGTCTTACGTCTTCTCTTATGACTACTCTTCCACCGAAATTCAGTACTGCATTAGCCAGAGAGGGTGCATCATCGATGCAGTAATCATTTTTCAGTTCACCTTCATAAGAAAATAGTTTGAGCCTCATTCCAGAAATCGTGAATTGACAAGCAGGAGGATGATATTATGCAGTTTGACGTTCATATATTTCTAAGTCTTCAAGCATTGGAGCATAAATATAAATAGCCTTCACATTTTCCCACTCACACTCAAATAGAACTAATTTCTTTAAACTTAGGGCAGCCAGAAAGCGACTGTTGCACTGAATGGTCATTTGGAAATATTGATGAAAGAGTCAAGATCTTGTGACTTGGAAAGCAAATAAAAGAAGTAATCTTGAGATCGTATATGAAGTCTAGATCTAACTCCTCAAGTGATACACACGTAAAAAGGCAACGAGGCAACACAAATTCGTTAAAGTTAAGCTTTAGCTTTAACCTCTGAACTTCATGCTTTATAGCAGCACATATCCATGTATTAATACGGGAACCATCGGACAAAACACGACAGTCTAACTAGAATGTCTGTAAGTTTGAATAGTCATGAAGCAAAAGTGTTCTTTCCACAAAATTCATGAAGCCTCCTCTCCTTAGTGTGCTCTCTTTGAATTCTTCTTGAAACTCAAGGTTGGAGATGGACATCCAACTGCCATGTTTTTGACAACACGCTTGTTCCAACAGCATCTTTTGTTAGAAGCAAGGACAGAATTCGATGAAGAATTGTGCCCGGTAAACTGCAGATTCGATTGCTGAGTCCTGCCCTCATTAACATTTTGTTCTAAACTAAGCTCCAAACTCTTGGCATTTCTCATCGGAGAGCTAATATCCAAGATTATCGCAGCTTCCCTGAAACAAATTATCTTTGTCAAACACAGAATCATCATCATTATAAACCATAAATGTAGAAAAGAAAACAGAACTTCCAGTAATCCAACGTTGTATGGTGCTTTAACTGTTGAAATTGGACAAACAAGCCTAAGAGACAACCAAACAAGAAAAAAAAGGAACTGGAAGCAAGAGATATTTTCTAACCTTTGTTCTTGGATTCGCAGTCGTATGCTTGCTTTGCTTTGTTTGCTGTCCCAATTTTGAAAGGATGTTAAAGCTTGAGAGAGTCAGTCAAGTGCTCAAATGTTCATATCCCCCCCCCTTGAACAATCTTGTCTACTAGGTTTCCAAACGATAATAACCGTCCGATTCTTTCCACTTTTATTGGATGGTTAGATTATTATTATTCTGTGTATCCCTGCTCACCGAAATCAGCGTTATGCATGGCTTGTCGGGTCGGGTTTTTCTCGTGAGCTGATTTTATAAATTTAATATTTGATTTGATATTAAAATATTATTTTTAGATTTAAATTCAATCTGTACCGTACATGTTTAAATTTACAATCAATATCATCAAAAAATTAATAAAATATTATTTTTTAATATAAATATAAAATTAAATAAATATATAAATATAAAATTAAATAATAAAAAATTATATATATATATATATATCTCGAGACGAGTTTGTATAAAATTCGTAATCAATTCAACCTTGATTTTTTTTTTTAAAAATCCGATTTTAACCAAAACTCAATTAAAAATTTGATCGAATAAGAATCCGACGTATCTTGGATTGCTATATACATGCTTGGCAATAACCTCCACGTCATATGATAGTTGTGGGCCCCATGTTTTAGCCAAAAAACCCTTCCTTTTCGCCTCAACCGTGGATTAAACCAAGTCAAGGAAATTAGTATGATTTTATTGTCTTCTCTCATCTCTGTCAAAAAAGAAAGATTAAAAAAAAAAAAATCTCATTTTTGAGACATATTAAACTGTATCTGTTTTGTTGTTAGATGCTGGCAACAAAAACCCTAATTCAATCCTCACCGTTTCACGGTGGGCCGGAAGCCCTAATCCCTTTACAGCTCCGCTAAGTTTTCTCTGAAACCTGTATGGAATCAGAGAAAATCCTACTTTTCCAAGAAAACCCTAGAAATTTATCATCTTTCCCTGCAACCAATAACAACAGTAGCAATAGCAGCAAGGCCATGTCCAATGAGCTAGCCCAAAAGCAACTCCCATCGATATTGGAACGGTTTAAGGCTCTATTGAAGCAACGGGAAGATGAGCTTAGGGTTTCCGGCGGTGGTGGTGGTGATGATGAGGTGGGAGCAACGCCGAGTACGGAGGAGATTGTTCAGCTTTACGAGGCTGTGTTATCGGAACTAACTTTCAATTCGAAACCGACTATTACGGATCTCACGATCATCGCCGGTGAACAGCGGGAGCACGGCAAAGGCATTGCCAACGCTATTTGCGTACGAATTGTTGAGGTTAGTCAAAATTAGGGTTTGCGTTGTAATTGCCAAGTTAATTGGACATAAAACCAACTTCAATTTTATTGCTTTCAGGTTCCAGTAGAGCAGAAGCTTCCTTCTTTATATCTATTAGATAGCATTGTAAAAAATATTGGCCGAGAATATGTTAGGCATTTCTCTTCCCGTTTGCCAGAGGTGAGTCATCGGCAACATTTTCGGTGAAGTTCATTTCCTTATTATCAGCTTAATGTTGATTTTTTTTTTGTTTTTGTTTTAATTTGATTAGGTTTTCTGCGAGGCATACAGACAAGTTAACCCTAATTTGCATCCTGCTATGCGCCATCTCTTCGGCACGTGGTCAGCAGTTTTTCCACCTTCTGTCCTCAGTAAAATAGAGATGCAGTTGCAATTTTGTCAATCAGATAACCAACAATCATCTGGTGTAACTGCCTTGCGGTCTTCTGAATCGCCTCGTCCAACACATGGCATACATGTTAATCCTAAGTACTTGCGGCAGTTGGAACAACAGTCAGGTGCAGATAGTGTAAGCTTTTTGATAAAAACTCTGTTCTTCATATCCTCTCTTTTACTGGAACATGATTGTCAGACTGTTGTTTCAATTCTTGGGCGTAGCTTTGTTCTGTAGTCTTTATGAATGTCACTATTTAGGGAAACAATGAAAAAGTTGAAAAAAAAATCGTTGAATTAGATCCTTCTGGATGGAATTACTGATCTCTAGGAATAGGCCGGAATAAAGGGATTAGGTTGGCAGAATATTAAGGGCAATTGATGTATTAGGATTTGTTTTGTTTAAGATATTTGTTGAAAATTAGTTTGAATTTCAGTATGAGATGAGAGGTTAACATGGGTCTGCAGCGAGTGATGGTACTGCTAGTTTTAACTTCTGATCTGTGTTAGTGATTGGAATGACCAAGCTTTTTAGTTCTAGAATTCCAAGAGAAGAACAACTGAGTTGAAGAAGAGCAAGCAGTCAAAGTGCAATTACTTTAAGAAACTTGTAGATCTAAACTCAAATTCTATTGGAAATCAACTGGTTTATTAACTTATTATTCTTTTTTTTTTGAGGGATTGGGGGAGGGGGTGGGGAAGGCTTATTCTCGTTTCCTCTGTGCTTATATGTTTTTGGTGACTAAAAAACTTAAGACCTTTTCCTTGTATTGTTAATTTTTGTTTATAGGTTCCTTCTTTTCCCCTCCTTTTCCTTTCAAATTTTGAGTTGAGCCATATGCTTCCTTTTCCTGTTGATTTTTGTTTAGTATATCTTTTGACCCCTATGATTTTCCTGCTTGTGATTTTATTATGATTCCCTGACTGGTAAACTTATTGAGAAATCGTTTTAAAACTTCTATTATTGATGTGATTTTACACGCATCATATATGCATGTGCATTGTACAGAATGGCATCTGAAGTGTGTAATGTTTGCAATATTTGCAGAATCCTCAGAATGTAAGAGGCGCATCTGCAGGTCTGAAATTGTATGGTCAGAAACATTCGATTGGATATGATGAATTTGATTCTGATCATACAGAGGTTCCGTCCTCACATGTTGGAGTGCAAAGGTTGAGCACAACCAGAAATATTGGCCGTACTTCTGTAGCAATTGGGGCTAATAAATCACAATTTTCTCCAGCTTCCAGAGTTTCAACGATTGGATCTGACAGACTTTTATCATCAGAAATTGATGATCTTGTATCAGATGATTCTCCTAGAAGGTTTGTTGAGGGAGCCTCTCCATCTCGTCCTGTCTCTGATTATGAACATGCAAGAGCTATCATCAGAGATGAGGAGACAAGGGAGCGGCAGAGGAAGCACTTTTATGATGATTACTATAATCGTTCTGAAAGTTCTTTAAATGCATACAAGCTTAGCAATGGACATGAGCGTCAAACTCCCAGGGCTTTAATAGATGCATATGGTAATGATAGAGGAAAAGGAATTTCTAACAGCAAGCCATTACAGGTTGAACGGCTGGATGTAAATGGAATGGGGAATAAGGTGACTCCAAGATCATGGCAGAGTACTGAAGAGGAAGAGTTTGATTGGGAAGATATGAGCCCTACATTAGCAGACCATAGGAGCAATGATTTTTCATTGTCATCAGTTCCAACTTTTGGAAGCATTGGGGCAAGGCCTGCCCGCTTGGAATCTAATAGTAGGAGCAGCCACACTACTCAAACTCAGCTATCCCTTTTTGATGATTCTTCGGCAATTCCTGAAGATTCAGTCCCTTCACTGAGTGTATGCTTGTTCAACTTTTCATCTGTACCCTTTGTTGTTTAAGCATCCTTGTTAGTTATAATATGAATCAAATTATATTTGTACTTGGAAAAGTTTGTTTCCTCCCTTCTCGTTGTTCCCTTTATGTAGAATGGTGTGGATATTCTAGTCTTCATTACTGTTGATTTTTCCATCATCAACCCCTAACTGAATTTGATATGGATGATTTAAACAATTAAATCTTATGAATCATGATGGTTGGGTTCCTTTTGCAGCCAGTTTGGCTTTCTATGCTTTTTTATTTCTGTTGTCCTGTTCTCTCTGGATTTCCAGACACCATTTTCTGTATCAATTGCTAGATTACAGCGTCTTCTCTTGTTTATTTAATGCTTATCTAGTTGGTTGACATCTTTCTTCTCACATTCACATATTCGAATATGTTTTCTGCAGTCTGGTCATGGATCAAATCGGATTTTGCATTCACATCATCCTCCGGAGGCTTGGAATTCCTCGTACCTTTTTTCTCAGTCATCAGACACCCTTCATGCCAAAGGAAGAGGAAGGGATTTTCAAACACCCTTTTTACCTGGTGGCATATCCTCGTTAGGTGGCCGGAAAGTTGTTCCTCTTATTGACAAATTACCTGATGGTGGTTCACAATTTGTTAGGCCTCCAGCTGTTGTTCCAAGAACTGGTTCTTCTAGCCTTGGCCCGGTTACTATTGGAGCTCGGCCAGCCATTATACCAACAACAACAGGGGTATGGCCTCCTGTGGATGTTCATAAATCTCAGCCACCAACCATGCACTCTAATTATTCACTGCAGCAGCATAATAGGAGTCAGTTTGATTCTATCAATCCTATCAATGCTGTCAGGAATCAGGGTCAAAATAAACATTCATATATGCCTGAACAGTTTGATAGTTTTGAAATCAACAAGCAAAGCTTAACAAGGGTTCCACCTGATCAACGCCCTGCTTTGCAAAAGCAAAACCAGTTGCATGCAACTTCTTTACAGCCACGCTTTCTTCCTTCGCAGGAGGTTCGAGAAAGTCTCCTTTCATCTGTGACAACACCATTACCACCACGCTTACTGGCACCATCCCTGAATCATGGATACACTCCACAAATACATGGTGCTGTCATCAGTATGGTCCCATCTAATCCAATACCTGTTGCACAGCCTCCTTTGTCAATCCCAAATATGCCAACTGGCTCTTTGCATTTACAGGGTGGAGCCTTGCCACCTCTTCCTCCTGGTCCACCTCCTGCATCTCAAATGATGCCTGCCACTCAAAATGCAGGTAACCAATCACAGAGTGGTGCATTTTCTGGTTTGATTAGTTCCCTCATGGTTCAAGGTTTGATCTCATTGGCAAAACCAATGCCCATACAGGTACTTATTTTGGTGAGATTATTCTGTACTTATACGTGTATTTCTTATTCAATAAGGTTGTATCTCAATGAAGCAATTTATTTTGTAGGATTCTGTTGGACTTGAGTTTAATGCAGATCTTCTCAAAGTGCGATATGAGTCTGCAATAAGTGCTTTATATGCTGATCTTCCGAGGCAGTGCACAACATGTGGCCTTCGATTCAAGTTCCAAGAGGAACACAGTTCTCATATGGATTGGCATGTGACCAGAAACCGGATGTCTAAGCACCGTAAGCAGAAACCTTCACGGAATTGGTTTGTGAGTGCCAGTATGTGGCTTAGTGGTGCTGAAGCTCTGGGAACTGATGCAGTTCCTGGATTTTTACCCACTGAGAACATTGTAGAGAAAGATGATGAAGAATTGGCAGTTCCTGCTGATGAAGATCAGAATGCATGTGCGTTATGTGGTGAGCCTTTTGATGATTTCTATAGTGATGAAATGGAGGAGTGGATGTATAGGGGTGCTGTCTACATGAATGCACCCAATGGATCATTTGATGGCATGGATAGATCACAGTTAGGACCCATAGTGCATGCTAAATGCAGGTCAGAATCTAGTGTGGTTCCTCCTGAAGATTTTGTACGGTATGATGGGGTATGCATTTTTTTTATCTTTGCCTCCAAATTGCATTCCCATATTTGTTTTATCTTTAGTAGATCATTTATGTTATTTATTACCTTATTCAATTCCATTTTCAGTTCCCTAATGGTTCAAGAGATCTTTCTCTGCTAGCTTAATATCTTCAGTTCAGGGTTAAATGCATTTAGTGCATTAATCATGGAAAGCAATGTTATTGTGGAACTGAATACTTAAATAAAATTTAGAAGCAGAATGGAATGGGGAAACTTCTCTTTTAAATATTTTAGCATTCATTCTTTTATCTTATATTTTCTTTCTCCTTGTTACTTGCAGGGAAATTCTGAGGACACTAGTCAAAGAAAAAGATTGCGGAGTTAAACCTTGTTAGTCGGCTTCTAAGCTTATGTAACTTAGTTTGAGTTTCATGTTAGTGGTATGCTCTTAGTTTAATCCTAGTGATGGTGGTTGCAATAGCTTGGTGACATACCAGAACCTTGTACATGAATAGTTGGACTTGTACCATGCACGATATCGTGCAGCAAAAAAAAAAAAGAAAAAAAGAAAAGGTTACAGATTCTCTCGCATCCTTAATTTGTGGCATACTCCTTATTTCTTTCCTGCAAAAAGATCCGGAGGAACGGTTTAAACATTCTTTTATGTGTCAACAGTCACAACAAGAATCCTTAAAATGTTACATGGGGAGTATTGCTCCGTTCACCGTGTCTCTTTTCAGTTTTGACCATGTATGTAGTACTCAAACGAGCTGCGGATCTGTAATGTATAATTTTTTTTTTGTTTCTCCTTGTGATATTCTACAGGGTCACATGGCAATTTCAATTTGCAGATGCTGTTAGAAAATGCAGTCTTTGGCTCATATCTTGGCTGATGAACTGATTGAAGCAGCAGCAGCAGCAGCAGCAGATTTTATGAATACTTAAGGACTCTCCAATTCCTTCTCCCTTAGGTTGCAAATTTTTCATGTAACCAATCATAATAACAATAATATATACTAATATAATGTTTAGTACCGAATTATGGGTGTCTTCTCTGTATTTTTTTCCCCTTTTAATTTTGCATTATCCTGCAAAATTTTCATTATAGCGTCATTATGCACGGTAACAAGGAAGAACTTTCAATAATAAAATTAAGTAGAAATTTTTTTTTCTTATAAATAGTATAGTAGAAAATTATTTTGATATTTGCTGCTGTCAAAAATTGAATTATGATTATTGTCTTATTGAAATTAAAATATAATATTTTATTAACAAATTATATGAGATTATATGATTATTAACAAACTTTTTTGAATTAGAAATTTTTTCCACAGCATATAAAATAATCGATCTTAGCTCTCCAAAATTTGCATTAAAAATTTCAAATCGAAAATCTAAATATTCACGTATTGAAAATATTTTAGTAATTGTTTAATTAAACATTCAGCATCATTCACACAACTCAACCATAAATTATGAAAATTGTGAATAATAAACAAGAAGGGATCTTATCCTTGGGTCCAAATAAAAAAGGGGTACTACATGACCATATCAGGCCAAGATCCATGGGTAAATTCATGACCAACTAACAGCTTAATTTAAGTAATATTGCAAGACCCTATTACAGAACAGAGTGGACATTGAAGAAGTCAGAGTTTGAAGCCAACTAAGGGCAGCCTGACTTGATTTCAGTATGCAAGATTGGGCTTAAGCTTGAATTGAGCGAACATGTCTGATATAGCTCTGACATTCTGATCTCCGCCAAAACAAGCCCAAACAATTGAATTTTGCCGTCGAAAAAGTGTTACCATCGTATCACGAACGTGAAGATAGATACCAGGCAGTTAGCTGTGTTCATTTTCTTATAACAATTCATCAAACGAGTTTTACAGTTGATTATTGACTGATCAAAATGAATAAAGTTGGGTACTGGTCATTGATAAATATATCATCGTCCCTTCTACATACCTTACTCTTATTTCAGTAATTATTACTACTACCTTTTTACCTGGATATTGATGGCCCAAACGTGGAGGAGACTGCTCATTGATGAGCTGATATAAATTCGTGGAGCCTGCCAACTTGACAGGTTTTAAACGAATTGGTTATGCTTGCTCTGCCCCTGCTTTAATTCCCGCTTGGCTGCCCTTGTGGTCCTGTCTGCTAAATTTTACAGTCTCATCCTACAAGGACCCTGGTAGCCTTCATCAAACCCAAAAAAAAAAAAAAAAAGTGTACTTATCCATTGCCAACATATATTAAAAGTTTAGTTGTATACATTAATTTGTTCAGGCAAGTTAATTTGATATATAGTTATGGTCATGGATTATAACCTTCAATTTTAAATTGGACCTTCGCGTCATTAATCAGCAATATTTACAGGAATCAACTGCTTCATTTTTTGCATTTAACTAGGCAGGGTTATCCAATAGAAAAAGTAAGGCCAATCTAAACAGCTTCATTTCTCTAATTAATTCAATAAAGGCACAGCAGTATAACAAGAAACACCAGTATCTATCCATTCTCTTCAACTTTGATCTGTCTACAGCAAAAGAAAAAGGCCATGATAGAGAAGAAGACATACAAAAAAGCAGGAAAGCAAGAAGAGGAGAATCAGGCAAGGCTGATAACTGGTTTTTTTAGCCTTTATCAATCAATGTTATAAATAACTAAGTCGTGCAATATTTCTCTAACCATCATCAGTAATTCGGGTTAATGAAAATTTGAAGATAGGTATGGTCTGTTCCTTATTAAGTTTCTCCGACAATTTAAAAATATCGGTAGCTGATCTTCTTTAGACAAAATTAATGGCTACTGCAGTACACAACTATCTGCTTTAGTAGACACCGTTGCCATTGTATATGTTACCATGACTCAGAAAAATCAATGTTTTCGATTATCGTGCAGGCAGCCACCAGCAGCAGCAGCAATAGCAGCTTGCAGAAGCAGCTACAGTCTTTGGCTCCACGGCCATCAACAGTACAATTGTCTAGGGGCACAACCAAACGTCATCAAATTAAACTGAGGTTTTATTGCAGCACAAAAGGCAAGTTTTCTCTATTAGCGGAAACTTGGTGTAACAATTTGGTGAAAAATTCCTTTTTCAGCAACCCTTCTGTTTGCATTCCCATCTTCATATTGCATTACTTTAAGAAGATATCAGATATGTTTTCATGGACCAATGAGATGTTTGTTTGATTCTCTGTTGCTTTACACTGTTAATTGGTTTTTTAGTTACTACCAATAGTTAAGATTGTATTACCATTTCAACTTGTTTCAAAAGGACACAAACATCAGAATTAGGAAACACTGTATTCAACAAAAAGCAAGAAAAATAAATTAAGTTGGGGTAGCAAAGGATATATGGCAATGTGTATAGAAAATCTTCTACAAGACATTCCAAGTTTTCGTCTGTATATAGCAACTAGCTAGTATCCTTCTGATCAAGAGTTTTCCGGACTTGGAGCTTTATCACCTACCGAAAAAAAATACCATGGCAAAGGCTGAAAAGATGAGAAGCTAGATTTGCAGGAGGACCATTAATACAGACTGAATTGAAAATGGAAATGATAGCAACATGTCAAATGAGCCTGAACCCAGAAACAATGGAAGGAGGGAATTCAATTTTACCATACCTATTTTCTCGTTTCATTGATAGGAAAAAGGAAAAATCCAGGGAATTCATTCCCTTTTTGAACTTTTTTAAAAGCTAGGAAATTAAGTCGTTGTTATTTACATCTGTCGGACTGAGGCACCAGCAGAAAGATTCAGCTTCAGGGGCCCTCTCTCCCTGGAAAAGTTTTGATATCTATTTATTAGTTTCAACCACTTTTGCTCCACAGTATGTATTGACAGATATATATATAGATACAAGTAGAAAAAGAAAATTAAAAAAAAAAAAAAAACTGTCTGCTGCATTTTAATGCTCCTTGTATTCAATTGTCTACTTAATAAGTAGCTGCTATCTTTGTCTAGTGATGTACGCTTCACCTAAGGTAAATAGCTATTGGGACAGACACACCATGATTGCTTCAATGATTCCCAATTCTTCCCACGAGCGTGACCTTGTTCTTTTCCACAGGTTGGAACTTGGATTGGTAGAATATAATTCACACCTACAAAATTTGTTTAATATTTTGTGGGTAATATACAGATAACACTGTAATATTTCATGAACTATATATGAATGGATTAGTTGTCATTTTCTTTGTTTCTCTTCCTTGATAGTTTGTTACTTTTTGAGTAGGCAAGAAAAAAGAAACAGAAGAATATTGGATTGAAATTCGAAAGGAAATCACTGATTATTTCAGGCAATTAGTAGGGCATTTGCATTCTCATGACCCAATACCAATCCTTTTATAGCCAAAGCTACCTTTGTTAATAATTCTTGGTAGGCAAAGGAAGATATGCTGATATGCTGATATGCATCCAAATATATAAAAAGGAAAAGCTACCAAATAAGAATATGGTATCCCCTTAATAGAAATTTGTTAATTAGAAAAAGAGTTTATGGTCATCATGAGAACGTTTGACATAAGGCTCTCCAATTGTGGATTCATCCTTCCTAGAATTCAAAACATGGCAATAGTTAGAGTAATCTGTTTCCTTCGGAAAGAGAAAATTAGTAGGATTGTATCTTGCACCTCAATCATCTATTGCTATATTAGAGGGATATGATGATCTTTTAGCATAATTTTTGAATTGTTTCGAGTATCCAAGGCTATAAATAAGTTCCATTGATGTCCAACTGCTAGAAAAAATATGCAATTCTACCTAGCCATTTTCTTTTCCACCAATCAAAAACAGCAGGGGTAGGAGAAAAGGACACGAAAGAAGGTAAACCTGTTATTAGTTGCACAAGACAAAGTAGCAAAGCAACAGTTATTCATTAATTGCAAAACTACCAAAACATAAAGCAGAAACAAATGTTTGTTAATGGGGTGTGAGTCTAATGCTTCAACACGAAACACATGAAACCATAAGTAAGGAAAAGAAATTAGATCATTTAATCTAACCACTCCCACAATAACTCTTAGTCTTAAGACTTAGCCTATGGCCACAAAATGGTGAGTTCTCCTAACATATATATTAGGCCTGAGTTAACTTTGATCTTTGTTTTGCAAAGTCAATTCCCGAACCTATTACCCTTGCAGGGTGGTGATTCTTCTTCTTATAAACACGAGGCAAGGATCATGAAAGGTGCGTTCTTGACTTCTTCGTTATGTTTTGAGGCAAACACCATTTCTTTTCTTTCAATTCCCTTCTCTTCCTCCTCTTGTTCCCGCTGCAGCACAAAAAAAAAAAAAAGGTTAAAAGGGGGAGAACAAACCATTGTGAAATGCGTCCAAAAATAGTACTAATGAAATTAATTAAGTTGAATGCTCACCACAATACTATAACCCTTTTGATCGGATCAGGCATTATCACACATGACCGCAGCCCTGATCCTTTCAACTGTGCATTTAATTAGACTACTGACAGTAGCCACCGATCCAAGAGAGAGTTTTGCTGTTGGAACTGAATCAACTAAAATCTGGAAGGCAACAGTGAGGAGAGAGCCCCCAGAACCGATTTCTAGAATTCCTCCTCCGTTAAGTCCTGGACCGTCGGGAAGTATTGCAAAACCTGATGGTAGAAGCGCAACATAATCTGGATCGCCACCACTTAAGACCACGTTCATAGAAATAATATCAACTGGGGCATAAATCACATATGAGCCTGTGACATCACTACAGCTCTCTTGTAGTATCAACATGTTGCTTTGGCTAGAGTTTGCACTCTGCAAGTTAGTTTACAATTTGAAGTGTTAGCTTAATCGATGATTCGTAGTTTTTGAGATAGGATTACCAATATTAATGGAAATGTTAACTTACATTTACGCGCAGTAAGGAGACACAATTGCCTGGATCACGACCATTAGCTATGTGAGCCATTTCTTGAACGAGACCACCATTTGAAAGGATATCCCACTATAAATTCAAGTTAAAAAGTCCAAATTAATGCAATATTCTAAAGAAAAGTGTTACATGTAAGGTTAAAATTGCCCCTTGAATTGGGGCAATGTAGAGAAAATATCGAAATGCATAAGAAAACATATGTTAAGTGCGATGTATGATGATTGATCTTGAAGATGTTGATAAAATAATGAAAACTTTTTCAATTTTCCAAAAATATGTTGACAAAAGGATTGAATTCTCCAAAGTCCATTCCATGCCTCCTTTTAACTAACAAGCGAACAACTTTAGTACTATCCTGTCCCTTTTCATTGCTGCCATTTATTGTGATAGAAGCAACTGTGCAAATGCTTAATTGAAAGCTTCATGATTGTGTTTGTTTACCTCACTTCGAGAGTTCTCATCCCGAAGGAAATCAAAAACCCTCTTTGGTGGAACTGGGATCCAGAAGGAAGTCGCAGCACTTAGCACAATACCAGGAGGCCTGCCTGGATCATCCATACTCTTCCTGGTCATAACTTTAACATCATCAGAACCAGTTGCTGACAAAGTTGTCCAAGCATGGGCAGTAGAAGCACCAACGCCGGTACAAAAGCTAGTCACCATCCTCTCTGCCAACTTCAACATACTCTTCCTCCCTTCTGGGCTTGTTATAACTGCAGAACAAGAATTGAAATGGTTAACAAAACAGAAAATGAAATGCATTGCAAGGGCAATTTATTATTTCTAAAAGGTTCCGAGTAAAATAAGAAAAGGGGTTAATATATATGCTTTTACCGCATAGATCCCCAGCCGGAATGTTACTGGCCATTGAACTTGCAAGACGTTCACACTGTCGATCTAATGTTGCCACCCAACGTTTTGCTCCGAAAGCTAGACCAGAATTAATTAATGGTCTGTACATGTTGTGGGCAGTTCTATCATCCACTTCTACATGCTCAACCCATGTAACCTGATGTATCAAGAAAATATGACATGATTAAATGAATTCGCCTGCTAGATATACTTATATAACCATGAAATGAACAGGGGAATCTACACTAAAGATTTAAGGCCACTTAAGTGCAGCCAATATGTTGAAATAAAGAGTAATTACCTTTGAGTATCCATTTGGCAATTCTTGGATCAAACATCCTGACGGCCTTCTTCTACACTTGGACATTGGACTGGGGCGTAAATTATCCAAGGAAACATCAACCACTGCCCAAGTTCCGTCAGTGTGCTGCTTACAATACCTCACGAAATAATTTTCCCGAGTTGGTACAAGTGGTGAAGGTACTTGAAACTCAGCCGTCATCTGAAAATGCTCGATATTATAGGTATGCTTTCAAAAGCTAAAGGAAGGAAATGCATGACCTCTACTAGTACCTTCTCAATTTTTGTCTTCAACTACCACAAGTTATCATGTATGACAAAATTATTAGAATGAAATGGTTTTGAAAAGCAAAACAAAATTGAAGTACTTAGTACCACTTGCAAGGCTCCATTGTAGTTTCCTGCTACACCAGTTGATAGGACTTCTAGAGTCATAGCCCTTGAAACAATACCGCAAAACACACTAGACCATTGATTCTGAAAATCAATTATTTAAATCAGAAATAAATAGAGGTGGGACTAAATATTTAGATAACGAATCCAAATATCAAAAGAAAATCCTACCACATCCATGAGAATCTCAACTAGGTTGACATGATTCATGATGACGACAGCAGATTCCCTTGAAGCTTCAGATCTCAAACCCAAAGGTTTTGGTCCAATTCCCCTAGGGAAAGTTCTCAAGTATTCATCTTCATTCAACACATCTGTAGAATTCTCCCCAGGAACCCACAACGGCAGCCCAGAATGGGCCATTCTGATTAGTTCCTCCATTGCCGCAACTGCAAGCTCCACAATCATGGGCTTATCTGCTTCTGTAGGCCCAGATACCGACCTTAGAAGATCACTGCCTCCATACATGTCTCCTACAAACCCTGATTGTGTCCCAAAATTGCTAGCTCCAAGATTAAGAGAACGTGAATGTAAATGAGTAGAAAGGTGAGGAAAGGAAGTCAAAGGCTTGCCAACATATTTAGCAGCTGCTCCAGATATCCTATCAATCTGTAACAGAAGAATAGAAAAATTGAATAAGCATCACAAACTAAGTAACTTGACAATAACAAGGGACGCTGTAACATTTTCCAGTCACCTCTTCCTTCAACCGGGAATTTTCTATTCTCAAATGCTGCTCATCAAATGACATCTCTCCGAGAGCAGCTGGGCCTCCACAGTTGGGGCATGTAGCATTGCTAAGAGCTTCCTTGTACCTATTGTTCTCAGCACGGAGTTTTTCATTCTCAGCATTTAATATAGCATTTTCATGGCGTTCATGTTGGGCCTGTAATGAAGGTGAAGTTTAGCAATTAACCAAGGAAGTGCTGCATATAAAAAGCTTACTACATAGACAAAAAAAACTTACATAGAAAATAAGTATAAATACTTATAGAAAGCATATTAGAGCTCCTGATTTGCACTTTATAGATGGAAGTATACCTTCATTTGGGTGCGCTTGTTTTGGAACCAAAACTTGACTTGTAGAGGTTCTAACCCTAGTTCGCGGCTTAGCTCCTTCCTTTGCTTATCATCTGGGTGAGGGCACTCCTTAAAGAATCTGAGAAACACAGTTTCAAAAACCCAAAAAAAATCAACTCTCCTAAGAAGAACGAGCTTTTTTAATCGGCCTCTCACTCTCATCTCTAATTTCTTGTATATAGACATCCAATGGCACACATAGACATTGTAAGAGAAAAAGGACTCACGCTTCCATCTCCTGGATTTGACGCTGGGTGTGCCGATGGTAACGCTTCGTTTTCGTGCGCTGGTTAGGATCCTGATCATCTCCCGAGGGAGCATCCATGGTTTCAGTACCTGATTTAGTCTCATAATCATCGTCCCTGATCTTCCCCATCAGTTCACTTTCAAAGGTCTTATGGGTCATTTCGAACATATGGGGACTCTCAAATAAGTTTGGACTGAACATGTCAACAAATTGCTAAAATGTCGACGCTATAGATTTTTGGATTCTGCCAAGAGAATAAACAAGCTCAGGAAAAGAAAAAAAAAAAAAAAAAAAAAGAGACGGTGAAAGAAACTGTAAAACTGTTAAAAGGAATAATAAACGAAGAAAAAAAAGACAAGTACGTGACGAAGGAAGACAAACTAAGGTAAAAAACACAGTGCATAATACCTGGAAGCGTACCGTAGAAACTTTCTAGGGCAGGTAAACCATGGAGAGACTGCTGTAAACCATGTTCGTTTATCGAGAACGATTTTTCTTGAAATACTCTTAATACCCAAGCTGAAAACAACTATATATTTAATTAAACCGATTGCTAGTACAAGTTAAAGTTAATTTTAATTTAAAGAAAGGGTATTAAAAAGAAGTGTATATACTAAATTGCATAGCATATACTATGAATGTAAAACGATGAATTAACCAAAAGCTGCTCCTAAAATATAAATAAGTGTACGGTCTTAGCTATGAATGGATCAATGGAACAAGAGAAACTGGAAGAGAAAGAAGAGCAGAAAAAGGGGGAAAATCAGGAAAGAAAATTACCTTATAGATTGTTGGCGAAGGGGGCTGAGAACTTGGAGCAACAATTTTCTTGTGTTAAGCGAGGAGGTAAGTCGCTTTCTGGAAGCATCATCTTGGGAGACATAGGTAACTAATTAATCACCTCTGAAACCTTAACCAGCAGCATACATTTTCTCTCTTTGCTTGTTGGGTTTTGGCTTTGGATTCCTATATTGGAGGTTTCTGGGTTGATTTTAATTGATTCTCTGGTTTTCTCTGGGCTAAGCTTATGAGATTATTCCAAGTTGCAAAACAACATAAATGACTATGGTTTTAGTCTACCAAAAAGTCTCAGCTTACGTGCGAAAAGGCTGGATATAAAAAAATATATATAGCAGTGTTGACTCTGTGAGAAACCCCTTTGACGCACCAATTTTCAAAAGCCAAACCCCCAAACCGAATATTGTAACGCTCAACTAGGATCCTACTGTACCCTATTAAACGCTTCGTGGGCTCTCCTTTTCTTGGCAAAATAACAATGGAAAATCTTCTTCAAAAGGAAAAAAAAAAAAACCCAGATAACTAGAAGAGATATGAAAGAGAGAATGAGGGAATATTCTTATATGTTGTAAACAAAGGTATACTGCTAACAAAAAGGTCCAGGGAAAGGAATAGGTTTGTCAGTTAAGAGTGGAAACAAATGAAGGCAGCTAGGCTTTGGCGGTCAACTCAAAACACATGAGAAACCCTTTTGAACTTTCTTAAGAAAGATTCATGAAAGAAGGTTTAGAGTGGGTTTTTAAATTTAGGGTCACTGGAAAAAAAACCTCTGGGGGCTAAGAGGATGGTTTTTGACATAGACTAAGCGGAGGTGGAGGAGCGGACGAGGAAAAAGAGAAGACAAAATCAAAAGAGTGAGAAAGGGTTGAGGAAAATGAAGAGAGGATGTGGCAGCTAATTATGGAGTTATTTCACAGTGTATTGTGCCGGTGCAATAGCATTAATGAAGGGTGAGAGGTGTAATTGCAAGAGATAAACTTTAGATAGACAAAGAGAAAAGGCATCTTCCCGTCCCTTCCCTTTGTTTAAATTTCCCTGCAAAAGTGTGGTGAATTTCCTTGCAAGTGTGGTGAGATGAATTTGGGCTTCTTGCCTCCAAGCTTTCAACTAATTTCCACTGTTACTGTTTCATTATTGAATTGAAAGTTTTTTTTTTTTAATAATTAAGCATATAAATACATTAGATATACAAATTAATAATTTAAAATTTTGTCCACTCATTTTTGCATAAGATAAAAAGAAGCAATGTCTTAGATCATAGATAATATCCATTGAAGATACATACGTATTTGTATTATATACATACATATATATATGTATTTATTTTGTATATACATACACACTTATATGTATGTATATTTAGACTAATAGAAAGGAAAAATATATAAATAAATAAATAAAAAGTACCCTGCAAACTATAAATAGCAGCTGGTAGAAGAAATGAAATTTCATTTTTGCTTCTGTCATCCCTGGTTGATTCATATATATATATATATATATATATAATATCAGACAAAATCCCATTTATATATTTAAGAAGCCTTTCTATTTTATATGCTACTAGTTATTATGACAACAAAGTCATAAATAATCCTGTAGGGTCTATTTCTCTTTCACAAAAACCCGCTTTTTAAAACTGGTCACCTACCAACTTACGTAGGTACATCCTTTTTATTTTTGTTCCTAACTCAGCCTTCATCCTTGACTTGCTTGAAAAGTACAAACAAATGCATAAACAGATGTCTTATTATAACGTTTGGCTTTGTGAATTCAGAATGTTTAAAATATTTCAACCAAATTAATTATTGTCCTGGCTTCCACTAATATGTCAACCTAGAAAAAATAAAATAAAATTGATGCAGTACAGCATCTACAATTCAAGGTCATTATATATATATATATATATATATATATATATATGGAAAAACCATCAGCTCGGCATGTACCCAAGATTTTGCTTAATTTTGTGTTTGGGTAGTTGTTCTTTTGCATGGTTTGTCTACGGAAAAAAAGATAGAAGCCCAAAAGCGAAACAGGATTTGTAATTTGTTGGGATTTTTGTGGCTCGTTTGGAATTTTGCATGAGGGTACCTCATGGTCAAGGCCATATTTATCAACAATCAATATCTTAGAAAATTGCAAAAGATATAGCCATTATATTCTGTGAGGAAACATGATATTATCATTTATGCATGTGAATAGGATTGTATGTCACACCAAATGTTTAAAGAGAATAAACAAAATATATTAATCTCATATTAGATAGGAAAGAAAAATTCGTTGAACATATAGTGTTTCACACTCTAATAAGTAGATTTTGCAAAGAAAGAATAATGGCCATCTGATATGTGCACTTATAATTTCCCCTCCTACTCTTGATTTTTTTTTTTTTGGTGATAAGAAAACCACATAAGAATTAATATTGTAATTATTCTTACACTTTCAAGAATTATAGATATATCTTCTATATATTCCCTCAAATATTGAAAGCAAAGTCTAATATAATATTATTAAGGTATATATCGATCTTATATAGTAAAGTGCTGATGGCTATAATCTTTAGCCCCCACACAATATCTAGAACGTAGCATTATCTCTCTCCCTTCCTATCTCTGTCTTAAAAAATGTGACCCATCATTTATAAGTCCAGCATCTTCTTTTTAAGTGGAAAACCCAGTCATTAGTTTTGTGAATTTTTCAAAAATACATTGGCCCTTGTTTTCAATAACAATAATGACCTTATTTGACGTTTTTATCAAATTTTTAAGTCTTGAGCTCATATATTTTCCATGGGGCCTCCTCATTCCTATCATTAACACACTGTTTGAAATGAGTTCGTGCATGTGTCAAAAACCGATTAACCATATGCAAACTGAATCCATGGAAGAAGCAAGGGGCTAGTGTCACGGGCTCCGACCCCGCCCAGGGCGTGACACTAGTACTAGCTGCAATCCCAACCTGTTGCTAACTAAGACATCTATAACAAGTTTGTTTTTTTTTTTTTTTGTTGGTATACAGTCGCAGGTCTTTACATTTTGTCTGAGTTTAAGTTTTTTATTCGGACGATTGGTGCACTTCCAATCTATAACATATATATAGGTACTTTTATGTTCCCATTGATTGATGAGTTACAATCTCTCTGAAGCTTTTTTCTTTTCCCTTTCTAGTTTTTAACCTTTCTGCTATGACAAATCTCACAGCAAAAAGGAAAATTTTTTGTGATAAATCAATGGAATTCATGAAGTCTAATGAACCCTTGACTAGGGTTTTTGACCTTTGATGATCATGTTTCCATTTTCCTCGACATGTACTATATATTATTTGTAATACCCGTAAAAAAAAAAAAAAGACTATTTTAAATATTTTTATAAGTTGAGAGATTTTTTAATAAAGAATGAAAAATACATAAGACTTATTAATAAATAATTCAACTTTAATAGGATTAGCATCTACCATTTGTTTGGCCAACAATTGATCAGGAAAAAAAAAGGGCTTATTTCTCCTTTCTTTCTTATAAAAAAGATAAATAAAAAATTTTCATACGAAGGATAAGAATAAAATCTATAAAGAGAATTATCTGTTAGAGGTGAGTAAATAATTTACTTCAATTTTGAAGAAATAATATTGATTATTAAGTCTTGAGGTATAATGTGTAATCGTGAAACTCTAAAATTTTAAGAAATCCAATATTCCTCTTCAAAATTAGTTTGAGCAAATCATTTAGACTTTAATTAGGGTCTAATAAAAGCATTGAGAAAGTTTAGTAATGTGATTTTATTGCTATAAAAATAAGAAATAGAAATTTAACGGGGTTAGAAAAGAAAATTTCTATTTCTAACCCCATCAAATTTCTATTTCATATAACCCCTTGTATTTATAGTGATAGATTAAGATATTAAGTTGTATTAAGGGATAAAATACTGCTATGATTATTATATATAGTTGGAAAGCTTGCTAAATTTACTTTCCAATGAAATAAACAGGAGTCATTTCTAGTTTTTTATGAAGAGTAATTTAATTTTTATTTAAAAATATGTAGGCTGCCTAGAGCAACAGAGATGAATTACGAAATTTTTCTTAATTTTTATACAAGGAATTACATATTAAGCCATATATGTTTGGAAAGTTTATTGAGTCTACTTTTTGATGAAATAAGCAGAATTGAATTTGAAGTTTCTTATGAATAAATGTGTAATTTTTTTTTAGAATGTATACATGCTATTTGATAGCAATATATGATGTGAATTTCAAAAATTAAAGAATCATAAGATGGGCCATATATGGTTAGAAAGTTTATCAAGTCTAGTTTCGAACGCATTAAAAATATCTTAATTTTAAGTTGAATATCTTGAAATATGATAGTTTTAGTGAAAAGAGCTTAAGTTATCAGTATTAATTAGTTGAGTTAATCTTTGTTTAATCTAATTATTTTTGGTGTAATTGATCTCAAATTGGGTTGATTAATTACTATTATATTGAAATTATATTGAATAGACTGTTAATTATTTGAGAAAAAAAATTAAGTGGTGGAATCGAAATGAGATAAGTAGTATCTCACATACTTTGCTTGTTTTCGAACCTATATATATGTATGTTTCTAAATGAATAAATATTTTATTTCATTATTTTTTATATATGAAAATAGGACCAAACATTTGATTATTTTGTGTTTTTGCTATGTAAATGATGGATCATGTTTACAAAATGAGAAAATAATTTATGTTTAAGAAACGATTTTATGATAGCTATGTTTTTCCATCTTTGGGAAGTGAGATTATTGACACCATAACTAGTTCCTAGTTAACGAGTAATAGTAGTTAGTATAGACATTATTATATGGCCCTGCTAATGGATTACAGTAGTTGGCGTAAGGTCTTGGCTAGTGAGTTATAATAGTTAGTAATAATCATGAGGATGAAAGTTTATTGAGCTTTGAGTCTACTTTTTGATAAAACAAGCATAATTGAATTTGAAGTTTCCTATGAATAAATGTGTAATTTTTTATTAGAATGTATACATATTATTTGATAGTAGTATATGATGTGAATTTCAAAAATTAAAGAATCATAAGATGGGCCATATATGATTAGAAAGTTTATCAATCTAGTTTCTAACTTATTAAAAAGATCTTAATTCTGAGTTGAATATTTTGAAATATGATAGTTTTAGTGAAAGGAGCTTAAGTTAGTAGTATTAATTAGTTAAATTAACTTTTGTTTAACCTAATTATTTTTGGTATAATTGGTCTCAAAATGGGTTGATTAATTACTATTATGTTGAAATTATATTGAATAGGCTGTTAATTATTTGGAAAAAAAAAAATTAAGTAGTGGAATCGAAAGGAAATAAGTAAAATCTCACATACTTTGTTTGTTTTCGAACCTATATATATATATATGTTTCTAAATAAATAAATGTTTTATTTCATTATTTTTTATATATAAAAATATGACCAAGCATATGATTATTTTATGTTTTTGCTATATAAATGATGAATCATATTTATGAAATGAGAAAATGATTTTATTATAGCTATGTTTTTTTCATTTTTGGGAAGTGAGATTATCGACACCATAACTAGTTCTACGGCCTTGATTAACGAGTAATAGTAGTTATTATAAACATGATCATATGACCCTGCTAATGGGTTATAGTAGTTAGTGTAAGGTTTTGGCTAGTGAGTTATAATGTTAGCAATAATCATGATGATGAAATTGTAGATACGACCAATGTTGCAGGTTTTAGCAGTGACTATAGCTAAAAATAAAAAAATGATAATGATGATTTTTACAAATTGATCCATGATTTAATGACATGTTTTGATATTAATTTATGTTCTATGAAATATTTGACAGAATACTGATTTTTGAATTATTTTTGAAATGATCTATATAGCATATATGAAAACAATATTTAATCTAATAAGATGTGTAAGCCTATTTGTTGAGTTATATTTGCTTATTCTTTATTTTGTTATATTTGCTTATTCTTTATTTTGTTATATTTGCTTATTCTTTATTTTCTTTTCTTTTACATATGATATAAATGATAAGTATAATTAGTTTTGTAAAGAGTTAAAAGAATTTAAGCATTAGAGAACTAGTTAGTGGATACGATTTTATGAAGTAATATTTCTTTTAGTTGTAATGCTCGACCTTGATAATTTGAAGATTTATTATTTAATTATTTTACAAATAATAAAATTTTTTAAAAACTTTATTTTATTTGAAGAATTTTTAATTGTTATAAATTAAATTTTATATTATTTTAAAATTTTATTTTAAAATAATATGATCGTATTATATCTCGATTTTCGAACCTAACACTATCATATAACACTATCATAAAAGGAGAACCATTGTTAAAAAATGAAGGGTTAAAAAACGTGAAGTGCAGTCTGGTGAGCTAGCACTGCAGAATATTTATTGACGAAAACAAAAACTTGTCTGCGTTTTCAATGTCCATACTACCCTACCTGAAATTTCCATTTATTATATATCTCCCTCCATCTCCATTGATTAGCTTCAGCAGAGGCAGAATAGTTAGCCTGAACATCGTTGGAATTTCACCTTTTTGCTATTGGAAAGAGAACTGCTCGGAAATGTAGCTTATACATGTGAAGAAGAAGAATAATAATAATAAAAAACTTCATTATATATTTTTATTCAACTGATCCCTTTTAAGTAAGAAATTGAAGCTCAATCCCTAGCAAAGTAATGAAGAATCTAAATGGGCCAGTTTGGAGATTGAATGATAATTGTCCAAAATAAATGTTTCACCATACTTCAATCAATACTCAAGTATAGCTTAATAAAGATTATTGAAATCAACACACCAACTTCTTTTATTACCAATGACAACTATTTTGATGAATCAACAACTTTGATTTCTTGTATTAATTCTTACAAAATAAATGTATCCTGTTTGTACCAACTAAAAAGTTCCCTGTCAATAATTATAACCTGATTTTGGGTTTGCAAACAGAATCAACGCTCTCGGTTTGGACCAAGATGGAGATGTTACAGCTGGCTGCAACTTGAAGCTTTCAACTTGAGGATGTTGAATACGTTCACTTTTCCATGCAAGATGGTTGATGAAGTAAAGTCGAAATTGGCAGCAAACTGGTTGTCAGCAAAGATTACGATCAGTTTATCACTGTTGTGCTAATGTTGTGCTTCGCTCGATCCGGGATCGAGCCGTTTTCGATTGGAGCTTCAGGCTCTAAATTCCCACGATAATTTATATAAACATGCAGTACTGTTCTTGTTCTGGAAGCCTCCATGATTTGGATTATCAACCGTGACTACTAATCCCAATGAAACGTTTCCTTTGTATCTGGAATAACCACCTAATGAATGCTTCCAAGGGTAACAGACTGGGAGTGATTTTGGGGTAACAGATCTGAGTCGTTTAATAATCTTGAAGATTAATTATAAAACTTCACTCATATCTAAAAAATTAGGAATAAATGCATGCCACCAACACAAACAAACATGAATGAAAAGATAGTACAAGTAAAAAAACAATTTGTGAAGCAGTACAACTATGTTGTTGAGAAAGAACTGTTTCTCACAGAGAACGACCTTGTTTTCTGAGATGCAGACAACCTTGGATAAGTAGTTTCGAGACGAGGTCTAATTAATGTCATCCACTATCTTATTAAACAGAGTATTGATTGACTTTAATTTTCTGCTATATTTTTGAGCCAAATATAGTAGTTCTATCAACAATGATGGCCAAGCTAATTTATTAAGTTCACATGGCAGCAAACATTAAGATTCTGCCTACCTAATGTTTCTACTTTCTAATAATGTCAAACTTTCTCCCAAAGCTCTTTTAAAAGATTATTAGTATTAGAATTGAAATTTTAAATTTAATGAATGTTATTTTTTAAAAAATAATTAAATAAAGTAATCGAGTTAAAAGGTTGAAATTTTGCTTATACTTGATTACTTAAAAGGGTTAAATTTTTTTGTTCACAGGGCCTGAAATGGACTTTCTAAACCTTGCTATCTGGGGCTTCCTTTGTTTTCCTACGGAAAATGACGCTAGGCCCATAAGCTTAAACAACAGTCCAACAAAAAGAAATGGCCTATAAGATAATCACACGTTCATCAAGATCCAGAAGGCGTCAGGACAGGGCCACGCACTTTATGATACCGTTTTCTTCCCTATCAGCTTAAGTCAGTAGAAATGTTCTTATGGTTTATGAAACTACAGAAAAATTTTGAACTATGAAATGTTTACAATTTGCTCTAGCTTCTGTGTTTCATGGAGTTGAACTGTCTGTCTCCCTAATGAATAAATGAAGATTGACTGACACTGATGGAAGGAAGGGGATAAAAACTCAGAGATAAACCATTGGTTCTCCTAGCTAATGGAAACTGTTAATAAAACTAGATTCTACCAATGAATCACTGAATATGGAAGAGAAGAGAACAGAGAGATTGGGAGAAAGAGTATGGATTAAAACTTGAATCGAGATTTTGGATGCTGATAACAGAATTGATGTAGAATAAGTCAGCTGAAGCCTCTTTTTGTATGAACCATGCTTTAGATCTTCTCACTTTGATCTGATAAAAGTGATCACAATTTGGAACCAGCAAGAAAATTTTTTTTGGGGGGTCAAAGTAACTGGTGGCACAAGTTAAAGATGTAGTTAGTATTGGAATTTCATTGTATCATCTCCACGGGTCAAGAAGAAAGTACTTGTATTACCAAGGTAACTATTTCCAAACTAACCTGCATAACGTTCTTGCAGGTGAAATGAATTTGGAAGGGTTGGAAACCAGCATCTTAAATAGACTGTCATTTCATCCATAACATGAAAAAATTTAGATTCCTTTAGAAACTTGTTCAAGCTCAATGATCTGAATTAGCCAAACTTTCCACCAATACAGCAACTACAGTACAACTCCCTGCATGAGTATTCCTTGTTGTAAACCAAAAATTTTCTTATGCCTGTAGATAAGTGTCATCCTAGGACGTTGATCATTTTTTTTTCATGTTATCACCCACACCTAATTTAATTTTATCCTTCGTAAATTAAATATGAATTCCAATTTACACAAGCTTTGCTCAAATTCCTACACTTCTTTGTTGTCTTTATGAATATCTTGAGTACTGAAAGGAACATCTGCAATCTTTTCTGTGCATATTGATTGTTGATCAGTTCAAATCAAAGGCCACAATCTTGCATGACGATCCCTAAATTTCAAGGTCTGGCGATGAACCCAAATGAGTATATATAGCCTTTGTCTTTGATGGTCGTGAAGATTTTGAGGAGGAAAACTGGGGAGAGGAAGTGCTCTTCTTTTTCCGTTTTTGTTTCTTAGGAATATTTGGCAGATCCGTGCAAGACCGGTTTCTTATCATCTCTGGTGCAGGTCCAGGTTGGCATCCCATTGATTGTTCAAAATCTGTTACAAAATAGTGAAAGAACTGGTCAGAACGTTATATTAGTTTCAACAAGGTTATCGAAATCATAGTTAAGGAAGACGACTGTTGTCTTAGGTGTGATTTATTGTCAAGAACCATTTGAATGTGATCAGTGTGTTACAACACTAACAAAGGAAAACCTCACTCAAATATTTCACCAACACTAGGACAGAAAACAAAAAGGTAAACCCCAGGACATCTTTCCAGACCTAAACCTTTAACTAACATGGAAAGGTGAATCAGTTCCATGATGTTCTCTTCTTTATTAAAAGGGTACAAGAAAATTGAGAACTTTCACTGTCAACATCATATCAAAGACATCCGCAGGAAGGCATTTAGCTTTTAGGAAACAAAGTTTCACATATCCATGTCTGGTGTTAAAAGTTAAGTACGTTTATTCAAGGGCTCAACAACAAAGAGACAGTCCCCATAACAATTCTTATTCGGCCAAATCATGAAAAGACAAACCTGCTGGTTGGTTTTCTTCTTTGGATTAACTAGACAGAGTTTCTGAGGAACACCTAAGTTATTACCAGAATATTACCTTGCAATATTTTGCATAAAAAAGAGTTTTCATGGATCATGTTAAGACCTTAGTTTAATTTGAATGATGCTATTAGAATCTGATATAATTCCTTTGAATCTGAATTACATTCGATTTAATATAAGTTGGATTCATTAATGGTCCAAGCATCCCACTCAATAAATTCATGATTTTAACACAACATTCAAATGCTTTCAGCTTCCTTGACGGTCAAATATCATCAAAACTTAAATGCTTAACAGCTTTAAGACAGAACACATCAACTAATTAAATAATGCTAATAAAAATTGCAAGGGACAACCAAAATGATCTCTAGTTAGGTCTAGTAGCCTATAGATTCTCCTTGACATGGAAGTTTTGTCCCGTGACACAACAGCCAAACTCTTCCACTTGGGAGAATATAATCTAAAAGACTTTCTCCATGTCTAGGATACTTAGCTTCCATAAATTGAGACATAAAACATTTTCCCTCATCAATGTGACCCATGAAAGGGCCCTATTTTCTATTGTCTTATTAGGAACTCTCCACATGATACCAGACGATGCTTCAGGGATACATAATTTAGAAGTATAAATAAACAATTAGCTTTACCTACTACTCTCTGTATTGCATATTATTGTCTATTATTTATTGACATCTAAACGTGGAAACATATTAGTATATCATTTTGAAAACATATATCATATCAAAGAAAATAAGATAAATTGAGAGAAAACATGCCTTGAGAGGACCATGTTGAAAAAGGCGTAGGATTAGAACCTCCAGAGTTACCAATTGATGTTGCTGTGAAATCAGAGCCTGTCTTGAATTCATTCATCTGCATTTAAGTTCCAGGCCAAAGAGATAAACCCAACGCACTTCGGCATTTTCAATCAAAATATTGAACAGAGTAGACAAAAAAGAAATGCAAACACGTAGACAACATACCCAACTGGGTGCAGTGCCAGAAGGGCCATCCCAACCAATGTGTGCCACATGTTTAACATCTGTCGGGTACCCAATTTCCATCTCTCGCTCCTTCACAACTAACACAACAATACCCTTTCCCACCTTAGTTCCAAAGCAATCAAAACCCATCACAAAATACGAAAGTAACCCAGGAAACATGCTCAAGTGCAAGCATATTTCATACATTTACATATGCATACACACAGAAATGTATTTAGAAAGAGACAGAAAGGGCCTCACCAAAGATTTGGGAAATGTATTTGAAACCTTTGTAGATCCCTTTGATCTTGGCAGCCATGATGGTGGACTAGGAACACAATATAGAACAACCGGTTCAAAGAATATTGAATGTTGAAGGAACCTCTAGATAAATGTGGAGAGATTGTACTTTTGCCTGCTGGAAAGTAGTTGTAATTACATGTTGTTTGTTGCTTAGAGCCTTTTAAAGTCACTGAAAACACAAAAGGTTGCTGCGTATCAGAGGAGTAATTACATGTGATTGAGGAACTATATTACCCGTGAAACAAGGTTTGGTATCTATCCTTGGAACAAAAGCTGATTACTATGATACATAGATGAAAGAGACGATCTTTTAGGAGTTAAAATAAACAATTGTATTGTACCTAAAAAATACGGCGATTATGATAGCTGGAAGATTCAAGGGAGGAGCAACTTCTCCACAATCTCCTCCAAGCTTTGTTGCAAGGTTCCATTCTTCATCCTGTTTGCTATCACTTTTTATGAATGAAGAAACATGCAAAAAGGGAAGCCTCTAAAGAGGAAAGAAATCCAACAGAGAGACAAACAACCCTCTTAAAGAAAAATATTAGGAAGGAAGAGAAAGAGAAGGAAAATGCAAGCAAAAGAAAATGGCGGCTTCAATAGAATGAGGAGAAGAGGGTTCTAAAGGGAGAGAAGGTGGAGGGCTGTGAAATGAAAATGATAAGAATTAAGAACCTCCAAAAACAAAAGGTGACACATGGATCTTGAAAGACCAAAAAAAAAAAAAAAACAACAAAGAATCGAGTCAGGACATAAAAAATGTGGGGTGGCTTTTTTACTTTGATTAAGAAGCACAAGATTGTGACAATATTTGTTGTGGGATGTAGGCTGCTTTGTTTTTGACCGAGTAAAGTACGGAACTCAGGTATTTTATATGTCTTGTTAAGGCTACTCTGAAACAAAATGCAAGTGCTCTCTTAAAATGCGGGAAAACCCTGCAGAGATGCGAGAGAGAGAAACAAAATAAAAAAGATTATTCCTTTGCAGTTCATAGACAACTGTTGCAGTTTTGAAGACTTCTTGTTAACTATCATTATATGCTACCATTACATGCTAATTCTTCAACGATGGTAGGAAAAATATCCAAAGGGAAAAAACTATCAAATGTCAAATACCAAAGATTTGGTTTGCTAACAGAAACGTATCATTCATAACTGTCAAGCAATTTTAATTGATCTTTCTTGCTGGCAACATGGACTTAGTCATATCTTTAAATATTTCTGGTTTTGATACTGATGTCAATTCTTGGAAGGTTTTGAATCTATATTTTAACAATGTCTTCCTCTCAATTTGCTTACAAATTCTTCCGGGGTATTATAATATTCTACACTGCTTGTGACCGCATCATCTTGCAATCTATTACAGCTAAATTTCTATGCTTTTCTTTGGAAATCACAATCAATAACACCGAGAAATGTTGATTGTTGCAGCCACGTTAGTGGCAGTTGTCTCTTAGAATGAAACACAGCCTGATTTCTTGCTTTCCTGATATAGTAATGTGCCATATTTAAAAATTCGAACAGGCGAGTTCTTAAATAATGCTAATCCTGACATTCTAATGATCTGAACGGTAAACAAATTTGAATATGCACAGGATGTTAAAGAATATCTGAGTCCTGTTTGTATAATAATTTTTGCATCTCTAGTAATGTTGAAAACAAGATATGAGTAATGAACTGTTACTTTTCTTTCCTGACTCCAGTAGTTGTTGCTTGACGAATTTTGTATTTTTGTGTAAAAGTAGTAGCCCAAATTAACCAGTAGAGTACTTAGCAAATCTGAGTTTAATTCAACTAAACTAAGGTTAGTAAAAGGTTTCCATCCAGTTTGTTTACCGGATGAGTAAAACAGCAGCAAATTCTTATATCCTTGCTTCAAAGCAATCGATTAATAATGAACTAGAACTTCGTTGTACCATAAAGTCATGCTAGTACATTGGCATGGAGAACTTTCATTTACTCGAAACAAAACAGATAACGTTGAAAGAGGCCTATCTATTTTTACAGCCTACCTGTGCAAGCCACCCCAGTAGATTTCAAACCAAGATCCCCCTTGAATGAGCTCAGCCACAGTGAAATTTTTGGCCTCTTCCAGGCTAGTAATGACATGATAGCCTCACAATTTCACTCGCTTGCTAGTTCCATCTCCAGGTCCCCTGTTCATGTATTCCCCGTAGTATAATGTCTGCAATGCAAAATCCCCACTCCAAACTGACCACCCTGAAGAAGCAATATGGATTGCATCACAACAGTTCGTGAATTCTCCTTCCTGGGCCGGCCCAAATATAACTTGATGGAGGCTTTAACGGGCTCGAGATCAGCACTTGCTATTATATTAAGCTTTGGATCGAAGTCCCAGTGTACTGGTTTGGGTCTATTCTGCCTTGGGCCGTCACCATATATAACTGTGAACTCATTGGTTTCCGGGCCACTAGTTGGCAGTTCTGGAACACCTCATATGCATTTTCAAATTTGAAGTCCACAGTGCCAGTAATAAAGGAATCTATGTAGAATTGGCGGTTGGAGTGGGCGTAAAGAGTGTCTTGGCAGCAAAAGAGAAAAGAAGGTAAAAGAAAAAAGGGCATAAAAAAAACGGAAGATAAAGGTAAGTAGGTGACTGACTCAATCGCGATTGTTGAAGATCAATGAATGCCGATGTTTGTGGTTTTTTTTTTTTTTTTTCATGGCAAATTTAAGCAAGTCCATGATGGCTTCCATATTTATTTATAAGAGGATATGAAATCCCCCACTTGGATCTTAAAGTGGCAGACATTGTCACGATCTGCGTCTAGATTTGAATCTTTCGCTCATTCGTATACAAAATTGTCAATAGACAAACAATGTCAGAGGTTTGAATCTTTAGCTGTAGTTGAAGAACAAAAGGAACTGTATAAAGGAAATATTGAAATAAGAAAGAAAATGAAGAATTTGATGATTGTTGGTGATTGGCATGAATTCGACGATCATCACCGGTAGCTTAAATGTTGTTGATGGATCTACAACCTTCAACTCAGCTACTGTCGGAAAAGATCTTTTGTTTATTATTATTATTATTATTTTTATTATTATTACTATAATTATTTATAACTAGAATGTAGTTATTATCCTTCATTCATCTTAGTCATATCTTTTTCCTTCTTTGATGTGGATATTTCCCTGCTAATTCTATATGGGCTATGGCTTACTTGCTTTTGCCAATCAGCCGCTATGATGGATTTATGGCCCAAGATATATGGTTCCATAACACATCTGGGCCACAAAAGCATCAAGCAGCGGCCCTCCATGTTGGAGCCGATTAATCTGTTATAACAACGTGATGTCCACCAGCAATGCATCCAAAACTTATCTGCCATCCACCAATGACTTGATTTGTTTTCCAAATAAATTTTGGGTAACCCAACATAATTTATTATATAAACGACAAGCTAGCATGGCTAACTTCATGAAATGTAGGAAAAAATGCGTTGTCTTATTACTTCTACTTGCAATTGTATATGATTCTCTATGGTACTCTTCCTTCAACTTGCAGAGGATATATTGGCAATCATGCTGAATCAAGAGGCCCTAATCATTAGCCTTGATATATAATCAAGGTTTCATGTGCTTGGCTTTTCACATACATCACTCTTGGTTGGATCAAGGAGCACAACTGCAACTTTAAGCATTCTATGTTGTATAGCCCCTGGAATGTGGGTCCTCAAGCCCTAAACAAGTATCTAGTCAACAAAATCACTCTTCTTGATCAGCCTCTTTAACAGACGACAACATAGAATGATGTCCAAAATAACTCAAAAGAATTCAGGTTCAAGCATATTAGAGCACCTTTCAAAGGCTTACCAGAATATGGATACTGTTTTCTATGGCTGAGTTAATTAACAAGCATAAATTCAAATAGAAAACCAATCGCATTCTATGCAAGAAAACAAATCAACGGTTGCAACGACAAAGAAATAACAAGAAATTTTATGTTTCCTATGCCCAGCCAAATTGAACAACGCAGTGTCCTATAGGCAGACAACAAGTAGTAAGCACCGCACATTAACACAATTTATGCATTATAGCATTTCTAGACTACAATCTAGATGAATACATAAGCAAATTCAAGTTTGCAATTTATCAAGGTATAGGCAAATCAATATTTCCAAAATTTAGAGTACATCAAGTTGGATAGCCCAAATAAACAACTAGATGTGAAAAGATATTATAACCAGCAAATTTTACATCAAAATGACCTAAAAAAAAATTTTCCTACTGCTCCTTTTAAACAGTTTGCTGGCACGTATTCTGGTTCCTAGGAATTATTGCACCCTAAATGGAGCATAAGCCATACAAAAGGTCTTCATCATTAACGCACAGTCATTTGGAATAATAGATCTTACAAAAGCAAGGTTTACTGCTCTAGATGTTATTGTCGATCATCAAAAACCTCAACTTAAAAATGCTAATGACATGACAAGACCATGAAGTTTGCTGTATGATGCCAAACTCAAGGAACACAAACAAAACAAATCCTAAGAAGCGTCAGGGTAAGTTAAAGGCATCAAAGACTTGAACTCAACTGAGCCATTAATTTTAAAGCTTGGTTTAGGGGATCCTGTACTCAATACCAATGGAGGATCTGAAGATCCTGCCATCCCATCCAAAAAGCTTCCAAAATTTACCTATATTCAGCAGCATTGTCAAAGGGGCTTAAACATAGTTGATGGTCGTGAAGTAAATAAGGAAACTATATGATTAACCTTTCCAAACCTAAACTATGCCTCTCATATGTCCATAGGATTCCTTTTCAGCTAACAATATGAAATCATTTTCCAATTTCTGTTTTAACAAAAACCTAAACAACACCAGTAACAGTTACAAAGATTGTAGTAGTATTATTCCCGCACAAAAGTAGACATGTATAAATAGAAAACTAAGGGCAGCAAATTTAATTCTCCTCAAGATTATACCCCATGAATATAAGCATTCATTCATAAAAAAGTAAAACAAAGAATCTCAGATAAATTTAGAACCTGATGCAGCAGAAAAAAAGGTGAGATAACTGGACACATAAATGTGGAACGCTATAATTAACACCTGAAAATCTTATAGCAAATTGATTTTTTAAGCAAAGATGTCAATTTGTAACAAACTAAAGTTCTATAAACCCAACATTGCGTGCAAAGACTTTTAAACATCTAATATTGATATAGAATTCTCAACTAAATTCTCCAAATGTCAAAACCATAATTCACCTCATAGTAGCCGAGAAAACAACAAAGAAAATTGATTTAATTCCAACTGGAAGGCCAGAATCCATGAATCCCATATCCGGTCTTCCAATTGTCCAAGAAAATGACTTTCTTCACTGCCCAGAAGGAAACCAAAATCGCGACAACCATTGCCACACGCTTGGCCCTCGCATCCTTAACATAAACAAGCACATGGGTCACGAATGCAAGCAACAATCCCACAATGGTATAAAGAAAACCCACCGCGAACCCTTCCGCTCCAAGTTGCATCCCCGATCCCTGGTAAAAGAAAATCAATTTGTTTGGATCATTCCTGTCCACCAAAAACATCGGCATTTTCCTTATTATATTATGCATTGCCCCCGAAACGCTGAAGAAATAAACAAAAACGGCCCCGGAAAGCCAGATTTTGGGATCATGTAAGAGGGTCTCGCCGGCGAAGATCTTTTTGGCGACGAACGGGGACGAAATTAACAAAATGGCAACGATCAGACCGAGTTGCTTTTTCGAAAGGATAGGAGGACGATGGATAGGCCCCACGGTGAGTTTAGTTCTGGACTCGACGAACTCGGCCATTGACTCAGCCAATCGGGAGAAATCGCCCTGGTCCATTTGTTCCGAGTCATCTTTTAGGGATTTGACGGTGGGGCCGACAAGGCGGATGTGGGGGAGGGAATTGACGCCGAAGAGGTGGAAGGAAGATTGGGATTCACGGAACTCAATGTCGCAGAAGAAGAGTTTTGTATTGGAGTTGTTGTGGTTGGTAATGAAAGACGAAGCGACGAGGGCGAACTCTTGGCGGAGCTCGCGAAGGCGGAGTTCGGATTTGTCGTGGAGTTGGGCGGCGTCGAAGAAGATGAGGAAAGAGTAAGGACGAGGGGTTTTGGGGGAGGTCAGGAATTTGGAGACGGTTCGGTCGTCTAAGTGGATGACTCCTGATTTTGATTGCGATTGAAGGGTCTGGAGATCATCTACTAGCTCTGATTCAGTTTCAGCTGTTGAAATTACAAGGAAGAGAGAAAGGGCGATGAACGATAGTAGGAAGAAAAGATGAGCGGACGAGATCGCCATTTTTCTTCTTCGGGCTTGTCTATGGGATTGGCGAGGAAGAGTTGGTTTAACAACACGAGACTCGGTACATGTCGGAGAAGACTTTGACTTGACATTTGAGTTTGAGCTACAACCAATGCTAGAGACGTGTTTGGGCCAAGTCCAAGATTAGTTTGTGTTCTTAAAGTGATCAAGAAAAAATTTTCTATCAATCTGAGGGCCCAAAAGAAGTCTATCCATGGGCACTAATCAGAACTCAATTTAACCAAAAATCAAAGCAAAAGTTCACCTTTTAGACAAATCCAACCCATCAAGTATCAATCCACTCCAACCTGGCTCCATTCTCCAAAAATCAAATCCCCTGTCAAACATTTTCAAGCATACACTGTCCCCTGTCTCAGCAACAGCAGCAGCAAGAAAGAACTCTGGCTGTATTCTCCCAACTTCGCTGAAGCTTTCGTCTATTGCATTAGGCTGCCCCAATGGTTTCAAGGCTAAGTGTGCTTTCTTCTGCCCTGATATCATCATTGCTCCAAATGTTGGACCCTGCAAAATCTAACCATCTTTTTATCGATATAACACAAAAGTAACTCAATAAAATAAAAAAGAGGGTAAAAAATAGACAGTGGCATTGTTAACCATTCTTGGGGCACCATCAATCTCTGCAACTTCCGTTCCTGTAACAATCATACCAGGCACAATCTCCCTAGTAAACCTGACAATTGCATCCCAAATACTAAACTACGGTCGAGTAAGTTAGTAACTTGATTTGGTGTAAATTTTCTGATTTAGCTCTGCATGCTTCTTTTATTTTCCTTAATTTCTATCTCTTGGCTTAGTATATGCTATTGCTTGTTTCCATTCACTAATTGCCACGCTATTCCTCCATAGATCGGGAATTACATTTTAGAACCAACTTGGCGACCCCTTTTTCTTTTACATTATTGTGCTCCCAGGCATGTTAAAGATGCTTCAACAGCTTAGAATCTTTAGTATCTCAAGTTTCAACCTAGAGACTGCAACAACTTCACTGACTGTATAAAATATTTTTGAATACTTAGATTTAATTTAGATCTCACTTTGTCTAATGTAGTTGTTTCATGACAATTAGTATAATGTATTATGCCTTCTTGGTTACCGGAAACAGGATGTTTGTCATGTTTACCAAGAAAGCAAGCTGTGCTTTCTGCCTTCTTTTCACAGCTTCCGGTAAACAAAATTTTGTTTAATACCCTGATTGAAGCTTAACCATGTATCTGCTACATAAAAGTGGTACAAACAAGCCAAATTAAAAAAGAAAGGTTGGAAAATGTGGAACAGATTTCAATTGCACTTATTAAAGTTGTTTTATTCCTTCTTTTGACTAAAGCTAATTAAAGATTAAAGTGTGTTTGATTGCTTTAATTCCAAGTTTAAACTTGTGGTTTTTTAAGCTAGTGATGCCACTGAGTCGGTGAACAACGAGCAAGCAGTGTTGGTCCCGACTCCCAACCGCCAAATCAGTCATGTTCTAACATGCAACAAATGGACTCACTCTCCATTTTTATACTGCTAATTCCAATTGGTAGGCAGCCTGGCTTTTCATTTTTCTTTTCCATGGATTATATTCCTACTTCATTCCCAAAAAAAACCCATGTCGGCTTTGCATTTGTAATATTAGGCATTATACCACCTTACTTGATACCTAAATTTGTTTGAACGCAACTGAGATTCTTGTTGGAATTTGCTGATGCAACTCTTTTTTACGTGATGAATTTGGAGGAAATTAATCAGTAATGCTAATATATTTAAGGATCTGAACATTCTTGCATGGGTAAATTGGTACATTCAATCATTATCAAATAATTAATAGACAAAACTAGGTTTAGTGTTTCTACCCCTTCATACATGAACTCTCCATTTTCGAATACTCATCATTCGATGCACATTTCCTTCTCAGAAATCCAGCAGATATCTCATCCTCTTCTTCCAAAAAAAATTCTTCAGCCAACAAAATGAAGACAAGGGTCTCTCCATTGGCCTCTCTACTCTTCATTACAGTACTGATAGCTGTGTTTTATTCTTCATCTGAAGCAGCTGATTCACAAACTTCTTTTGAAGATAACTTTAGAATAATGTGGTCTGAAGATCATTTCAACACTTCTAAAGATGGCCAGACCTGGTACCTCTCCTTGGACAAAGAAACAGGTATGGACAAACCCATATTTCATAGAATTTGATTCCAGGATTGATTGCTGTAGTTGTTCTTGGTTATCAAACTTGCTTCAGATATTGAGGATTTTAATTTGTTTCTGCTTGTTATTTTGTAGGCTGTGGATTTCAAACCAAGCAAAGATACAGATTTGGTTGGTTTAGCATGAAACTGAAGTTAGTTGGAGGTGATTCTGCTGGTGTTGTGACAGCTTACTATGTTAGTACTTTTGACAATTTCACATATATTTCCTTTTGTTCTTTTGGTTTGGAAGCTGAAGTTTAAGAGTGTTGCAGATGTGCACCGAGAATGGGGCAGGGCCAGAGAGAGATGAGCTGGATTTTGAGTTCTTGGGGAATAGGACTGGACAACCGTATTTAATCCAGACAAACATCTATAAGAATGGAGTTGGAGGCCGTGAAATGAGGCACATGCTTTGGTTCGACCCCACTGAAGAGTTCCATTCATATTCCATTCTATGGAACAACCACCAAATTGTGTAAGTCCCAAATTTTATCACTGCCAAATTTACAAAAAAAAAAAAAAAAAGTTTTCTATAGAAAATTAGTCACTCTTACTTCAACCTATATAACATGGCGTCGCCTAGCATGGGATCCCCCACGATGAAAGGCAGTGATGATCATCTCTGTCATTCTTGTCTTTTATGTTAATTGCAAATACTGTAACTGAGATTTGTAGACAGTAAGAATTTGAGCCTAACTTTGTTGTTCAAAACTGAATTGAATTTCATACTGAATTCTTGCAAACAGATTTTTTGTGGATAGAGTTCCCATTAGAGTATGCAAGAACAATGGTGATGAAAAAAACGACTTCTTCCCCAATGAGAAGCCCATGTACCTGTTCTCCAGCATATGGAACGCAGATGACTGGGCAACGAGGGGTGGGCTTGAGAAAACAGATTGGAAACGAGCCCCATTCGTGTCCTCTTACAAAGACTTCAGCGTCGAGGGTTGCCAATGGGAAGACCCCTACCCTGCATGCGTCTCAACCACAACCAAGAACTGGTGGGATCAATACGAGGCTTGGCATTTATCTGTTTCTCAAAAGATGGACTATGCTTGGGTGCAGAGAAACCTTGTGATTTATGATTATTGCAAGGATTATGAACGATATCCGAAACTTCCCTGGGAGTGTTCATTGAGTCCGTGGGATTAGGAGCCAGCAAGTGAGAAAATTTAGTATTAAATTTTTTTTTCAACTTAGTATAAAATACTTATATTCTTCCACTATAATATATTCAGTAATTGAATGTTTATATTATAATTTATTCAGTTAATCTTATGATATGAGTTTGCATGTTTGTCTTTTTGTTTTTTAATCAAAATACAATGATAAAGTTCAATATTCCTAGTATAATGACAAATTTTCTCTTTTATCTTTTTTTATGAATAATATTTTTTTTGTTATTTTCAAGAAGAAAAGTTTTAGTTAATGCAAAGTATATACTTTGCCTATATTTAACCTTTAACCTAATTTTTTTTATTAGAAATGATAGTATTTTTAAGCTTCAAAAGCGACGTACTATGATCCTATTCAAGTATATTTTTAAAAACTAACAAATAAACATATAAGATCGTATAAAAATTCCTCCCAAATGTATAAAATGTTAAGAGTTACAGGAACAAGCAAATTTCATTTTTGAGGTCAGTTTGAATGGCTTAACATCTTCTTGACCCGTTTTAGGTGGCTGCAACAAGTACCCAAGATGCTTTGTTTGTAATTGGCATCAACTCTCTCAGAATAGCTAACATTTGGCAGAGGAAAGTACAGGCCAGGTTTTCTGATACATCATTCAGTGCTAGTAGAGTACCTGGTATTCCAGTACTCTTCAATTTCCTCAGCTGTCCTACCAGGGATTCTCCCAGCAATTATAGCCCACCTAACAATGAATACCAGTAAAATTTTAGAACTTTCTTCAGAGAACGAAATGCCTTGCAAGAAACCAGGAGGAAAAAACAGAAAGAACTGAAGTAAAAGCAAAGAATCTAACCTCTCTCCCACCAGATTATACATCCTAATTATAAGTGTTTCCTCATCCTCAGAGAATTTACGCTTTGATTCTTCAATTGTTTCTTCTGAACAAAATGCAGGAAAGATGTTTAGGTTTAAAGGATCCATAACTCAAACTTTAGAATTTTTATCCAAAACCCCACCAATGACCATACCACTGCAGCCTTAATTAAGAAATGGTACCACAAGTAGTACTGTTTAAAAATTAACTTTTTGCCTACATATGAAAACAAAACAGATTTTTTGCAATCAGGTATTCATTCATGCTGAAGGCAAAAAAATTAATATGTTGTTGGAAGGAAGAACATATCATAAGAAGAACTGAAGAGGAGAACAACAAAAAAGAGAAAATCCTAAGATCTAGGACGGAAAACAAAGAAAACCACTGTTTTGAGTTTACTTGCAAAAAGAAAATAAATAAATAAAGAAGTTAGGGATACTGAGAACTGAGAGGGTAATTAAGTAGCTGAGTACCTCGAGAGTCCACATAAGTGTTACCAGAAGAGGAATGTTCAGAGTCAGCCATATGAAGTTGAAGCCTGAAGGAAATAAATGATCTCGAAAAACCACTCGTTAGACTTAGAGCTGAGTAAACAGCCAATGGGTGATTGTTTTTAAAACTATGTTGGCGCTTAAATAATGTAGTAAAGTCCACAATCAGAGGCATACATAAGTAAGAATGGTAGTTGAATGACAGCTACGGGCTACGGCTATGGTCTAACTGGTTTGATGGGTAGTTGAGGCATTTGTGAAAAGATTTTATGTAATGGCATGCAGCATATCAGCATGTGGATGATTCATCATAGTATCAAAATTTCAGCATGAAATTTTTTCTTGGATCAATCAAGTTTTTCTCCACTATGGCCGTAAACTCCGGCAACCCAGTGGGAGTGGACAGATTCCTTATTGTTGTACATGAAAATTTACTTAGATGTTCCCAAATGTTTCAATCAAGCTCACTTTTCAGGTTCCAATGCATTTAATGTATCTGTTGTTATCTGTTCAATTAATTTTTTACTAATGAGATTGAATCATATTATTATAGTTACTAACAACTGACTCATGCATGAATAACCATTCATATTATTATAGTTATTAACAATCGACTCATGCATGAATCACCATTTGTATAAAAGGAATAAATTGATGACTAGATTATCACCTGACCCCTGGTTCATCCAAGACAGAAAGAGGGTTTCTTTTCCACTAATATGGTTGGTGAACCTTTTCCAACGCTGAATTATGCCAAGATCCTGAAGCTGACACCATTTACATATTTGACGCTTATAAAACCAGAACATTTGCTGGTTATTTTAAAAACAACTATCATCATAAACACTTGGGTGATTAAATGAAGGTAAACGTGTTTCTTGTCATTTGTTTTTTCAAACACGCTGTACCATTGCGAATTCTGGATGAGCCAAAGTGGAATTACCAGTAAATAATGCCAGCTGAAGAAACTGAAAGAAATGCTTTGTCGAAAATGACTTGTTGATAATGAGTAATTAAGCTGAACAGACTCGATTCTTTCATTTGTCCTGTAGGGCGCTGCTGTCTTCTTCTTTTGGCTACCTTTGGTCCTCATTTTTCATGTGCCTACTTTTTGATCCGGAAGCTATTTCTTGTCTAAAACAAAAGAATTGAGTCTTATCTACATCAATTAAATAATTAAATCATTGTCCAAACTAGCCAACAGTTCCATTATGCCTTAACATTATGAACCCACTGTGTGGTTTCGATGCAGAATATAGATTAACCAGTTTAGTAAATATTGTGAATTCCAATTGAACAAATATTGATAATACATTAAGAAGCACTAAAACCACAAGGATATAAGCCCATGAGGAATTTTCGTATCAGTTTGTTTTAGCTAAAATAGCTACCATATATGAAGATCAATCTGCTAGAACTGTTACTGCTGCTCAAAAACCACGAATCTTTCTGTGTTCCTTGCTTGCAATGCCAGCCTGTTGGCACACACCAGTAATTAGAAAATTTAGCTACTCAATATGCTAAACTTGCACACAATAAACTGAGTGTAGCTAGTTAGACTACCTGAACAAGGAAAGTTGACACGTTCTTCCTCTAATCACCTTGAAGTTGAATAACATGTGACGACAAAATAGTAAATGGTTTGAGACCCAATATGGCAGCAATAAAAGAAGGCAAGTCATATGTAAGTGTCTGGTATTTACTATACCACATGCACACCTGGCCCAATTCTGGATCCTGTAGCATTGCAGCAAAATTCCTTCTTGAGCTCCTTGATTATCGTGCTGTAGCTAAAATCCTTTTTCAACACCTGAACATTCGCAAGGCTCTTCCTACCATTACGTTGCTGTACACTCAAATGCACATATTTCTTTGCCCCAGCACCTGAATTCTCAGCATTTGCATCCGTGAATGGATATGCCTAAAAGTCACACAATGTTACAGTAAACAACATCCTGATCAATTTGCTGCTGTTGTTGGTAGAATATTAATGTAATGACCGGGTTACTTAATTTAAGGTAAAAGCTATTTTTGTACCGTAAGCGCCAGGAATTTGGGCATCGACCTCAGTCATGAAAACTTGGTTGCTAGATATTGAAGAGAAGTGACAACAGCTTTATTTTCTTACAGAAATGTTGACAGCTGCAAGAAAGGAAATCAGCTCTTCAATTATGACAAGGATTCAATGCAAGAACGTCAATCATCGCAAATATTCAACAACGGCCAGCCTTATTACAATACAATAATGGAATTTCCTAGAGGGAAGATCTATAAATGATTTCTTTCCTTCATTTATCCTAAAATCTCTAGATGCCTTATATCTCCATTAAGCCTATATGATTTTTGTTTCCTTCTAAATCACAGATTTATTAAAGTTTTTGTTCTTAATGACCCACAAATCCCAATTTTCCTATTTCCGTTTGAGAACTTCAATTTTTGTATGATAACCTTTTAGTTTCAAATACAGTTTGGATGTAATTCAAGGTTTTACACGCATCCAAGCCTATTAAAGATAGGTCCCGGTGGAATTCGGAAGGATGGAAGTGATGACAAAGAAAATTAAAAATAAAATTTTGTCAAGGAATGCAACGCACACCTGACAAAATACCAATGAAATGAAACGACCGGCTAGCTTCCAACTAAGACCAGACAAATATTTTGGTATTGTCAAGGAATACATGAACCCCTGTCCTTGTCCGAATGTATTCTTGCTTGGCAAGCATAATTAGTTCAGGAAGACCAAACCAGTTAAGCCGCGTTATTATCCTATTCTGATAATTATCATCACCTAGTGCTTTTTGCAAGGAAGTACCATCACAAACGTTATTAAGGCCAAACAATGAAAATCCTAAAGTACTTATGCTGAAAAACTATCAACACAAGCAGCAGCCTTACATCGGTGCCATTGAAAATTGACAGGGCACCATTCTTCATCACCATAGTAATTTTTTGCCCTATCTCTGTAGTCAAAATCACACTTCAATTCGATCTATTGAACAACAAATTTTCCTAAATATCATTAAAAGAATGGGTTTCAGCCATAATGCATGCACTGCCCTCCTAACCATAACATTTAAAATTATCTAAGTTTAAATTGCTTTCATGGTTTTCCTACTTTTTACCACCTTACATGAAAACAATCCTCTCGCTGTCTTGAACAAAACATATTAGTTTTAAGTCTACTCAAATTAAAACCAGGATGAAGTGTCTCCCCAGATTCCGAAAGTTTCTACCAAAGAAAATAGTCAAAAGCAATAAAGAATTAAAGCCAATCTTAACCATAAGCATGTCATCATGGTGATTAGCATTTGATGACGATAGGTTGACAAAGAAAAATAAACCGAGCCAAATCATGAATAAAATAGACACTGCAAAAATCTCCAGGAGAGAATACCTGAGAGATAAAGAGGAGATATAGGTGGATAAAATTAGAGAAATTGGCTCTTAGATCTGCAAAGCAACATTAATAAAAAGGTTAGTCACTGTTGTATTTTGGAGAGAATTTCTATTGACCACACGCAACTCTACGTCTACCTATTACCTAACACAGATTATCCAGCACGTAAAGTTACATTTAGCACCGCTTGGATGGTTAGGATGAAAGCAACCCAAAAGGAAGAATCACTCCACCTCTAAAGAGGAGTGAGAAAAATGCAATAAAATTTACATTTAAGGGACGCAATGAAGGATAAAAAATTGATTGAATAGCTGATGTGTCAATGTCAAACTAATAAGATTCTTCTGGTATAAGCGTTAAAATTATCACTTTAAAAATATTCATTCAATTTCTGAAATGGAGATGGGATAGCTGTTCAATGAAATCAAGATACAACAATATGGCTAGAAGCCTAGTACTAGTGCCAGATATACAGAGTCCAAATACTAGAAAGCAACTCTTGCCTTTGAACCACTACTAGTACCTGCGATACAGAGTCCAAATAATATAATGTAACTCTTGCCTTCGAACCATTAGTTAATATATCGAAAACTGATTACAGTACTAACTGAACTTCAAAATTGATTTTTTGTTTTTCCTTTTCGTGGTGTTTGAGCAGCCAGAACCCACCAATAGCCAGACTAATTTTTAGGTTGCACGAAAGGCATATTTGGGATTTTGGAATTAGTCCCACCGTTTGGTGTTTAGCAGAGCGGGAATAGATATACCAAGATATAGTTTAACTTTAATCCTTTGATCTTTGAATCTGTTAGAAACTATTGGAATTCGGAAATTGATAGGATATTCTCTCAAAAGCTCCTTCATTTACAGATTTCAGATGCAAAAAGATGTCTCCTTTATCCTTTTTCTGAAAAGCAATTAGCATGCGAGAACATAACTCAATCATCCAATTGGAGAACGAAAATTAAGATCAATCAAAAACAAGACAACAGAATTGCAGTAAATATACAAATTTATTCAAAAGAAACCATAACATAAAGTAAACATAGAGAAAAGACTTTAAATTTATTTAGAAGGCCTAAACAGGGCCAGACATCATAATCCTTCACATAAAACCAGACACCGGTTCACATGGGAGACTTAGAAACCACCACGAAGACGCAAGACAAGGTGAAGAGTGGACTCCTTCTGAATATTGTAATCAGCCAAGGTCCTTCCATCTTCCAATTGCTTCCCAGCAAAAATCAACCTTTGCTGATCTGGTGGAATCCCTTCTTTGTCCTGAATCTTCGCCTTGACGTTATCGATTGTATCCGAACTCTCCACCTCCAAAGTAATAGTCTTCCCTGTCAAAGTCTTGACAAAGATCTGCATCCCACCACGAAGCCTCAAAACCAAATGAAGGGTCGACTCCTTTTGGATGTTATAATCGGCCAAAGTTCGACCGTCCTCAAGTTGCTTCCCAGCAAAGATAAGCCTTTGCTGGTCTGGTGGGATTCCTTCCTTGTCTTGGATCTTCGCCTTGACATTGTCGATTGTGTCAGAGCTTTCGACTTCCAAGGTAATGGTTTTGCCAGTCAGGGTTTTGACGAAGATTTGCATACCACCACGTAGACGGAGGACGAGGTGGAGAGTTGACTCCTTTTGGATGTTGTAATCGGCCAAGGTTCGGCCGTCTTCGAGCTGTTTTCCTGCGAAGATTAAACGCTGTTGGTCTGGTGGGATCCCTTCCTTGTCCTGAATTTTCGCCTTGACGTTATCGATCGTGTCGGAACTCTCGACTTCCAGGGTGATTGTCTTGCCAGTTAGGGTCTTAACGAAGATCTGCATCTTGATTGGCTGAAGAGAAAAAGCAATGAGAAAAAGAAATCGAGCTGTTTGGAATGAGAAAACAGGTGATTATAGTGATTAATTTATAGGAAAACTCCTGAAGCAACCAACAAATGAAATATTGACACGAAAGAGTAAGTTGGTTTCCGCCATAATTGACACGGTAGGAATCCAATGAAGCGGTGGGGCTCACCGCCGATAGTCTTTTTGTTTTACAGCGTTAGGTGACCAGCTTTTGACAAAGCCTAAAAGGACGACCAAGGTGCGTCCCTATTTGACGGAACGTCCCGTTGGAGTTAAATGGGCCCAAGTAGTCATTGTCGTTGGGCCAACACGGATTTTATTTATTTTTGCAAGTTGCCGAGTTGGTGGACAACTTTGTTTCCAAGAAAGCTACGGATCAATTTTAAATGTGGTTCCTTATTGCGTCTGTATTCTTTGCACCATTTAAGAAGATCTTTATGGAAAAAAAAAGGTTGTTTTGTTTACCTTCTCCTGTCCCTTAGTCCTGAGGGTCCATTTGAAAATACTATTAGAAGGTTCAAGGTTTAGCTATAAATCTTAATTTTTGATAAGATGGGAGGTCTTTAATCGAGCTTCTAAAAGGACCATGACAACATTTTTGGGCTTTTTGAAGTTAATTGAAATGAGGGGGGCGGTGTTACTCCTAAATCTCGTTCTGTTGCTAATAGCTTAGGCCTGGAACCAGGTTCCCGCTAGAAGTCTCTTTTTGGGCCTCACTGGCAGGCTTTGTTTCTAGTTTATGACCCAAATCAGATTGTGGTTTAGCCCAAACCAACCTCAATACGCCTCTTTTCCAGTTTCGACAGGATCAAACAAGTTTGAAGTCTCATTGAAATAAGGATTGGGCAACGGATGAAATGAGCAAAGTAAATAGTATTCCACATTTTCCATTTCATGCTATATGACTGCTTACCCTTTACAGTCTCTCTCATCAACACGTATAGTTCGAAGGAAAAAGTTACCACAAAATGCCAGCAAAGAGTTTAAACAAGCATTAACCACTGCAAATGTTAAATCACTATAGGCACGTTAAAGTAGCAATGAAAATTCTAGGAACAAACAAGGAAAATATGAAAATGTTTTATGATCCTCCAGTAACACTTCCATTAAAGATCTCAATTGTATCACCTTGGGCAACTTGGTGCCACCTAAACGATCGATCTTCGTCCATCACATTCTGTTTATATATGAAAAAATAACCTTCCTGCGGAAGATGAAAATGAAGTCTCTGGTGCAGCTTTTGCAGTTCTTTTCTCAGCTCTCGCACATTATCCGATGCATTCACTTCCACTGGTATCTTCTTAGTCTCGCACTTGGGCAACACCATCAGCTTCAGTCTTTTGGAACCCGTTGAGGCCGCCCCTGCCGACCCTGTCCCGGAACCAGTAGGCGATGACCTAATGTTTACATCAATCTCAGTATTATCTGTCAGCTCACAGTCGCGTAAGGATTGATGGTCTTGCAACTCGGCACCGCTGGATTGAACTACTAACCTGTTGACAGGGACAGGTTCCATCTCATGAATCTTTTCTTTTAATCGTGAAACAGTGTCGTTCACGTCCATCTCAAGAGGAACGGAGGTTCTGGAGGATGGTATATTAACATTGAGTTGGATTTTCTTAGATGGGGAAGATTGTTCAATATTGACTTGAGCCTTATCGGGTTCCGGGGCGAGTAGGAGTTGAATGCGGGAGTTTTGGAGGATTTCACAAAACTCAACATCTTTCTCATCTTGAAGAACTTTGCCATTGAAGACAAGAGTTTGGCTAGGAATAGGTATTCCCTGGTATTTCTGTACCTTTTCTTTGATTTCCAGGACAGTATCAAAGAAACCAACTTCAATGGAAAAGGGTCTGCCTCTTTGGGTTTCAAAGATGACATCCATTTTAAAAGAATCAAGACTTGGGAGGAGAAATTAAGGTTGGGATCAATGGAGGGGATTTTTTTTTTTTTTAAATTTAAAGTTTGTAGGTTGATTTATGCGAATAATCTGCTGCTGTTAACTGCTATCCGATATATTCTAAACTGTGAGCCCGATTTAGATGGGGATTGGTCATTTATTTCTCTAGATTTTGAAGATTTGAAAATGTGATATGCTAAAAAGGTTCGGATTTTCTCTTTAGAGTTTAAAGCCGTTAGCTCAAAGTCATTACTATGTTGGTTTCATAAAATTTTTAAAAATGTTTTAAGCTGTAAAACCCAAGCTGCATGTAATTAATATTGGCGGATTTTTTTACTATATATCGATCATTAATTATTATTATTCCTTGATTAGACAGATTGAGATTAATGTTGCCATTTTTTTTTCTTTTGATTAAACATAAGGTTAACAAAACGGATGATCTCGTCTAACAATTTCGACTAAACAATGCTATTTGCATGAAAGGAGACTGTTTCTTTTACAGCAGATTCACTTTGCTTGTTTGGATTTTGAAATGAACTTGAATCATCCAAAAAAAGAAACTTTCTTGTGATATTCTAATCATCTTCCAATTTGTGATAATAACAAACAATGAATTACGGAGAATAATATCAATTGACAGTGATGCCACGTCATATAAATATATCCTTATTTGATATGAGTAATAATTCATAATAATACTGTCTGCATGTTGAAATAACCAGTCATTGAGGCACCATTCGTACAAATAAACGAGTTGATTGTTAATTTGTTATAACTATACAGAATTCTATGCGCAATCTGAAGAAATCAGTAATCTTTAAAAGCACTACAATTGAACTTGCCGAGGCCAAACTTGACCATAAACATCTTTCTTATTGTATCGCCTGTCCCAAGACCATGGGACATCTGTAAAAGAGATAGAAAAAAGTTTGATGAATCACAAAATGCAGCTTATATAAATTTAAGGCGATACATGAGATTAATGCTTTATGACCTTCGGAGGAGTATGGCTCAGGAGGGACTTCATAAGGCACAGGCAATGGAATTACTTCGGATGTCTTGCTTCCTTGCCAAGTAAGGGTAACTAGCTTTGTTTTTGGCACTTTAGAACTTCCTACTGACCCACATCTACCAGTATCCTAATTCAGGCAACAATCAAAATGGTTTTCACCATTTTCTTCATCATATAACATTCCCAGTTAATTCATCCAACAAATAGATAAATGCTATTGAATCAGAAGTACCCATTACCTTTGATAAACCTCCATTACCCGTACAAGAAAATCCACCATTCTCTTCTTTGACATGAGATGGTAAAAATAGCACACCCAGCTAGAGATTCATAGGAAGGCATAAAAACATACCGTCAATGCTTAGTTACCACAAAAGAGAGGAAGGATTAAATAATGAGAAGATCATACAAAAGTAAAAGATAAAGAAATATAGATGCATTAATTTGTTCAATATATACATTCTTGAAAGCTTGGGACATGCAGTGCTTTTCATTGGTTTTGGTTTCATTATCTATTCAATAACATTTACATCTCAGCTGGGCTTTCAGACATCAAGTCAGATGTATGTACCTCATAAGAACGGATCATCAACTGAGAATTGTTCTTCTGAAGAGCCCCCCAGGCAGCTTTGCTAAGATTTGCAGAAGTTAGCAAGAACCAACTGCAACCGCGAAGAAAGTTTCAGAAAACAGCAAGAGAAGAGAACCCCACCCCCTTTTTTTGGTGGTGGTGGCTTTTAGGGGGACGGGGGGTGTAGTGGAGGAAATCCAGATGCTAAAAATTGAAAGTTTCAAAAAGCATTATATATAGGGCTGAATGAATTGTTACGCCAGTTTTTGGCCCTTGAAGCGGGTGTATGTCTTGATATGTGGCATTGCACGACTGAAACACCAAAAAGCAAAATCTTAAGAATCCGCATTGCTAATTGATATTTTGTAGCTCAAACTTTCACCAGGGACGAAAGAGGTATACCAGCGGCCAGTATGGCTTGCCTTCCACTTTGCCCAATACTTTTTCAAGAATGCTTTTTCCACATTCTTAAATGGACTTGGAATTGCATTTCCAGCTGCATAACCCTAGAGAACAAGGTAGAATAACAAATGCAAAACAAATTTCAGTCAAAAAGAAATACTGTTTTTATTCAACTTCTGCTGGTATCACTAACAAATTAGTTTAAGGTGTAAAGTAATGCTAACACCGAGAAGCTCTCATACATGCAGTTTATCAAATGGGAAGGCATTAACAGTAATCTTGGCTCTCTTAAGCTTAAAGAGCATAAAGCTGCCAAGATCAAGTTGGTGAAGATCAAGTTGGTGAGGACCACAGGTTTTTCAAGTGAATTGATTTTACACTGAACTGATTATATGCTTTTGGAGAGCCATTATTTGGGATGCATAAAGATATTCAAAACTGACAGTAGTAAGTGGATGACTGTGCAACTGTGTAAATGATGGGAGGTTAAGAGGCTAAAAGGAAAAACCTACTTGACAGTACCTCTAAGGAGCATCTAACATCTTCCACACTGGGCCATATTATTAATGGCTCCCCCAAACCAAGGGCTGTTTTATCTTCTAAGTAACCTGATGACATTGAGGATGCTAGCTCAGCCATCCATTTCTCGTCCAATGAACCAAGAGAGGAGAACTGCAGTAAGGCAAACATAAAAAAATCCCATCAATGAAAGCAAAATCTATAGAACCAATTTCTTCTCTTAATCTATACGGCAAGATTCATTTAGAAGAAATGAAAGGTATGACTGGGTGCGGAACCACACAGACATATCATACAAAACGAAGTCCAATAACTAAATGAACTATCATTAAAGGCTGTCACCAAATCCCAGAGAGCACCTGAGCATTAATATTCACCCTAAATCACAGCATGACTCCACATGACTAGAAGTCCAACAATACCTGATAAACTAGAGGAGATCTCAGAAACTCTTTATCAAAAACACACTCCTGGAGAACAGTACGTAGCTTCATATGCCCCCACTTTTTCATATTGGAACCCGTATGATATCCCGGGACAGATGCAATTAGTCGGACCTGAAAATTATCAAATAGTTTAAATGCTCCCACACAAGTATGCACTTAAATAAAATAGGTTCCATCTGTAACATTATTCCTTCGGGTAAAAAAGAAATAGCACTTCAAAAAATTAACCAAACAAATAAAATTATACCCCTGCATTGCTATAATCAAACTTCTTGAAGAAGGTGGAATTGATATTGAAGTTTCCCAGAGCTGGTAAATTAGCAGTGAACTCAGTCCACTGCAAATTTTATAGAAATGAAAGGTATCATTATAAATCGTAACAAATAATACCCAGACAAGTGACAACTACCTATCAATCTACTTGAACTTGATTAGTCAGGCAAACATATGAAAAGAATGATTGGCAGTATTACCTTATAATATCTAAGTTTCAGTTCAAATCACATAAGATTTGTATGAAAGGGGGAAAGTTTTAAATTCACTGAGCAGATCATGAAAGTGTTTTTTCACATGCAATATAAAAGCAGATCCACAGAATGTGCTATTTGGTACCTTCAACGTGCTGAGATAGTCAATCAAGTCATTTTCAAATCCACATCCTTTCTTTGAGTTATTTTGATCTTTCCAAGGGAAATCTTGCATCCATAAACCTTGACTTTTATTATTCCAGTCCACATATATCAAGTTTGCTGTATGAACAATAACTCTCACTCCTTGAGGATAGACCAGGAGCATTGCCTTCGAATGGTGTGTTCCAAATGAAATGGGTAATGGTGGCTTGTGCAGGATCCAATTGGAAGGCTTGTTGCTCTGTATAAGGTGCAGTAAATAATGTGAAAAACCAGAAGCCATAAGTAGAGCTTCCAAAGATAAAAGGGAATATTTATAGCTATAGCTGACCTTCATGTGATCCAGCCTGCTATCTCCTTCCCCATGAATAACCAACACATAAGGAATTTTTGCAAGTATTGGACATGCTACATAAGGCAAGGCAAAAACTGTTATAGATGTAAAAAAGCAGTATAAAACAGATAAGAAAAAAAAAAGGCCTCATAATCAAACAACAAGAACTATACCAAAAATGAGATGTCGATAAAAGAATAACAGACATCATAACCAAAGTCCTTACACTATGTTACTTGAGGAACTTAATAACAAATGGCATCACAAAAAGTTAAGAGAATTCACCTGACATCAGCCAATCAATATCTACCATGTAATTTGAGAGGACCACAAGAAGAACATCCCCCTAGCAATGTAATACACAATCAAAGAATCAAAAACAGAAAATTTACTAAGGTATGCGGTGAAATAACAAGGCCATGCATAACTTGGATCGCTATTATTACCTGAATCACATCTCCTATGGAAACAGAATTAGTATTAGCCCAAGCAGGCAAGCCTTGAACTTTCAAGAGCCGAAATGTATGCGATAACTTATCATTGGAAACACGAAAATTGCGAATGGCCTCAACACATTTCTCCTCTGCCTACACAAATTTGAACCAAACCGTCAAAAATAAAGCTTTTAAACAAAATTCAGAAAAAAATTTTCAAATTTAATACCTTCAACTTGTTAGCTGAGATTGCTTCATCTTCCAAACCTTGATTTCGCTCTCTCTTTGAAGTAAGTTTCTCTCTTTCTCCATCGCTGTTAGCTTCAGTAAAGCTTCTCTTCGTTTCACCGGTGGAAGTTGATACGTATTTGAAAAAGTGATGACCTGGAATTAGCTCTATTAAATCACCATTACTAATCGCCGCATTTTCGCAGGAACTTAGCTTCTTTCTCAGCTCGCCGGACCTAACAACAACCGGATTCGTCCCCTCCTACAAAATTCCACCACTCAACAATCCATTTAACGAAAGACAGAGAAAAAAAAAACACAAAAAAGTAATGAAATTTACGACGAGTAAATCGGCGGAGCCGTCAGGGGACGTAGTTAAAGCAATGTGCTTGCGGCTGAGTCTCTTGTCAGAAATAGAAACATCGTTGCGGCCAATGAAATTGGGACCGTAAAAGAGAGAGAGCTTAGGCAGTGAAGCGTCTTCTTCAAGATTCTTATTTACAGGAACCAGATACCCAATCTGTTAACAATTAAAATGATCGCTTAGCTAAAAAAAAAAAAAGATTTTGGGATTTTTTAAGGGTACCGACCTGAGAGCGAGGCATGTGTGAGGAAGTGCCGTATCGTGCGGTGCTTTCAAGTGGAAAGAAGGAAACGGAGAGAGTGGTAATGTTTTGGCGGAGGAATCGCGTTTTTTCGCTCCCGATTGAGGACAGCGGATGTGGTTCGACGCTGCGTTTCAATAAGGTTCCTATATATGCACTGCTTCATGCTTCAAATTTTTAATTTCGGGATCAGGTAATAATTGTTCATATCTAATCGAATTTAATTTAAATTTTTAAATAATATATAAAATTATAAATTTTTATAATTTAATTCGAATTTCAATAAAAATTTAAATTTTTAAATAATATGCAAAATTATAAATTTTTATAATTTAATTCGAAAACCAATAAAATTTTTATATGATATGATTTAAATTGAATTTTATCATGATATTTTTAAATTATCTTTTTTATTTATTATATATTATTTTTTTTATAATTTTTAATATAATTAAATAATTTTAAATCTAAAACAATTATTTTATTTTATAAAAATTAATAAATATATATAATTTGATTTGATTTGATTTTTTTATTTTTAAAATTTAATTTAAATTTAATGTATATATTTAATATTAAATTTAATTTTTAATATAACTGAAGTGTGAGTGAGAGCGTTCGGCCTATTCGACTGCTGTGAGAGCTAGCCTACGAGACTTTAGAAAAGAATTCCGTAGGTAACCTTTCTATTCCCAAAGGCCCAAGCTTTGAAACAAAAAGTAAGAAGCTTTGAGTGCATGCTTATTTGAAAATACACAAATACTTCAGTGCCTGCAATGTAAATCTAATAGCTACAGTCTTTCCTTTGCTCACACACATGAAATCCACTAAGAACAAAAAGGACTTGAAGTTGGATTGCCAGAAAAGGAAATTGAAGAGAAAGTATGGGGAAGGAAAAAGGAAAATGGGGGGCAAAAGTAACTTTCTGATCCTCCATTCATCTGTATATGTACTGTAGGCTGTGGAGATAAACAAGAAAAGCACAACAAAGGTAATATGTCATGGGTTTTTCATCTATTCCATTATATATATATATATTAATTAAAAAGGGAAGATTCCATTGCTCATCTCTAATATTTCTCTAAGGAGCCTCAAAAGGTATGATAACTGCTAATGGAAGGTTGATTAGCTTTTGCCGTCCCCCAATTTGTCTTCTTTTTTCAAACTTCGTTTTTCTTCTTCACTACCTGGATACGACATTTCTCACAGAAAACAGCTTCACTATCAACCACTCGCATCCATTTCTCTTTGTCAGGCATTTAACTCCCACGTGTTTGCTATATTGCAACATATTTCACTCCAACTACTAATCTAATGCATGTTCATCTCCATTCATTTTGCTAATTGACTTGGTGAAGTATCAGCAAAATCGAGCCCATGCTCAACCTGTGGAAAAAATAACAAGAAAATTTCACTTCAATATATCCAATTTTTAAAATGTTAGGTCTTTGCAGGTGAAATATCATACTAGCTTGCAAACTTACTGTTGGGCTAAAAACCTCCAATCCAATCACACCAACGGAAGCGAAATTAAACAATAAATCAAACACATAAAAGACAACAATTTAACGTGGTTCGATCCAACTGACCTACATCTACGGATGAGAAACAAGATCTACTAGTTGTAGAGAATTACAAACATACATCAAATCATCAACCTCGCTCAACAATCAATACTCATAAGATACTCTCAATCTCCTCTAGTCCTATGGAGTATTCTCAACCCAAACAAACACAAACTCAAACCCTTGTGCACCCTTTCAACATAACCAAACACATACCCATATGCTCTCATACACCATACCTATGTGGACCTTCTCAGTCTCCTCTAGTCTACTCACAAACAAACATATACACCCATAAGACGTAGAGCCCCAATACTCTTACGGGGTGTCTATCCCATAAAATCCTACAACTCTCTTACATATTTTTCTCATACCTAATTCTGTAGAGACTTCACCTATTTATAACCATACAAACTTGTCCATTAAGAATCCTTCTCCTCTTAGAATTCTTCTCCTATAAGTCAAACTTGCCTATTAAGAATCCATTTTCTTTTAGAATTCTTCTATTGCAAGTCAAACTTACCTATTAAGAATTTCCTTTCTCTTAAAATTCTTCTTTTTCAAGTCTTCTAGTCTATCAAGTAATATCTGACAAATTCCAAACAAATCTCTAACAAATCTCAAACAAATCTCTTATGAGATTTGAGTCAATATTCCCAACACTTACAATGTGGCAAACAACAAGAGAATCCTCTTGGGATCTAGTAGCCATGGGGGATTAGGAGACCGCCTGAAACTATTTCTCCTTAAACTAAATCTGGTTTCAGTAGCAGAAGTGATGTTGCCGGTTGTAATGGTGATCTATGATGAACTTGTGGGCTGCAGGCATGATCAATGGACCCTACAGCCACCGCTGTGGGGTTTTCAAGCGTGACAGACCCTACCAGAGTAGTTGCAATTCGATAATTCCATGCCCAATCTCGCAAATAAAATATCTAAACCAACAGGCATTTTACCATAAAGTTTCCAACAATACATGTATAAGAACATGCCTCCAAGAGAATAGCATCAATATAATCAGGAATCTGTACTTTGCACCAAACCTTCTTGCGAATCTTAGTAGTAAACTAATTGATATATCCTAATAATAATAATAATATCAACCGTATAATTATCGAGCAAAGTGGTGCGAGCCCTCTGGTGGCTACTGAACCCCGGAGGTGAGGTTGGTCCAGGCTGGTGATGGCAAACCGCAAATGTGACCAAATCTTAATTTTTTTTCTCACCATTGGTTGCTTGTGTGTCTTCCATATACAAAAACACCCTCTCACATATAGGGAAAAACTGGTAAAATCCTAGCCAAACTGATACGATTTTTTTTTCAATTTCCCAGGAAAATTTTTCGTGGGAAAAGTTTAAACAAGCAAATGATAAACTGACAATGCAATGATATATATAATCTAAGCAATTAATGTTTGTGTGTAAAGAAAAAGTTTGTACCTTGGGGTGAGGAGGTGGTAGAAACAAAAGAATCTCTATCATTGATAGTGGAGCTAGAATCAGAATTAGTACAATTGTGAGTAATAGTCTTCTTGTCCCCTTGCTGAGACCCTTTGCGAGGAGGGCTTCTCTGCAACTTTTTTTTTTTAATTAACAAGAAAAACTCATAAATATCAACACCATTAAAAAATGAATAAAGATTGAAAAGTCATGGGCAGGGTAGTAAAAAATTTATGAAAAATTCAACAATGAAGACTGAAATTTTCAAACATGCATGAAACTGGATTTTTGAGCTATACAGCAGGTTTAAAATTATCCCAAAAAAAATGAAGGAAACTTACTGTGGTTCTTGAATTTGGACCGGTTTGTCTATTGGCTCCTCCATGAGAGAAACTTGCCATGTCAATAACAAAGTTATGGGATTTGTCATCAGTTGTGTAATGAAATCCCTTCATATGACCCGAAGCTGAAATCTTTTGAGTGGATATATTCTCTTCTGACCCACGACCCTCGTAGGAAGATGCCGAATCCTATCAACAAATCAGAAGCCGAACCAGACAGAGTCAGAGGAACAAAAACAAAGACATACAGCTCTTAACTTGAAATTAAGATAAAATTTTAATGAATAGTATTAGACATAAAACGTTTGGATGATAAAGAAAACCAATAAAACAGTTACAAGAAAAAAAAATGAAATATTTGAAGAAAACTGAAAACCCAGAGATATTAAGCTTACCAACTTTGGATTTTCCGTCATGTCCATCATTTTCTCCGGAAAGTGAATCAAAGATTAACAAAGAAAATCAATAAATGAAGAACCAAAGGAGAAGAGATGGAATTAGGACTCTATACAGCGCCTCCAATTGCGTATCCAATCGGGCACTCTTAATCAACCACCTGATTAGAAGAGAAAACAAGAAAAGAGAGACACACCCTCCCTCTATAGAAGTTAAAAACTCCAAGACATCTAAAAACAATAAACTACGTACTTTTAAAATCAAACAAATCTCATGATTTACAAACAAGAGACGTCGGAAAAGAAAATTGAATCACCAACCTTTGTAACAAAGATAGAAAAGAACTTAATTGAACAAAGACAACCCTTTTGTTGTTGAAAAAGACTGATGCTTTAACTGATATCTGTTATAAATGAATTGATTTTGTAACAACGTTGGACAGTTCCTGAAGTTGGCAACAGTGATTTTGTTTCGCTTTTTGTTAAAGAAAACACATAAAAGGAAAAAGAAATGAAATGGGAAGAAGAAAAAATGTAATCAAACGTGCAATTTACAAGAGAGAAAAACAAGACAGAATTTGGAATTGCAGAGGCTTTGTTTTCTCTCTGATATATTTATATAACGAGTTGTTTACAATAAAAAATTATAAATTTTTTTACATTTATTTATGGTAATATAAACAGTATTATAGTAACATACCGTAGAGAAATAATTAATTAAAGTTACCTGATTGGTTTAATTGGTTAAGGCTCGTCTTTTTAGACAAAGAAGTATTAGATTCAAATTTTATCGATTATCATTTGTTGGGATCATTTTGAATGCACAATCTGAAGCTACATGTTTTAGATTATCAGATACAATACATCTTGGCTTGATTTGAGAGATTGAGTAATTTATTTATCCCGAATTTTCTTACCAAAAAAAATAATTAATTAAAGTTAAAGATTCGTGTATTTATGTCATATAAAATATTAAAATTTATATATTTATATATTTTTTTTATAAATATTATGTGTCATAATTTATATTAACAAAAAATTATAAAATATATTTTTTTAATTTTGTTAAATTTATATAATTATTATTAAAATTTTAAAATGCATTATCTTTATTTTTATTTTTTATATTATATTAGTACTTGTAATATCATATCATATGTTAAATTATTAATTTATAATTAGTTGGACTTATGATAACGTCCTTCACCCTTAGATTATTATTGTTTATAGAAAAAAAAAAAAAAAAAAAACCTTCTAAGTGATGTCATGAGATTTTGCTTTTTACGATTATAAACTTGTTGGTATTAGTCTTTCCTTTTTATGTTGCTGGTATTAGCATTTTACTTTTTTATATAATAATAAACAAGCAATATGATGTGAAAAATCAATTTTTTTTAGCAATTCTTTTAAATATAAGTATACATCGAGTTGTATAAAGTGAAGTATTAATTAATTTTTCATTCTTTTTACTTCATTAATATGTATTAAAATTCTATTTCAAGTTCTTAAACCTAGCTACTCAAAAAGGTAGATGTGACAGCTTTAAGTGATCAAGTAATTATTGATAATCTTTTTCTATTTAGGCACCCAAAAATGGAAAAGGAAAGGAAGGCAACCTTCCTTATATAAAAGGGGAAAAGAAATAGTGACCTTTTGCCACTTAATTACCATGGAGATCCAAGTCCAACAATGGAATTTCCTTAAACACATGTTGCATTGGGTGGTGGAAGTAGTTATCGTAGGACTTATAGTCTCGAATTGACATGCTATTTATTCGTGGGAATGAAGGGACTTTATAGTGCTCTTGAGGCTTCAATTTTTAGGTACAAAAGGGACTTTCTTACAGGAAAAAAGGCTGGCAATGGCAACAGATAAAGAGTACAAAATATTAAGTTTCAGCTGCGCTCTGGCAAAGCTTTAATAAGTATGCAGCTCAAGTTAATCAATTAAAAGACTATATATGTACTCTTTAACTGCTCGAGGGCACATAGCTCCAACAATGTCATGTGCCTCATCTTAATTCTATGCCTAATCTCTTAGAAAAAAAAAATTAAAGACTCTTCAAACTTAGAGTTAAAGCATAGGGGGGAGCTTTTGTCATGTGTAATGAAGCAGCATGTTTGCTATTACTCAAGTCTGAATCAAGCTCGGGACCACCCTGTTGCCAATTTACATATTTTCTTCCATATGTTTATCTCCATAAATTAATTTTCCTGGAATTTCCATTGCAGCAGAAAGCAATTCAAATTCAGATAAAAAAAGGAAAACATTAATTCATTCAATTAAAGGTTGTATCAAAACTAGTCCTACATTTTGGCTTGAAAATCTTACTATATTTTCAATAGGATGTCAGCTGTTGGTTATTTTGTTTCTCTAAATAGTTATATTAAGTCAATATAAAATCTACAGGAAAGAGTGAAAGAAATTTGAGGACACAAATTAATAATTAACCCATCAAAACTTCTGCCACGGAATTTGAAAATGATATTTTAATTTCTCCTAATTGTACACGTATACTTGTAGGTTCTCATTGGCCGCAAGGGAACTTTATACCTTATATAAGCTGATAAAGTTGATGCAGTGGAATGTAAGACTAGAGTATCATTTATGAACATGGATAGCCTATTGATAAAACAATGGTCTTATTCCTTTCTTTCGCCATGCAAAAAGACTCCAAATTCTTTAACGTCCCTTCTCTTCCCCGCCACCTTTAGATCGCGTAAGCAATACTTAAACACCCTTCCTACAAGCACTTCTGTTTCATCATCAAAATCTCCTCGGAAGACCTTCTTAATTATTGAAAATAATGTCCAATTCCGAGAGGTTGCCGATCCGATCCACCCAGCAGGAATTCCAGCCCCAACCCAAACAACCCATCAAACGCCTCCACACTGCCCGCTACTACGCGCATCGGGTTCGTGAAAGCTGCACCACTAGAGTCACCAAAGTACTATGTGCCATATTCTTGTCTCTTCTTTTAGTTGTTGGCATTGTTTCCTTTATTTTATGGCTTAGTTTGAGCCCTCATCGTCCTAGGTTTCATATCATGCAATTTACGGTTCCTGGTTTGGCTCAACCCTCAGGGTTTGAGAATGCTCAAATAACGTTCAATGTAACGGCCAGGAATTCTAACCAACATATTGGAATCTTTTACGACTCTATGGTCGGGTCAGTTATTTATAAGGATCAACAAATCGGGTCAACTTCGTTGCTGGAGCCGTTTTACCAGGAACCTAAGACAACTACAATTGTGTACGGTACATTTGGTGGGGCCACGCTCACCGTAAACAACAACCGTTGGAATGAGTTCAGGAATGATAGGCAACAAGGGACGGTGGTTTTTCGTTTAGATATAACGTCAGTGATCAGATTTAAGGTTTCGACATGGAAAAGTAAGCACCATAAGTTGCATGTCAATTGTGATGTTGCAGTGGGTCCAGATGGATCAATCTTGCCAGCTTGGAAGAACAAGAGATGTCCTGTCTATTTCAGTTGATTCTTGCATTTTATTTCTTTCTTATTTTCTTTTGGTTTTGCTTTGTTGAAGTGGAAACTGTACTAATTTGATTTGATTTGTAATGTTATGTATCTAATGGAATTATGATTGATGGCACATTGAAATTCTTTATGTTTTGAAATCCTCCCAAACGATAAAGGAGAAAAATAAAGTAATTTCTATTGAAATTCTTTACTTCAATTACCTTTTGACGCACTTTTTCAGTATCTTAATTAAGCTGAGATGGAAGCAGTTCTGTTTTTCATAAGAATTATGTATCTTTTTGTTTTCCGGAATTAGGGATTAAGCTTCCTTGGTTCTGAGTTCTTCAATTATATGTTGCTCTCAGGTGGATCAGTCTGTCATAATCTTATAAATTACAGCTTCAGAAAACCTACTTCCATGTTCGTGTTGTTTTAAATCCTTTCTGCAATATATTTCAACTCCATCCAAAATTACAGTTGACCGAAATGAAAATTGCTAAATCCAATTCTACTCAACTTCCCCTGTATCTCTGGTTTCTTCAAGTCACAACCTTATGGGGTTTGGTCTTTGATATGGCAAATTTTGAGGCCAAAGCATCCTATTTACAAGGTTGTAGATGTGTACAATTCAAATGTAAAAGGCAGCTGGAAGTAAAAATTTCATGGGGACTCGAACTCAAGTGAAACATCTCCATCATTCTCAAGATTGAAATTTCCAGGAAAAAAATAGTGGCTTTTACCAAACGGAACATGCCAGACACGTCTTGCACGAGTAGATATACCTGTAATTTGTCATGAAAATTGAAGTGTCCTTCCCATCAGTGCAATATTATATTCTGTCAAAATTTTGATATATGTGAATTCATTGGCAGGCCTGGCGACTATGGAAAGAAGGAAAAGAACTGGAACTAGGGGACCCTTCTTTGCTCTTCCTGAACCAAAAAGAACTGCATTTTCCTGTTGGCAGAGTTATTCTTGTTGATCAGTCTTTTCTACAACAGATTCATCAACAAATCAGATGACAATATCTAAAATCTCAACCCGCTGAATAATATACTTAGCCCAGTAAAAAATTGATGAATTTAATCTAACTACTGTAAATTCTTCTTCATAGGATAAAACTTCAATGTTCGAAATTTCTATTCCTTTTTGTTCATACCAAAATGTAACAAGAATATTGATGAGATTGTTCCGTTAACAGGCCATCTAACGTTTACACCCCTTCAATACATTAATGCTGGACACCAATTTCAGTTTATGACCAACTTTTAATAATTGTCTCACATGAATGTATGCAACACATAATTATTAGTAGGCCAAAAAAAACCTTTGAATTATTTCATTATTCTTAAATAAACTTTATTTGTGTTGTATTCAAATAAACTCTTATATTTTGATTTGTATTTAAATAAGTTTTTATTTCCAATGAAAGGATAATTTATGTTAAGGAATTGTTACTGTATAAATTAAAATTTTAAAAATTATTTACATACAAATTAAATATAAAAGGATTTTGTAAGTGCAAATTAAATATTAATGATTTATTTAAATTCAATAAAAATATAAAAATTTATTTTATCAAAATTATAAAATTTAAGAATTATTTTTGTTATTTTAACATTATTAGTACTTCTAATATTTATGGACAAGTTGACGAATCAGCCTAATGAAGTTCAGACAAGACAAGCCATCCAGTGCGACACACTGATCATTGAACTTTCTGTTTTGGACCGGTCAAGGTATCCAGTGCGTCGTCCGGCTTTAAAGTGGTGAAAGGGCTAAGAGCACCTTCCTGGAACTACTCCAATTGTTGATAAACTTTACCGCTCACTTCTTTATTTGCCAAAATTTGTACGTAGACAAAGTGATTTTCTCTTCGTTTTTCTTTCCGTTGAATTTTCCATTTACTTCTTGTTGATAGCAAATAATATTCAACTGCCTGTTGGATCGACTTCTACCTCAAATTTCACAGTCATTGTATACGTACGACCTTTTAATTCATCGCAATTATATTTCTACATAGTTTTACCAGAAAACTCTGAATAAGAAAATCTGTTTTCTTATATATGACTTTCACTTGAAAGTTCTTCCCAGAAATTGCTCAGTACTATCTGTTAGGATTTATAGCACATAATATATATTTAAGCTTTACATGAAGGTGAAGCTGTAGTTGAGCCTATATCATTAAAGAGAGAGAGAGAGAGAGAGAGAGAGAGAGAGAGAAATGATAAAATAATGTAAGTTTTATTTTTCACTCCTTTCAGATAATAAATTGATGTAAAAGAAATTTTATTTTAATTTCCATCCATTTTTAAAATTTTTCCTATCATTTTTTTTCATCTTTGGGCATTTTCCTCTCAAATTGTTTAATCGTTTGAATTTTCTATATGCTCTCTAAGCGAAACCTAAGGCGCCCTATTTTCCTTTCTTATTTCCTACCATAAAATTGGCCTAGATGACAATTCTTGGCAACTTCGTAGAAATATCAACGGCCCCTAATTCCTAAAGAATAAAGAGTTAATTGTGCTTTAGCTGACGAGCATTGTTGTGGGGTTCATGCGGAAAACTTTTGAAACATTAATTTTCTTTAAACAAATTCGCTAGCTATGGCTTAAAAGCAAATCCTGTATTCTTGATGAAACCCATTTTTCCATTATTTTTCCATTACAAGCATGAAAAAAATAATGACTCTCCTTTACAAAACCAAAACCTTGCTTTTATTCTTCATCACAATCTTTGGGTTTTTTTGCTTCATCACTTGCCAGTCACCAATAAATCACTTTTGTTTAGGTCCAGATAATGATACAGCCACTGCCAGTTATAAATCTAACTTTACGGCTCTCATGGATTCTATATCCTGTAAAGCTTCCGATCACACCTTCTATAACGATAGCTTAAATGGAGTTTATCGTCTCTTCCTTTGCAGAGGTGATGTTTCTAGCAATGGTTGCCAGGTTTGCGTCAACGATGCTACTCGAACACTCATACAAAGGTGCCCTTCTAATAAAACAGCAATCTTTTGGTGTGATCAATGCATGTTACAATATTCAAACATTAACTTCTTCTGCCTGGGGCGGCTTCGTCCATATTATTTAATGTGGAATACTAGGAATAATACTTTGTTAGAAAATCAACACACATATGCAACACCGACACACAAAATAATAAGTTTAAATAAAAATAAAAACATAAATATATTTGTTTCAGCTCAACTCAAAATGATTTACTCCAAACCCAATCTATTAACATATAAATCTTTAAAACTATAAGACTTTTAGAATGAGAAAAATCTCCAAAAACTCATTACTCAAAACTTAACCCAAAACTCAATTACACATTTTTAATAGCCTATTCACTTAGCTATTTTCTTTGTGTCTAATTATCTGGGATTATTAAACCAAAAACTAAAACATCTTATTTATAAAAGTGAAACCCCTTATACCTTTACTAAACTTCTTATATGGGATATAAGATAAACTCAAAACTCTTATAACTTTCGATGTGGGATTTCGAGATTCAAGACAATTCTCAACAAATCTTCTCTTGACTAAAATCTCCAAACACTTTAACAGTATTTGCAAAGCTAATACACTTAGCTTTCTTTTTTTCTTTCATTATAAGGATCTCAGCAACCGAGCCTCCACCAAGTATGTACAAGTGATTTTTGACCCTATTCCCTTGTAGAATCACACTATCATTTTTGTACACTTTCAACTAATCATTACTACCATAATATGTGTATCCCCAAAAAGTTACTCACCCAAAGCAATCAAATTGTAGCTACCACTCGATACATACCTTACATGACGAAGCATCCTAATAACACCATTGTGAGATCTAAGGCGAACATTTCCAATGCCTTGAATCTGCACATTTTTGTTATTAGCAACTACAATATCCCCATACTTTTCATTCTTATCCAACTCTATAAAGCAATTTTCTATCATTGCAAACATGAACTGTAGCAGCAGAATCTAAAACTCAACTTTTATCATCTTTTAAAATTTAAGTTTCATCCACACAAGTCGTCAAAACAACATCATCATCAGACATGACGATAACAGTATCACTCTTTTTTTCATCTGATTTCTTTTCATCATTTATCTTTTTGAAAGCATCAATATCCTTTCTCAGCTTCCTGCAGCATACTTGAATATGTCCCTTTTCACCACAATAACAACATTCTATGTCACTGTAATCTCTATCTCTTGACTTGGATCTCCCTCTTGATCTATCAATTCTCTTTTGAATCCTCCCTCGATCAAAACCCTCTACAACTAGTGTACTCCACTCAGGTGATGAGTTTTGAGCTCCCATAAACCTTTCGTTCTCACGCAACAGGATAGTCACATCATCCAACTTCAAAAAGACCTACCCACCAACAAAGTCTAAACTAAAATCTTATAAGACTTGGACAAAAATGACAATAAAATTAAAATCTTCTCTTCATCTTTTAACTCATCAATAGAAATCATCAGCAATTGAGAAACCAATCTATTAAACTCATTCAAGTGATTATGAAGACTCGTACTTTTTTCTATCTTCAGAGAATACATATCTATCTTCAAACATAATCTGTTAGTCAACGACTTCGAAGCATAAATACCCTTAAGCTTGTCTCACAAACTATTTGGAGTACTCTCAGTCAACACACTGTACTTTACCTTTGGAGCTAGTACCAATTTAATAGTACTAACAACTTTCTTTTGAATCTTATTTCAATTAGCGTCAGACATTCCCTCAAGTTTACTACTCTTTAATGCCTGATCCAACTCTTGTTGTACTAACAAATCTTGAACCGTACTTTGCCATAACATAAAATTATTCTTTCCATCAAATAACGAAATCTCAAACTTAAGTATAAGTATACTAGACATACCTTCTTTAGACATCTTAAAACATTACTTCACAATCTCTTGGGCCGACTTCTTCTTCCCACGAATCTCGTACCTCGCTCTGATATCACTTGTTAGGTATTACCACTGCTTTGATACCACTTGTTAGAAAATCAACACA